ACCACTGGAGTCTCACCCTTCTTCGCCAACAAGGGATACCATCCGAGCATATCCATCCACCCAGAACATGACCTTTCCTCTGTCCGTGCACAGGAATATGCCATAGACCTCAATGAGCTTCACCAATTCCTCCAAGAAGAAATGACCCATGCACAAGAACATTATCAAGGACCTGCAGATGCAAGGCGGATACCAGCCCCAGACTTCAAGGTTGGAAATCAAATCTTCATCAAAGCAAAGTACTTCTGTTCCACTCACCCTTCCAAGAAGCTCTCAGAAAAGAACTTAGGTCCTTTTGACATTATATCCCATCCCAGATCACATTCCTTTACCATACGACTCCCGGATTCCATGTGTTCAGTACATCTGGTCTTCCATGTCTCCCAACTAGAACCTGCAGTTCCAAACACCATCCCTAACCGTATCCAACCACCCCCACCTCCAATAGAAGTTGATGGAGAACCAGAATATGAGATATCCGAAATCCTAGACTCTAAGTTGGACCACTGGAGATGACAATGTCAGCTTCTCTACCTCATCCAGTGGTCCAGATATGAAGGGACGGATGAAGAGACGTCCTGGTTACTAGCCATGGAACTTGGTAATGCATTGGATCTAGTTTCAGCATTTCACTCTTCATATCCAGACAAACCTGGTCCAATTGTGTTACAATGAGTACAAAATCAGATACAAGTACATTAGGGGCAGAAGCGGAAATCTGGAGCTCCTCACCCATCAGTCTCCATGTCCCCTCCGGATCCTCCAGCCTCCTCCTCAACATCCTTGTCAGCATCATCCGGAGTGGAGGTGTCCACAATCCGGTGTGACAATCATATTCCCACTAGGCTTGCAATGGCCATCTTTTGATATAGGTGATGGAAAGCTACAAAACCATTGACCACTTTTCCCGCACTCAACCCACTCCAGACACATATTCCCGCGCTCTGCGGACCCACGCATTCACTCCTGCGCTGCGCACATACCTGCAGTCGATTTCCCGCACCTTCGGACTACCTTACAAATGTCCCACGTCAGTCCATTGTCCATCCTACCTCATTGGTACGTATTTTGCCTTGCCTCATGTGTTGTAACAAGTGTTGCAGCCTTATTACATGTCCTTACATATTCCTACTGCCTGTCTGTCCTGTCCCTTCCATTTCTGAGAGGGTTTAGCTAGTATAAAGTGCCTAGGGTGACTACTTCATATTTACTTCCCTTCTGCAGTATTTCCTTCCCTTAGGTTTTACTTAGGAGCAGTCACCATTAGTGCGCGCTTTTTAGCCCCTATTGGTTACCTTATACCTGGACACCTTACCTTGACTTTCCTTACCTGTGCAATCAATACCCTTGCCCTCACTTGTTACCCACGCCATTCCTTAAGACTTCCCTACCCTAGCATCTTGCACTTCCACATCGACCACTCATTGACCGCTCATTGACCGCACTTCTGCATTCCCATGCTCTACATACCCACATTCTACATACCCGCGCACTTGTTCCTGCACTCTGCACACTTTTGGGTCTTTAGTATCATTGGCTGTTCTCAGTAGCAATTCCCTTTAGGGTTGAATGTTCTTGCTTGCAAGTATAGCAGCTAGGCAGAACATCGACCTACAACAATATTTTTGGTTAGGCACTTTAACAAGTGTATAGCCATTGTTGAGTTTGCACACCAGAATCCGTTCCGGATCCCCTCCAGGAGGATGGACTGGAAGTCCCTCTGCTGCTGGATGAAGTCCTCCATGTTAGTATTCATCCACTCCATCACCAACCTACTCCCTTCCACAGCTCCAATACTCTCCTGGAGAAGCCCATTGGTCTGGGCCAGTTCCGCTACTATGCTGTTGGCAGCAGCAACCCAGGCCTGGTCATCATACTCCACACTCCCCTCATCCGTCTCTATTCCAGTCTGTGGATTGGAAGCTTCCTCTGCTTCCGGTTCCTCAGGGGTAGGGCTCCTCTGATGTCTCTTACCCTTGGATTTTGGAGACAGAGTCACCACAGCGCACTGCCTCTTCCGCCTCAGTTCCCTGGGCTTGTCTGCACTTCCGGGACAGGAGACCCTATCAATCCTGCAGATGTCGCAAGACTTGATCTATCCAGATATCAGTACACCCAGTTCTGGACGTCTGAGGCAAGGAATATCTCACCAGCACATTAGACTTGGCATCCTCCCAGGAGCACGTTTTCTTCTTACTGATGCAATGAGTGCAGGGAGCATCCTGAGCTCTGGACATAGAAGTGGACTGGGACTAGCATACCCCTCAGTTCCAGGTCTGATAGAGTTAGCATCACTCACCCTCCTGGCCACCTCAGCCCTCCGCCTCTCCTTTTCCTGCGCTACCTGGAGCTTGGACTGCTCAATCCACTTCCTCTCCTCCTCATGTTTCTGTTCCACTTCCTGACGCATCCGCTCTGCTTCCTGATGTTTCCGCTCCTCTTCCTCTTCCTCTCTCTGAGCTGCAGCCTCCACAAGTGCCATCTGGCACTGAAGTTCTGCAAGGGCCTCCCTAGTGGATTTCTGACCACTGGATTTGTTGCCAGACATGATATTCAAAGCTAGTATGGGTGGGTAAAGTGAGGAAAGAAAGGAAGACCTAGGACACTTTGACATCCATATATCTGTGGAAACCAGAACTCACAAACTCCATCCATCAGCTTCTCCATCAATTCTCGCCCTCATATCATCCAGTCTGGATCATCAGATCTTGTGCTTCTAGGGATCAGCCCTAAAGGGGGGATACTGTCATATCTGCATATCTGGATCTCAGATCTGACTCTTATCTCTTCTCAGATCCACATCTTATCTCCAATCCTATCCGCATCTTATCTCCCTCCAACATCTCGTCATTCAACCTGTCCACTTGTCCGGTCTGGTCCACAACTCATCCGAATCCACAACCAGTGCTCATCCCCTTTCAGTAACCCCCTAACTCCAGTATTTCGGTTATCTGTATATCTGTCCTGCTCCCTTATCTGCTACCTATGTTTCATTTCCATTTCATGATTTGTGATCCATTTCTACTTACCAATAGACTATCCACATGCTTCGTACATAGCCTCAGACTCTGCTGATTGATCATTCCGTTAGATACCTATAGTATATAACCTCCTGTAACTTTCTGTAGTACCTCAGTTCGAATATCATCTTAGTTCTGCTCATTCCTGTCCTCTGGACTTGAGTACCTCTACTCTCATCACCCTCCAAGACTTAGGATTGATTCCTATAGTCTATCTGTATCTGCCTCTGTCCCCAACAGTCCATTACTGTTAGTTTCTAGTCTGGAATTGTCCAGATTAGCCCTGCGATACTTATCCCTCATCCAGAAGTCATCTGGATCTGTTACGCTACTCATCCGACCTTCCGGACATGTTAGCCTTGCCTTTCTGAAATAAGGGGCAATACTCAGGTAAGGGGCACAGCACACAAGCTGAGGCCAAAGCCCTTTGGATCCAGTTATCCTTTGAGTATGACCTTAACACAGTCACACCTCAATATCTGCAAGTGATCGCCATGTCCATGCTGTAGAAGATCTCCAGTGGGATGTGAAACTACACAGCCATAAGTGTTACAGCCAACACCATGATCAAAGGCCCTTGCAACTCACATACCACCTGCTCAAGGCAGTACCAACAATTCCATATTGGGCAGCAAAGGTGCATCTGTGTTGCAAACAGGCCAGGGGATATTTAATGGGCTGGGGAAGCATGCAGTTTGATTCCCTCACCCACTGTTTCTCTCCCACTCTCAGCCTTGACATTCTCCCATTCACACCCTTATGCCCCACCCATATCCTAATCATCATCTCCCAACCTCTCAGTTAGGGAGCCAGACCTGCGAGATGCCATGTGTAAGTCTTGTTATTTTCGTTAGCATTGGCATTGACAGCATCGCTGCTTCACGGGAGATGCCATGGAGCACATGCCATCAGGCCATGTTTCATCTTTCTCTGGTCCCTGTTTCGTTCTTGCCTTTTCCCATGTCATTCTTTCAGTGGGTCAAAGTGGGTCAGTGGTCGATGGCGAGAGCATTTGGCGATCGATGGAGAGCTGGAGGATGGCTGGGCACTCGATGGATCGGGCTGAGTTCAGACGGTCACGGTCGGTCACGTCGTGACCGCCAGTGACTGGACCGTTTGTTTTGCAGTTCGCTGGTTTACTTCCCTCATTCGTCACTGGTCCGTGAAATCCAGATCAACTCCCCTCATTCGTCGCTCGTCGCAAGCAGTATCGACTCCCCCCGTTTGTCAGACCTTGAAGCTAACCGTGACAACTCTCCTCATTCGTCCCTCCGCCACCACCTCAAGATGCAGGGTGAATCTGACTCGTAGCGCCACAATTATGTTATGCATTCATGCCTCGGAGTTTCGGTAGCTCGTAGTAGACCTGCATGCAGTATCCGCATCACTAAACTTCTCAATACCGGATTATGGTGATCAGACGACTGAGAGAAGAGCTGACTTATTTGACCCCATTGCACGGCAGGCATCGGAAAGTCTGGTGTTGTATTCACTGGAGCAGACAAATATCGAAACGCGGAAATATTCTTTTTTTCGCGCAAGCACGCGACATGCTGCATGACTGATCATTTCTTTGCATGCCAGCTCCAGCGAATTTCCCAGTGTCCCACAAGCTAGGAACAACTGCCTTCCTTCTGTTATGGCCCGGGGTAAACTACCCATACTCCGCATTGCTTTCCACCATTTTCAGGCGACTCAGACTTTCGGACCTTCTTCAATTACGCTCAATCCACACGACGACTGTGTCGTATCGACATGCAGTCGTGATGAAATTCTCACTTCATTGGATTCAAGAGAGGACTCAGGACTCAGCCAATTGAAGTCGTGTTTAACGATGGATGAGTACTTTGCTTCTGAAAAAAAAGAGGGCATGGGTACGAAAATGCCTCGCTGGAACCATAGAACGACTATTGCAATCTATTATATCACCAGCCCTTCTCTATTCCAACCATGCTGGGTCACCGCCTGTGTTCAAGGTGACTATGACTGGGGAGACAAAATGCTGATGTTCGGCTGAAGCCCTAGCATATAGATGCGATTTGCATTTTCAAAGAATGCCATCTTCACAATAGACACCGCCTGGTCTTCCGTGAGGTCTCCTTTGCCGACGAAGCCCGCTAGGACCTGAAGAATCAAGGTTCATATTCAAAGGATTCACTCCCAGGGAAATATACCGATTACCTCGTACATCACCTGGCGAGCCTGGACAGTGGCAAGGTAGAATCTTTCTGGCCACCACGCCGCGTCAGCTGTGGAACAGTAAGTAGCGTGTGCGGTAACAGATGGACTGCTGACGAACTAGACCACAGGATCTTATTGGTAGGAGCCAACTCAAGCACTTGATGTACCACAGTGCGTTGGCCGTCAGCGGAGATAAAGGGGAAAATCTCTCCAAAGTCGAGATAAACGTTCTTGTACACGGACGTAAGGTAGCCAGCATCTCTCGTGTAAGGATAGCTGGAATGCAGAAGAACGAATATGGTTTCTGGGAAGGCCTTGATGATAGGCTGCATATGCGCCGGAGAAGATTTTGTCAGCAGTAATGTCATTGTCTCCGAGACCTTCAGGCGGATAAGCATCACATAATGCGACTTGGGCTACTGCTTTGCAACGCACCTGTGTGGAACTGGACTTTCGACGACGTAAGTGGGAAGGCATCACGCAGTGCGGGGCGAACGCTTACTAGGTTTCTTGCATTTGCCTGCGATATCGAGGACTATCTTGACTAGGTGGTCGTTCAAAGCTTTGTGCTCGAAACGAATAGAACCCTTTTCCTTGAACTGCTCAGATACAGATGCTAGGCACTCGTAGAGCTCATCTGCGCTGCATGGTGCAGGGTCGACATCCAGACCGGTTCTAGTCACATAAGTGAGTTGAGCTGATCATCGATCCAGGTCATGATATAACTACTTGCCTGTAACAAGCGACCGACTTGTACCCTACCACATGATCATCTACGGCAGTGTCAACCATGTAGGTGGTGAACTCCTTCAGGAATGTGTCGCAGAGAATATCAATCGAAAGAGGCGAGTTGTCATTTGCGACGAGGATATCTTGTAAGATGTTCTAAAAATCGGAGCTGAGCGTTTCTCAAAGATAGGGATGGCGATACCTTACCTGGCCCTCCACTTCTAATCTCACAATCCGCTTCGATGGACTTCCAGTGTATTGGTCATGCCAATTCACTTCTTCAGCCATTTCTGCGACTCCACCCAAGCCATCGTCGAACAGTATACACTGAATTCCCGTAGGCTCCATGCAGAGCTTACACAACTCTGCATAATCGAACTCAAGCCTCTTCTTTTTGACGCCCTCCCAGGTAGCATCGTCACCTGTCAATCCAAAGAGCTTGGATAACTGAGCTGCTGCACGCAAGCAAGGAAGAGTGTGAACGGCGTCAGTTTAAAGCATCGCCATGGGCCTCGGATATGAGTACTTCGTATCGGATGGCGTCGCGGTACTTTGATTTCAGGAATGGGTGGGCGTGGTTATCGATAATGGGGTACCCGAAGGCGGTTTTGGCTAGTTCTCTATACATTGGTCCCATGAAACTTAGATGAGATGATGATGATGATGATGATGATAGAGTGCTCGGAAGCAATGCTTATCTAGGGGTTGCGGCTGAACCTGGAATATTAATAAACGACTCGTCAGACGATATCTTATCAGATCAAACAAACACAAAGTTACTTCCGCTTTTCTTCATCCACACGACCAGTAACTGTGAGCATGCCTGTGACAGTCAAGGATTTGGAACGAGCTATTCGAGCTGCATTCCCCGTGTCCCATCTCGATATCGAGGATCAATCAAGTGGGTGTGGATCCAGCTATGCAATTCTCCTGGTCAGTGAGGTATGTGTCCGAAATGAGCTGAAGCTGCTCATAGTCAATGTGAAACGGAATTATTGCATAGGCTTTCGAGGGGAAGAGTACTCTTGCAAGGCATAGATCAAGTGAGAGTCTCAGTATGACGTTCATCATGATACGGGGACGCTCATCGTCTGACAGTCAACCAGGCACTGAAGCAAGAAATATCACAGCTGCACGCGTTCTCTCAGGTGTGCTTGGGTGCTTATTCGTGTTGGAACGCTACTTTGGTTGATCGACTTTCTTTGCAGAAATCCTTCACTCCAGCGCAATACGCAGCGTATCAAGCGAAAAATGGTTGACCGACTCGGAGTCTTTTGCAACAGCATAGTAGTGGTATTTCGCCAGAAATTAGACGGATGACAACTGGCGTGTTTTTCAGTTCAAGTAGGGAATGAGCCGGTAATACTGAGATCAACCCTCCAAGCGTAGCCTTCAGATCCGGTGTGATGTGAACATGATCTTCAAGGTGGACAATAGAGGCAGTTGCTCCCGCCTAAACATTTGCCACTGTCCGAGTGCAGCGACTGGCATTCAAGTTTGATCATCTGTTTCCACAGACCACCGGTACAATTCTACGCATCAGATTACATGTCAAGACCACGGTGACACAACTACATCCCCTTCCGTGACTTTGTGGAGGCCTTGACTTTACTAAATTGAAAATATTATGGTTGTAGATCAATGTTCATGGCCCTGCTTTGTGCAGTACCTTAAATCACTTCAGTGGTACGTTCCCGTTTCGTTGTGATTCGGTGATCATCATCCACAGGGACGTTTCAAACAAAACAATAGTTTTTCGCCTTGCCACTAACGGTGGTATAAAGATGCTCGCGATGGACAGCAGAAATCCCAACACATAATTCTCATCTTCTTCTACGTATCTGTTGACCTACCATTCTCACTATGTCAGAACAGACTTACATCGATGTTGACGCCCTTTTGGAAGAGCTTCGGAATTTGCCACCTCCTACCGAAGCATACGCCTTCTTTACGGAAACTGAGCCTGGAATAGCATTCCTTGACGACCAGCTATACGCAATCTTCAATGGGTTTTTGGCCCAGTTCTTCACCCCAGACATAACAACATTTGTCTCTACTTGCGATAGCCTAATCCCTCTGCTCGACCTGGCGCTACTTATCGCGAAAAATCGCCAGCTGGTATACTTCATCTCAAGTCATTTTGACATGCTGACTTACAAAATTCATAGGTCTTAGATATCTTGGAGGTATGGCTTTTATTTAAGCCTGCTAATACGTGTTAGATGTTGATTCCGTGGTACACCAGCTTGCCGACGTGATGTTCGATAAATTTGTGAGCGTCTCTCTGACGCTCCAACAGTGCTTGGACCACATTGTTCCGACTCATTCGATTGTCCGAACGCGCTTGCTTGACATCATCAACCAATGTCTCGCGTCTCCACACAATATAAGTGACATCCGCTGTATGTATCCAGCTCATTCTCGACTATGCGCGCATGTCTCATGATGCCTACTCCAGCTGAACTTCAGACCCTGAAATCGAAGATTCAAGAGCGGGAGGATCAGGCGAAAGCCGCCTTGTTTGCGTGCGATACCCAGTGGATTTATGATCTATCGGAATCATGGCCTGAGTTCAAAGCCTTGAATCCGTGTCTGACCGAAGATATTCCAGCTGCAGCATTGGAAATAGTTGCTCAGGGCTGCACGTCTACTTGTCCCACTGAGGTGTTGCCAACCACAACTGCACAACTCAGACGGAACTCGTCTATGATTATGGACAACCTCAGAGCATCCAAGTCGACTCGTCCCCTGGGAGCATCTCAATCTTTATCTGCCCTACCTACATCAGTTTCATGCAACATTAATGGTTTCCCTAAACGAGGTACCTCTATCTCCCGCACGCAATCACTTTCCACGATGCTTCCTCCTCAAGCTCAAGCTCGTGTACTGGTCGCACTTGGGACGGTGACTGAAGTGGAGGAGGAAGAGGACTGATGTTATATTTGTATCGTATCTACTGGTCTCGGCATAGTCGCAACATCTCACGCAAATATATCTGTACTTGTAGCATCACAAATATTCAAACTCTTCTTGAACATTCATAGGGTAGCACATATTGGGGTTCTGAAAAGCTTGTAGGTGGACCTGCCAGTCATTTAGAATTATTCAGAGGTGACTGACAAAACATGCTGGTGTAATGTATTTGGACGGTTTCTTAACAGCCGTGCCCTTAAGTTGGATGGCCAGAAGGGACCCCAGCCTGCAGCCTGAGACTCGAGAGCCAACAATGTTTGACCATGTTTGGTGTCATTGAAAACAGAAGGTTTTGATCAACAGCTGATCTCAGTAAATAACAACTTGATCACTGAGAGCAGCACACATATACGACGTCTAAGTAGAATCATACATCCAGTTGACATCCAGCAAATCCTTATGAACAACCAATTTTTAAGCTCTACATCTTTCAGTCCTCGTGAGTCATTCTAATCTACTACCTATCGAACTACAACACATGTGCTATCATCTCTAGCGAGGCTACGAAATGCTGATCGACCTGAAGCTGAAGGAGCCCAGGTTGAGTCAGCCCACCTCCAAAGTGCTGCCAAATTATCAGAAGAGATAGGTAGGTAGTGCTGCCGACTAGTAGCATGGTGTAACAATCCTCTGGCAGATACCTATGATGGGGCACACAGATCTCAATTCTATGAATTGGGTCAGGTTGGTTGCTAGTCGATGTGCTTCAGATGTCATTGATGCAGCTCCCTTCTTAGAAATTATTGGAGGAGAGCATGGGTCCGAATCGGCCTCTGATATCTTCACCGACGACAATGTATGAGCTCCGGGAAGAGTACACTGGCGCCCCATCTTTTGTAGCGCAGATCGACAGCTTGATGGATCAAGGTTATACAAAGATTATTCGTACTAAAGGTAGTATATCAATGAAGCCAGGTACTCGCACAACCTGATGCGAACGTTTAAACCAGGTGATGGAAATTGCTTCTACCGAGGTGAAGTCAAATCTACAACTTCTGCCTTTTACATACTCACGATGTCATATTATAAGCTCTTGCATACGCATACCTCAGTAGCCTCATCGATTCCCCAAATCTTGTTTATTCTGCAAAATCCGTGATAGAATCAGGCTCCAGAATGATGGAAAAGAATTTCATGGACGCAGATATTATTTCGACTTTCTGTGAACCCCTTATGGATCTAGTAGATGCCGTTGGAAACCCCGACCCTAAACGAGTGTTGACGCATGACCATTTACTGTCTGCTTTCCTGGAAGACGAAAGTAAGTTTCTCGTGTACGACCTTCCTCCCTGCAGCTGACACGCCCCAGCGTCAAATTGTATTGTCACGTACTTGCGACTTTTAACCACAGCCCAAATCCAATCCGCGAGCGACGATTATGCTGGCTTTCTCTTCGACGATTCAGGAGAGTCATTGGAACCTACCGAATTCTGTCGGCAATATGTCGATCCACTTGGGAAAGAAGCAGGTCACTATACTGAGTTGTAGTCACAGTGATCTATTCAAGTTGATGTCATTCGTTAGATCATGTTCAGGTGGCAGCCTTGTGTCGGGCACTCAAACTGCACATCAGGATTGCATATCTTGATGGTCATTCTCCGGATGGCCAAGCCCACTTCCAAGACATTATACCGCCAGACGACGGAAAGAACAAACCGTTGATTCTCATCTATCGGTATGTCTACGATGGAATTTTGGTTATCACAAGCTGATATTTAGTAGCCCTGGCCATTACGATGTTTTGATAAAGACGAACTGATTCGGTGGAGTATGACCTCACTAGTGCAGATATTCCCTACCTATTGGTGTGGCATGGCCGCGTCTCCAATCCACTATGAGTCTGACATACCTATATATATCCTATGTGTATCCAGGTGGTTTGGCCAGCAAATGTATGATATGGTTTGATCATGTGTGTTTCAATTGCACGACGTCATTGCATGGCCTGCCCCGAAGTACCACCCGCGACTTCTACACAACCCAGCTCGATCTCAAGAGCGTGTATAATCAAGTGCATTTGGGAAAGAGAAATCCCTTCCAGCCATAGAAAGAAGTCTGCCACTATTTCCCACAGTTTCGAGCCAGACTGGCTTCCGGTTGTGCAGTCACTGAATCGATCAGTCAATCACCAATATCTTGAGCTCTCTTCTTACAAAGTTGAAGAGAATATAGACCATGAAGCACGAGATGTTCCAAGCACCATACCCACCTTATGATCCAACGGATACATCTGGGTGAGTTGACTTTTACGCATGGTATGAGAAGAAGGCTGATGGGCCTAATCACCCAGATTCTCGTGAGTCTCCTTTCGCTCGCGCTCGGAGAGGTCTGTGATTGACTGGCTGTCCATCAAGATATGACACAGTAGTGAAGAGGTGGCCCATCATCTTGACCAACATCATCGATCATGTGCATCGTCTTCTCCATGACATGACTATAGAAGCCCAACAAGTCCGTGATTTGGACGTTTCTAAGGCAGAAGAACTGTCTAAGAAAACAACAGAGGGGCAGGAAATTATCTCGGAAATAAGCCGTTTGAAGTATCGTATGGCAAGGGACCATGAACTCGAGTGGGTAGAACATGACTATCATCGTTCCTCGACGTATTTTAGATTCTTCAACCTGCTAATAATATGACACAGAAACATTCTTCAGGATGGGGACATTCTGGTCGCCGAATATAATGCGGAACTTGAGAGTCTGAAGCAGACGTCCCGCAACACTTGGTTCAAGGCACCATGGTTGTATGCAGAGTAGGTTAGATCTGCCCCGTGAACTTCAAATCACTGAATTTTACGTGCAGATGCTACTTGTATGTCATTTCGAACAGGAGTTATTACATGCTTAGACGCGCATAGATACCGCCTGATCCGCACGTATTTTAACCAGAGAACATATTGGCGCGGGTTTGACCCGTTTTCTACCCAAAAGGAGGAAATGTTCAAGAACAGCGGGGCAGCTATCTATCGTATGTTCGACTAGGCCCGGGTTTTCTTCTATATCACTGACATGGTGTGTTTTTGCTAGAAATCGCAACCACTATGCATGAATTAGAAAGTGAGAAGGTCAAACTTCAAGGAGATCCCGATAAACTTGAAGTATTGTTCAAGGAGATGATTCAGATGTGCCTTTGGTTGGTTCCCATTTTCGTTTTCTTGACGTTCTGATAGACGCTTGATGTAGGGGCAATGCAACAGCAAGTCTGCCGTGAGGCTCTTTTTTGCAGATCGTTGACATCGATATATGTAGGATCTTTCCCTCTTGACGCACCTTTCGCCGTCGGACATAGAGCACTTGCAGACGGTCGGTAAAGAGGCTCAGGAGGCTAGATCAGAGTTCATTCTTAAGGACGACCAAGGTGACGTTTGGAGTTACGTCAAGACTCTGGCCAATCAAGGAAAGCGTTTGGACTTCGTGCTAGACAACGGTACTTTTCGGCACCTTTCGCTACTCTAGTGTCTGATCATTTGTTACGAACAGCTGGTTTTGAGGTTCAGTATTGATCGTCTCTGCAAACAATATTGCTAACTTCGAAATACAGCTATTTACAGATTTCGTTTTTGCGGACTTTTTAGTCACTTACACTCCGTATTTCTCTCAAGTCGTGTTTCAGTACGTCGTCGTGAGATTCTCACTTCAAAGTGATCACGACCTCTGACTATATTCACAAGCCCGAAGCTGTTCCCATGGTTCGTTTCTGATGTCACTCCTACCGACTTTACGAACACTATTTCGTCTTTACTTTCTGCCACATTCTTTCCACCAAACTCCACGACCAGTCCAGATTCCGCTGCCCACTTACAACAGATGGTCACTCGATGGAAAAGCTATATAGATAAGGGCATTTTCACTCTTGCCACAGACATTACCAATGGACAGAAGATGTCGGAGTTTTGGAATGGTCCGTGGCCTTACTGGAACATGAACGAACTAGCACCGGAGTTAGGGCAGTGGCTGAGTGGTTCTGGGTTAGTTATTTTCAAGGTGAGTAGCACTGCCAACTTCCAAGGGCTTGGCATTCAAAATATGCACGTTATAGGGGGACCTCAAGTAAGTTGATTTCATCACTATACTGATCTACTGAATTCTGAATGCTGCGCCAAAGCTACCGCAAGTGAGTGTTCTTTTTTAAGTTTTGTAAATATCTGTGACATTGTTACGACCCGATGTCAGACTTGCAGGTGATGTTAAGTGGCCTGTGTCCACTCCGTTTCCAACTGCGATCGGTCAGTAACCCACAAATACTTTTCGTCGTTGCTTAAGAATGACATTCGGCAGGCCCACTGGCAGGATCGTTTCCACTTCTCAGCCTTCGTACGAACAAGGCTGACGTGGCGGTGGGCATAGATGAGAAAGTAGCGGAGAATCTTGATAACAAAGGCGAAAAGTGGAGAGTAAGTGGGAGGTGAGTTACGCGTAACTTTGGATCATTGGCTGGATGCTAAGCGTTGAGCTATGTTCTGCAGGTATGCTTTGGTGAGCTTTCTTCCAGGAAGAATTTAAATTCAGTAGACTGGGACAGTGTTTGTCGTCGGAACTATCGATTTCATAGGTTGAATATGTGGTTCCATAGTTGTACTTAGAGTCTTAGAATTTACGTTCCAATGTATCATGACGTGACAGCAGATCTGGGGCTCCGGTCCCCGGCAACATTTTAAGCCGAAGCTTCTCTCTATTCGGTTTGCTGTTTTGAATGTACTACTTAGTATGGTACTTACTCAAGGGATGTCCTAACTTCTGACGCTCTGAAGACGGTGACCGTACGAAATATTTTAACCCATTGGTCGAGCTTTTGGAAGTATGTTTGCACTCCATGGACGGTGTCTTTGCAGCAGATCACTCAAATATGTCCTCGCCCCTTCTCAGCGGTGGATATCATCTTCTCCAGCACAGCTATGGAAGACAATCCAGGCAACAACTACCCCAACAGAACTCAAGGCCTCAACTGAAACGCAAGATATTAAAGCGCTGGATAATCTTCTCAAAGCCGTCAGTCAGTATCAAATCTAGTGTTTTGACGATAATTGCTAATATCGAGTTGGCGGCTTTGCAGGCGAGAAGGCCAATCCCGCTTACCACAAGTACGGGTCATGTTGAAAGGCGGCAAACAAAGCTGATCACAATCTAGTATTATGCCAATGAGGACACCAATTTTGTGGTCTGAGGCACTCTTGAATGCCACCTCGACGTCGACGTCTTCTGAGGGCCATCCCGCAGAAGCACCTGCACCCGAACAACCGCTCCATCCACGGTACATGCACGATACGTACGCTGAAATCCTTCTTCCGTTTGCGTCGTCTCCGGAATTGTTTGAGCGGTATACCAACGCATGGGGTGGACTTCGGACTGGCATGCTTATGGAGCACCTTGACTCACTGGCTGGATCGATATCTTACAAGCATATGTTGGGGCCAGGCGTGGAGACGCTTGGTCGTATACGTGAAAGAGGCTTTTACATTGTCACCGCTTCTGTTGATAGGTTAGTAGACGTCAATGTGAAGTTCAACTGCGTCCTAAAACTTGACCCAGACTGGACGTTCTCGCCCCTCTCTCGCCTGTCAGGGATATCCGCCTGAGCGGCATAGTTATCTACACTGGGACTAGTTCGATGGAGGTGGCTGTAAAGATGGAAGCTCTTGGTGCAAGCGGCGTGGAGGACACTCTGCTACTTGGTTAGTGAATCACCGCTTGCCGGATCTTTGGCTTGAGAAATACCGTTCCTGCAGGTCGATTCTCTATGGTGTGCAGGGACGCCCGAACTCACAAAGCTCGGCCGGTAAACCCACTCATACTTGGTTCGCCCGAAGAGACTGCATTGTATTCTATGGGCGAAAGTGCGTCCTGGTCTCTCACATTTCGTTGGATCCGCTGAGGGCAAGTAGATGCAAAGAAGCGCAGACAATCGTTGGCCCTTCGCTCTCTTTCTAGAGTACCTCCCAGTTCTGCTGAAGCGGAAGAATTACACTCGATGTACTTGCAATACGGACAAGACAGTGGTCTGTCCAACTACGAACGTGTTTGGATGGGCGAGACACATTTGGAGAAGACCATGCTCATGTTTCCTCAAGAGCGCAAGTTAGTTTTCATTCGGCTTTGTCTTCATGCGGCTTTGATAACATGTTTGAAGTGTCCACCAGAAAGTCTTCGGAGGTGACTATCTTAAACTATGCCTTGCACAATACTAATAGTCTTGCGAAGGCTATCTCATGCGACTTGCTTATGAGGTATGTTGACTACTGATGCTGCTAGCCACGTCACTAACATAGAACTCTCAGCTTGGTTTCGCGAATGCATCGCTCTTCACACGTTCGCACGTAACATTCATGTCACTGGACAGTATCTCTTTCGCCAAACCCGTTCCCATAGGATCTATCTTACGGCTGACCTCGCAAGTCCTTCATACTACCCCTCCCGGGGAGCTCCCTGGTGTAGTGGTACATTTCAAATCTAATGTTCTTGCCGTTCGCTCCTAATCCCTGTTTGTCTTTCAGCATGTTGGAGTCCAAGCTAATGTTGTCGATGTGCGGACTGGGCAAGAGCAGACCACTAATGATTTCCGTTTCACTTGGTATCCGGATGATGATGCAGCGGTCGTTAGACAAGTCGTCCCGAAGACCTATCAAGGTATGGGCAAGCGCATTTCAATGAACTCTTTGAATGATAAATTGTGGAATAACAGAGGCGATGCTTTGGTTGGAAGGGAAACGAGCACCTGAGATGGGTGATCAAATTAGGGGAGAAAGAAACAAGAAGCCAAGCGCTTAGTGACTACAGTGATTGACGTTCATGAGAGCAGTCCCCTAGATTAATTCTGCTACAATGTTTGGGAATATTATTTCGTGACACTTCAACGGGAAGGAAATGTGTTGATTCGCTCGAACTCCAGGGCAACCGACCATCGATGATCTCTTGTAGAGCATTGTAATATGAAATTTGCCTGGAACTGCTATGAACCCGAAATGTTGTTCTTGAAATATGTAATGAACCGAATGCGATATCCTTGGGCGAGGATGAAACTTTCCGCTTGCTGCCTCTCTGGCAGCATAAAGAATCTCGGGTATGAGTGTACCAAAAATGACTTCAAATCATGAAGGGACGACAATAATGCATAGCGAACCAGGTACTGTGTACGCATTGAGCAGTTTAGGGAATAGGTTCTATGTGATGTCTCTGAGACCAATTATGCACACTAATGGGAGGGGAAGTCCGGGCGTGGCTTAGCCGGCAGTTTCGAGGGATAAGGTGTTTTGGTACTCATGTACTCACAGATGTATCCATTTATCCCCAAACACAACTTCAATTGGCTTCCCAAGCCCTCCCTCACAGCCTTTATCGGATATCTCGATGGAACTGAGGATGTCATCACGGCTGCAGTTCGATTTGCCACGACACCCAATCAGCGAGAATAGATATGACACGATGTTGCATGGATTGAGCACAATTGCAGAAGGTCCGAAAATCGCCTGACACTGATTAGATTGAGGAAAGCAATGGCCGCACTAGTGGTGTGTACCCGCAATAAAAGTTCTCCATATTCATTCATCATCAAACACTAATTCAATGCCTTCATCCCTTGCGGCCTCTACTGCGGCCTCTTGTCTCTTCTCAAAGTGCAACTTCAATGAAGTAAGTATGTCACGTTGTCCTAGCAAACAACGTCAGGAAACTCGGCAATAAATTTCCCGACGACCCACCTTCTAGGTAATGTTTGAGCATCAGTCTCACCGCCGAGCGTATGCCAGCGTCGTTCTCGTCCGGGAGATCTGGAAGCAAATCGCACTTCTTTTGAACCATTTCCAACAACAGCTGTGCTGCTTCTAAATCATCTTCATACCCTATCTCCTCCGGGATTTCAGCCACCAATCGCCTTACTTCGTTCCAGAGTCCTTCCACACCGCTTGCAAGACGACCGATCACCCACTTGTTAGAGGACCCACCAAGCTGTAGCGTAATTTTGTCATCCGGGTTTTGTGGGAGCGAGAAGCCATATCCAAGGATCAGTTCGTCATTCGCTTTGAGTCCATAGTTGTTGAAGACTTCTTCGCCAGTAAGGCGTCTTGGTATGCGAGATGATGGAAATGGTGGCCGAGTTATCCCTTGCTTCCGTACTTTCTTCCGGATACGACGTGCACCAAGAGACAGGCTGTCCACGAGAATGGTTGAGGATATCCACGCCCGGAAGCATGAACGGATAACTCGAGGAGGTGGTTTGCAGCGTAGGAGATCGAGATAGAAGCGTGGACGGAAATGCGCGGGTTGAAAGATACGTCGATGCCCTTAGATATTTGTCCCTGATCTGGTCTGAGGGGCTTAGGAGAAAAAACAAGCACAGGATACGCGTACCAAGTGTATCTTTCAGCCCAATCCGCATTAATAGCGTTGATGAAGGTTCGACATTTATCCCATTCAGCATTCCAGCTTTCCTGACGATCGCGGGTAGCGCCGTAGATGTTAGTCCCTCGGAAGGCTTCGAGTTCAGATGGCGTGAATTGAAGTGGCGTTAGGAGTGCGTCCGCAGGTGGAAGGCTTTTCAAGTAAGGAAGATGTCGAAGGACGTCGGGAATTGGGCTGTAAGGTATGATCATCAAATACGACACGCAGAGAGACAAATTAGTTTAACGCGCCTTGAATCAGGGAAGATCCAGTGTAAGCATATGTAAGTGCAAATAAGCTGCCTTTCCGACCATGATTGTAGGTCAACGAGAGACGATTCGCCAAATAGCGCGGTCAGAGCATGCAGAGAACACTCCAGGTCGATGGCCAGTGAAAATGGACAAGATACGATCGTAGTGTCAGCATCGATAGTGTCTTGCGCGATGGCAGAGAGTCCGAATTTGCCTGACGGTGAAAGTAAACGGTGGAAGGCATACAAAGTGTCTACGTGTTAGATCGAGCACCTTGGGATAAAGAGACGAACGGATGAATAAAACCGCCATGAGTAGTGAGCCATCGTCTGAGATCGGCAGTGCTGCTAGGCTCCATGGTTGATTTGCTAAAGTTGAATCCGATCAACTTGTACAGTTGTTGTATTGTACAATATTATGTAATCAACACTGACCGTGGTTAACCAGGCTTTCGTCGTCGTCGTCGTCGTCGTCATTATAGCCTTGTCTCCGGTTGTGTTCAACTCGGATTCTCGCAAACACACTCATATGGATGTGATCTTCCCATAATTTTAATGACGTGAACCAAAATTTTCGTCTGTGTTGTCTTTCTCCATGTCGCTCGAGTAATGAAATGCAATTTCGTGGAGGTATATTCAAGATACTGATTGGCTGTCAGAGCTGACACTGACCTCCTTATTATCTCCACTGAACTCTCATGCATGACAGTTCTTGTCAGTATACACCACAACGTCGCAGTTGAGCTATTACAGTTTTCCCGACTTGCTTTTTTGTATGCCACTCTCTTCGGCACGACGACCCAGCTACTGTTCTCAATCGACTTCAAGTTCTTCACCATGCCGCTTAGAATCATTCGTACGAAAAAGCTAGGGATTGACATTGACCCTTTGCAAGCAGCAATCGCTACAACGGTTTTCGCCAGGGATCTCATGGCAACCATGCAGTTTCCTCCAGCCACTGCCGCTGTCTCAGCTTTGCTACTCATCTTGCAAACTATCCAGGCGAGTGGACGCTTGAAATATACATGTCTGCGCGTGTTTCGACCTGTGTTCGCCTTCATGTAGAGCATTCAAGTTAACAAGTCTGGTTGTGATCGCTTGGCGCGTCGCGCTGCACAAATACTAATCGACATCAATGAACAAATGCGTGGACGATACCATGAAGCTCCAGAGGCGCTTCTCAGGAATTTGGACAGGTTTGAAAGGTACACCTGGCTATTATGTGCAAAACAACTCTTGACCGACCATTTATTCTCAATTCTTGACAGCATCCTGATTTCTATCCATCAGTTCATGAGAAAGTTGGCCGATTCAAAATGGAGCGATAGGTTCCTCCGTAAGTCGTCAATTGACGACGCTCTGGTCGAGTACATGCGCATGCTTGACGAGGCAGCGCAGGCTTTTCAGGTGTGCGTGGTGTTTGAATATAGGTTCCAATTACTGAAGAGCCCTACGAAGCTCGCTACTCTCATCAATATACACCTCGCTGTGAGCTCACTGAGAGGGAATGCTGCTTCGGACGCAACTGCTGACAGTGAAAGAGCCATCAATACTACGCCTCCACCCACCTATCATGAGGTTCTGAACGGACCAGATTCAATTGCCATAGAGATACAAAGCCCAGGAATCGTTGATGCAGCGGAGTGCATAGTTGCTGAATCCGATCCTCTGGCGGTAGCAGGAGGGGAATCCTTGTCACCGCCCGAAAAAAGATTTATGGATCATTATCTCCCCGTGGAATTGTCATCACCGACCCTAGAGGATGATCATGGGGTCAGCAATAAATTCTATTTTTTTTTGGCTTGCTCATGCGTGTTGTACCAACCTAGTTTCGACGATACCACCAGTCGGAGGTTATCTTACGTGGCCGGTCTCGACTGCAGGATGGATGGTGGGCTGGTGCGACGGAAGTCCAGGTACAAGGGCAACGAGCCTTGATCAAGAAATATGACGATGGCAAGGACCATGCATACTCTGTAATGCAGCCATGTTCGCATCTACAGGGTGTTGCTCAAATTGTGTTTTCAGAAATGGCTGCGAGACGTCAAGGTGCTGCAGAATCTGTAGTATGTCACACGAAACACTTTGATTTCATCTAGTCTCATTTTCTAGTCACCCCAATTTACCTCAGATGCTTGGATTTTCGGATGAATGAGCCCCAACTCCTTTTATCTTGCTGGCGAATGGTATTCATCCCGTCAGGCATTCGCGATGTGATATCTAATACAACAGCAGTTCAGACACAGAGTCCTCAAGCTCTAGTTCGCGAGGTGCTACGTTCGTCAAGTCTAGGGACCTCGATAGAGCTGTTGTTGCGTTTTGTAAGGTCTTTCTTTTGGCTAGGTGATCAGCATTTGATATATCGAGATACAGTATCGCGACCTTGCTGTGAGTGATCCACCACATATATGTCGCTATTCTTTTGTTGATAGCTGTCTAGGACACGGCGATGTATGTTCAGAGGCAACTCAACCTGGATGAGAACAAGGTTCAAGATTTCATCGAGGTATGTCGCCTGATCTGTCTTGCAATTGATATTTATGGTCTGCAGGCTTCCTCATTGCGAGTCGATTCTCTCAAAACTCTTGTTGTTGGCCTGCCTCCTCCTCGGAATGGCGAGTGGTATACGGCACGGAACTACGGGTTAGCGCATACATTGTTGGATGCGTGTTTGCGAGTAGGCATCGCTTTCATGTGCTTTGAGCTTCATATTAAGGAGCGTGCAAGATGTTGCCAAACAACGGGCGGGTCACTTACTCATATGATAGAGGGGACGAATTTGGTATGAATTCAGGCTCGTGATGAATTGCTCGCTCATATCATTGCAGTGACAGAAGAGATGCAAAAGAAAGTCAACCACCTCGTCACTTTGGCACGAGCCCTACTTCCCGGCGGAAGACAAATCCCCGTACTCCCAACACAGTTAGAAGCATTGATCGAAGAAACGGATTCTGAGATCCCTTCGCTGACTCTGCGACAAATACGAAACCTCACTTGGAATGCTGAAGGCACCCATGGTCATTCCTGGTATGAGAGGAACGTGCCGGCTGATAAGTTTTCTGTTGGTGATATCGGATACATTCCGGTTGGGGGAGACTTCGGATCGTTCGTTCTTCTCAGCAACATCATCAAAGACGGAAAGGCTGTGCTCAGCCTATCTCAGCGGTCGCATGGCGAGCACTGGTGCTGGGACCATGTTCCGATACACAGGCAACCTCTCCAAGCTTACGAGTTGCCTGGAGCTGTTGTAGGGTGAGAATTTTTACGATCTGATGGGAATTATGATGATGACACCGTGACAAGATGGCCTGTCGCAGTGCCCCCATACAGTCAGATTGATGTCGTGGTGGTGCATGAGGCCTATCTTTCTTGTGTCAGGGATGCGTGGCAATATCTATTGAAGAACGGAAAGGGCCATGCGGCCGATAGTGGCATTAGGCCGGAGGATCTGATTCTTGGTTGGCCTTTCCTCGATCTTGCATGACCTTGCGATGTCATTGCTCACCCATTATTACAGTAACCCACGTTGGAACACATCAAGACTTTTATGTCAGGGATTTTCGATCAAAACCTTTTATGACACAAACACATGCAGCAAATCCCCGGTTTGCTGCGAATCAGTTCCATCACCAACATAGGCATGGTTTTACCAGCCACCAGGCTTGGGGTTCCAGAATCACAGCGTTCCGTTCAACCAACCTGCCCTTCCTGCAATAGTTTATCTATTAACTTCATTGGATGCTGATCACGAACCGCATTGGTCACCATCCCCAGTGTGTCTGCCAAATGGTGTATCGCGTCAACCTCTGGCGCAACATTTCACGACGAAGATTGGATGGTGGGTAAATTTTCTTGGATTAGTAAAGTTGGGCTGACCTTGGGCGATACAGGAAAACCGGGTTTTTGAACTATGTTCAACTTCATGCTGAGGACTTCGCTGGCACCTGATGCTTGGAGATTGAAGTTCTCCTGTCACATCCAGACATGAGAACTTCTCCGGCACTTGCAGAATCGACACCTGCACCACTGGTGAAAACTTTGGTTTCGCATGTGCGCCATCATGTGGTATTCAGATGTACGCATGTGTTCCTTCCTATTGTGGTTCGCAAAAGTGGTACTCATTCCTTGAGGACTCAAAGAGCTCGAGTCAACGTAACCATGATGCCCTCTTTAATTATGGACACAATGTGTAGATGCACAAATTTGATAGCGATATGAACAGGTATATAGACAGCAATGTTATCGATTGAGATATCGCATTCCAATGCATTGGAATGGCCCATGCAATCGTGGGAATGATATGTTGATATCAATAAGATACAATAATGATTATCGAATATTCTAATGGATTGGAACACCACATGATGTCATGGGACCAACATCTCAACGACAATTGCAATGTCACACCATTGCAATGGCCCTAGGAAATTTTCAACAATTATAGATGGTGCCACTCAGGCAGACTTATACACCATGGATGAGTCAAGTGGTGAAAACAGGCTGGTCAATCTCAGAGAAATTTGGCAGGCAAAGTGAGGAGTTTAAGCCAGGCTGGTCATAAGCCTAACAGTATACTTGGACATGTCCATCGGAAACCTACAACCTACTGTACAGCAATGTATCACAAATGAATCATAACTGTAGACAACAATACATCAATATTTCAGGTACAGGTGAGCCCAAGAATATGTAAGGCTGTGTTGAATCTTGGATCAATCAACAAATCAAGATGGGCAAAGAAATTGATGGATGACACAAAAATAGGAGTGCCAAGAATTGCAACCCCAAGCAAACATGGACCCATCAATAGGGTGTTTAAATCTTGCAAGTCTGAAAACTTTAGATCATATTCTTGAATCCCAAAGATGACTTACTGAACCATGCAGGCCCTTCAATAGTGAATACAAAGGATGCCAAAAACAGGTTGAAGATGAAGGAGAGAACATGAACAGGACCAGGTGGTATGTCTTTGGCAGTTTCCTGGGTTGTAGGAATAACTGAGATCATGAAAGCTAGGTTCCATGTCAAGATCATGATGAACAATCTTGTGACTGAATTATAGTCCTTTGATGCAAGATACATGGTAAGAGCAATGGCGATGCACCAAACAAGAATAACAGCCTGAGCCACAGTGCCTACAATTACAGGCATGATGAGTTTGTTAGATGAGTTGCAGCAGATGTTTAAGGGGTCAACTTGTCAAGTACTGTGTTGGTATATCATAACGATGTCACAGGTGGATGACATACTATTTATGGCAATTCTGACTCACGTGTGTGTGCTTTGCTCAGATTGTTAGTAGGATTCAAGCTACATTTCAACTGCTCTGCTGCCCACTTGTTTCCCTGTGTCCAGATCTCAACAGTTCATCACACTCTCACAACTGAACGTGCTCTGCCAGGCTAACAAGTCGGCACTTCATGTATGTGACACCTCCATTAAAAAATCTCCTTATGCTCAACATTTCCAGCTTGATATTACACAGTGTCCTGTCCACCGACATTCACCTGCTTATCGGATACCTCAATGTTTTTTCAATGGAATCCTGCCAGATATTTCTTGAGTACTTTTACTGTTAGTATCACTTTGTTCTTATTCTTCAACTTTGTGTTTCCAGTTCTCTGCAAAAAACAGCCCCCACTTCTTCATTGCTTATTCCACCACAGCCCCTCCAATGCCCATGATATGTCACTGTCCTCCCTTCTCAAGCCCTTTTGAAGTGGTGTGGACAAAGTAGTGATGGCACCAAGTTGCGAAGGCACAGCCAAGTTGTTGAGGTTCCATATGTGAAGGGCAAACATGTATGTTTTTTCTCCCCTCCATTGCCCAACCCCACTTAATATCACATAGAGAAACACTTCAGCAAGGGAGGTTGCATTAGTGAAGCAGAAGCAGAAAATGAAAGTGTTGTACTCCAAGAACTCTACTGCAGGCAGCTCATGGCCTCCAAGCCCAATGTCACACAACAATCTGGCACAACAACTCAGACTCAGCCATCTTTGCAACCACAGCCTGTGATGCTCAGACAGGCTAGACTCTGGACTCGCTTCTGGCTCCTCACTGGTTGTCTGTCTCCTGAATACCAGGATGGTCATCATTCATTTGCGATTGCCTCATCCCCTATGGTGATTTCTCTTGTGCCTCTAGAATATCACACCTCTCTTCCATGAGGCCTGAGGTCTACCTCTCTGCTATGTTTCGGGATTGATATTTGCTTACTTCTCCATTTGTATTTATCGCAAACTGATCTTACTTTGGGGTATTTGTGAGCAATAGTGCATTAGACATCTGCGATGGATATGGCATATTCTCTAACTTTGATGTAGCATCGCAGGAACAGACTTGGCTAATTCACACCCTCACCTGGGGCTGTCAGCATTGTGTGATAGATGTCTATGTAATCGCTCTGCCCATCCAACAGCGATCACATCTTGATGGCATGCAGAGTATCCATTCATTCAATCCTGTTGCTTCAGACATCTCATCCTGCTTGTGTTTCCTATACTTACTCATGGCAGGCATCAAAAAGTCTGCTGTTGTATTCATCATTGCTGAAAAGGTGAGAGGTTTGAAGGTGACAGAGCAGACAAATGTCAAAATGCAGGAACATTCTTTTTTTATGTAAGCATGCAACATGTTGCCTAACTGATCATTTCTTTGCATGTCAGCTCCAGTGAATTTCGAGTTCCCTGCATTCTGGAGGACGTGAGAAAAGTCATCAGAGATGATCCTGCCCTTCTAGACCCCGACAGGTATCTTTGTGACCAGATGAAGGCATTGTTTCTCCATCCTTTCCTGAGGCCTCGCTTGAAACTAGGGCAGAACAAGCTTGACACACTCATGATGGATTAATTGATGTCATTGGAATGAACAACAAGCAGGCACTAGATCTAGATGTGTGAGAGGATACTGTCATATCCCACAATCCGGACCCACGTTCCATCATATTCCCATGCCTTCCGAGCCTACATCCGGACCCCACTTCATATCCAACTCATCCCCAGATCCCCTTCCACTGTGTGCTCCACACCTCAGCAGGATCAACTCCATTCCAGATTTACCCCTGAGCTCCAGACCATCGGATCTCCACTGTTAGCCTGATCCATACCCCCCTGTCCCATCCACCCTATGCACACTCCATCCAGCAAGACATCTGGACTTCACCTCGTCTTGGATTCCAGACTATATCCACCTTCTTGTATTCTGGTCCTGTATCCACCTTGTCTTCCAGATCCCCAGATCTCCGGACCTCCAGATATTAATGCTGGACCTATTCCCACCCTCTGTCCGATATCCTGCACCTATCCCCATTTAGACATCTCTACCTTTCTGGCTTTCGGTTACCTCTTCTTCCGTCTTGCTTATTGATCCTTGTACAAGTCTTTATCTCCAAGTTCATTTACTTATGTTCCATCTTACTTACTAATGTGTTTCCACATGCTTGTACATAGCCTTGCTCCTTTGCTTACTGATCCCCTCAGATGTTGTCCAGTATATAACCCCTGTAGATACTCCTGTAGTTCCTCAGTTTGAATATCAACTTAGACTTGCCCAATCCTCTCTCGGACTTTGGTCCACCTAAGTCTGTCCTACCCATCAGGCCTAGGGATTGATTCCCTAGGCTGGAGCTCCACCTTTCCAGCACTTACCCTCTTTCCGGACTTAGGTCCAATCCCTGTCTCTCCAACTCTACCTTAGGGTAGTCTACCTCTGTTTGTTTCTACATCGGACTCCATCCGATGTAGCCCCTATTCCTTCCGGACCTCCAGACTTCTTGTCCCTTGTACCTCCAGGCATCCTGTCCTTTGGATGTTCCGCCCTCTGAACCCTTGGACATCCTATCCTCCTGTCCTTCAGACATCCTGCCCTCTGTACCTTTGGACATCCTGTCCTTCATACCTCTGGACATCCTGTCCTTTTGTCCTCCATCATCCTGCCCTCCTGCCCTCCTGTCCTCCTGTCCTCCTGTCCTCCAGACCTTCGGACCTCCTATCCTTCCATCCTATTTCCTGTAGAAGTATTACCTTGCAGTGGGAACTCTCCTGAACACTTCTTGCATTCCTCCGGACATTTCCCGCGCTCCTCTGGAAGTCCTCTAGCACTCCACCAGAGTAGCCAGCCTCCAGAAGTCTTCCAGACTTCATTGGACCATCATTGGACCTCATATGAAATGAAGGGCACATACTCAGGTAAGGGGCATAGCATATGAGCTGAGGCCAAGCCCCTCTGAGTCAGTCTCTCTCTCCTTTGAGCATGGTTCTTAACAGATACAAACATGTTGATTGGGTTTTTGTCATTACAAGTAAAAAGGTAACAGGCCTCCTGCTCCCAAAGAGTGACCTGTCCACCAAAGCACAATGTCTGTGTACCTCCTGGGAAGTATGTGTTAAGGTCGTACTCAAAGGGTAACTGGATCTGAAGGGCTTTGGCCTCAGCTCATGTGCTGTGCCTCTTATTTCAGGAAGGCAAGCCTAGTGCATCCGGAAGGTCGGACGAGTAGCATAACGGATCCGGATGACTTCCGGATGAGGGATAAGTATCGTATGGCTAATCCAAATGAGTCCAGACTAGAAACTAATGGTAGTGGACTGTCGGGGACAGAGGCGGATATGGATAGACTATAGGAATCAATCCTAAGTCTCGGAGGGTGACAAGAGTAGAGGTACTCAAGTCCGGAGGACAGGAATGAGCAGAACTAAGATGATATTTGAACTGAGGTACTACAGAAAGTTACAGGAGGTTATATACTATAGGTATCTAACGGAATGATCAATCAGCAGAGTCCAAGGCTATGTATGAAGCATGTGGATAGTCTATTGGTAAGTAGAAATGGATCACAAATCATGAAACAGAAATGAAACATAGGTAGCGGATAAGGGAGCAGGACAGATATACAGATAACTGAAATACCGGAGTTAGGGGGTTACTGAAAAGAGACAAGCACTGGTTGTGGATTTGGATGAGTTGTGGACCAGACCAGACGAGTGGACAGATTGAATGATGAGATGTTGGAGGGAGATAAGATGTGGATAGCATTGGAGATAAGATGTGGATCTGAGATAAGGGTCGAATCTGAGATCCAGATATGCAGATATGACAGTATGCTAGAGCATGCACTACTAGAGGTACTACCTGGATGGCACCTGCTGACAGTGAACCAAAGTATGAGTGGACATAGTAAAAATTGTTGAAATGGAGCCTTGAGGTGATGAAGGACTGCAGACTCACACTGATGGAGAAATAGAGAGTCAAGCCCAAGCGTGAGAAATAGATGAGGGTGGATGGTAATCGCTCTTTTGAAGTTAGATATTTTGCATAGTTTAATGGTCCTACAAGGACTAGGAAATTTGAATATTGTGGTACAGTCAGTTATAATCGCTTGGATTGATACAGTGGTAGGACATACCCAAATACCACAAGCAAGCTCCCCAAACTGTGCAAGAGTACTGATTGGAAGGTGAAAAACAAGAAGTTATGCATACCTAGATGCAAAAGAAAATTCCTCAGAAAGCCTTGAGTTCAGATGGCTTGAATTGAATGGGAGGTAGCAGTGCATCTGCAAGTGGAAGGCTTTTCAAGTAAAGATGTTGAAGGACATTGGGGATTGGGCTGTAATGTATGGTCATCAAATATGCATGCAGAGAGACAAAATCAGTTCAATGTGCCTTGAATCAGAGAAGATCCAGTGTAAGCATGTATAAGTGCAAATCAGCTGCCTCTCTGATCACGACTGCAGGTCAATGAGAGTCAATTTGCCAAATAGAGCATCCAGACAACACCCAGGTTGATGGCCAGTGAAAATGGATGAGATATAATTGTAGTGTCAGCATCAATAGTGTCTTGCACAATTGAAAGTAAATGGCAGAAAGCACATAAAGTTGCTATGTGTTAAATTGAGCACCTGTCATATTCCATATGCCAGACATAGATCCCATCATATTCCCACGCTTTCCGGACCTGTTTCCGGACCCCATATCCAACTCATTCCTGGATCCCCTATCCTGTCCACCCTATGCACATTCCGTCCAGCAAGACATCCGGACTTTACCTCCTCTCGGATTCCGGACTACATCCACCACCTCACATATCTCAGTCCTGTTTCTGCCCTGCCTTCTGGATCCCCAGATCTCCGGACCTCCAGATATTAACTGTACTATCTCCAGACCTATTCCCACCCTCCATCCGAGATCCTGTGCCTATCCCCATTTAGGCATCTCCACCTTTCTGGTTCTCGGTTATCTCTGTTTCCGTCTTGCTGATTGATCCTTGTACTAGTTTCATCTCCGAGTTCATTTAGTTATGTTCCGTCTTACTTACCAATGTGTTTCTGCATGCTCGTACATAGCCTTACTCCTTTGCTTACTGATCCTATTGGATAGCCTCTAGTATATAACCCCTGTACAACTACAGTATAGTCCTCAGTCTGAATATCATCTTAGATCCTGTTCTACTTGCCAATCATCTTCTGGACTTCAGTCCATCTGAGTCTTGTCCTTTTCCATAAGGCCTAGGGAAGGATTCCCTAGGCTGGAATTCTGGACCTTCAGATTTGTCCCCTATGTCTCTGTCCCAAGTCTAGGGATTGCTTCCCTAGGCTGAAGTCTTGCCTTTCCAGCACTTACCCTCTTTCCGGACTTAGGTCCACTTCCTGTCTCTCTGACTCTACCTTAGGGTAGTCTACCTCTGTTTGCTTCTACATCAGATGAAGTCCGATGTAGCCCCTATTCCTCCCAGACCTCCAGACCTCCTGTCCTCTGTACCTCCAGACATCCTGTCCCTCATACCTCTGGGTATCCTGTCCTTCGGACGTTCCGCCCTCCATACCTCCGGACACCCTGTCCTCCTGTCCTCTGGACCTCCTATCCTTCCATCCTGTTTTCCTGTAGAAGTATTACCTTGCAGTGGGAACTCTCCTGAGCATTTCCTGCATTCCTCCGGAACTCTCCTGCGCTCTTCTGGATGTTTCCCACGCTCCTCTGGAAGTCCTCCTGCACTCTCCACCAGAGTAGTCAGCCTCTGGAAGTCCTCTGGACTTCATCGGACCATCATCGGACTTCCTCTGAAATGAAGGGCACATACTCGGGTAAGGGGCACAGTGTACAAGCTGAGGCCAAGCCCCTCTGAGTCAGTCTCTCTCCCCTTTGAGCATGGTTCTTAACAGCACCTTGGGACAAAGGGATGAACAGGGTGAATAAACTGCCATAGTGAGCCATCTGAGCTCACTGACAGCATAGTATGATTGAGTTGAATCTGACCTTCAACATTAATTTAAATTTTCAGATTGACCCCTATGCACATTTATCACACCTATCACAATGACCTCTGAGTCAATCAAGGATGCTTCAGTATGAATTATTATCTTGATCTGGCTTCACCTTCTCCTAGTTATCAATTTCATCTCCATGGAATGGTACCCTTCCTTGGCTGGAAGGGCCAATGCTGCCAGTATGGCAGGAACTTGGCTCTTATATGCTGTCCTAGTGCATATTCCAACTACCCGCAGAATTTGCCTAAAGGATACATGCAGCCTTGGCTTCCTATGCTTGGCCTTCTGCTTTTTGTGGGTGGTAGGCCCACAGAATGATGACAGCCACAAAATGGAGACATGGTCAGGCCACTCAGCCAAAGACCTTGCAAGAAACATTGTCATGTACTATGGTTTTACATTGGCATGGGTACTGGGGTTTATACATATGAGTGTGCATTTAAGTTTCTTGGGGGATTTGATTTGGAAGTGGAACTGTCTGTTCCTGATGGTTTGGTCTCTGGTCAAGGGCTGGTCGAAACAGGTGTCTGATTGTCTCATTGGACCCAGCAAGAATAACAATGTGGAGTTGTTTGCACATTGCTCATTGGTAGGTATTTCATTTGTTATTCATAACAAAGCTAATCATATGTTCAAGCCGCAGGAAGATCCTGATTTGTCACATCATTCAGATGATGAGAAACTGCCCAATTTCAAGGTCTGAGCGCACTGGGCCATCTTGACTGAGTCAGGCTGTACCTGGATATTTACATTTCTATTATATATTCAATTACTTGGTATTTTGTACTGTGATCCTCAGCTGCAAGTCTAGTCTTTCTCCATATTCATTCATAATCAAATACTAGTTCAACATCCCTTGCAGCCTCATCGTGGGCCTGAATTCCCTCTACTCAAAGTGTAACTTCAATGAGTCATGTTATCTTCTAACTTCTCCATACTTTCAGTTTTCTCCACATCACTGTTCCTTCATACATTGCTACCATGCCAGTCCATCATCACCATCGCATGACAGCACTCTTCTTGCCCATTATTCCATCACACTGACTCTGATACCCACGATACACCATCCCAGCCTCACCCTTTCTACTGAGCTCAAACTCTTTCTGGATTACAGTGCAGACAAAGTGATGCAGAGATCTAGTTGCACGAGCATCATTCAGCCATAGTTGGCACTAGCTACCGTGCTGTCCTGTATGCACAGGGCAAACATGTGTGTCCCTGCCTTCCTCCTCACTGGATGTTCGAACTCTACCTGATTTCATACACAGGCATGCTTCACTCTTGCAGACAAGTTGCAATCTGTCAATAACTTGTTTCATTGTTTAGATATAATCATCGGGCAACTGCATTACTATCTGGTTATACTTCTGCCATTACCAACACATTCGCATACATCGGTAGCCATTTCCTAAGCAGATGCTCACCTGCAGCCTTGCTCACTGGAGGTCAACTGAAACCATGCTAGCACACTGGGCCTCTTGCTCACAGTGCAGCTTAGCCTGCTCATCAAAGTTGTTTAATCGCCTATTATTCCACCCCTTGTTCTTTCATCATCAATGCTAGCTTCATAATACCCCCAACTCAAAATGTGTTCTGTGCGGGATATATCTAGTGAGACATTAATTTCCATCACACCATCATGTGGTTCCTAAGGTCTTGTTCCTTGTTCTGTTTGCTACCCTTTTGTGAGCTCTATCTCACTTGTTTTGACAGCAAGGCTGGGTAAATGCACTATGGCATACATGTTTGACTTTGAGGAGGGTGGGGTGGTATGACACAATGATAATTGGGATTGACTGATGTTTTATGTGATTTGGACATTGCTTGCTGGACAGTGTGCTATAGTACAATTCAATATTTATGAATTTTGCACACAAACCACAGCCTCATGGTTGGCATGGGTCTGTAACAAGCCTGACGAGTGCCTATTGCTTGAATGCATTCCACTACCATCAGCATCTAGTGAGCATTCCACCCATCTATTCGATCTCAAGCACTTGAAGCAGCCTTTATGCCCTGCATTCTCTATCACATCTCAGTCTGACTGTTCTATCTGATCATCATTGCTGGACACCCACACTAACCCTTTCTGAATGAATCAGTGTCAGTATTTCCATCTCTTATAACCTTTCTCACTATCTGACCTCATTGGTAGCTCTTGCATATGTCTGAAGGATCTTGGGAAAAGCTTTCCCAGGTCGCTGTCAAGGGTGCTCAATACAACTCTTGTGAGCATCAGCCCCATCCGAAATGTTTGGAAGGGACCAGGGTGGTCCTTCTTAACCACATCTACAAGTCACTGGACAACCAAGGAAAGAACCAACTTATCTGGCTGCATGGCACAGTGGGTGTCAGAAAATCTGCTGTTGCATTCACTGTAGCTGAGAGAATGAGAGGTCTGAAAGTTGTAGAAGGAAGCAAGGAAAGGTGGCTCACAGGAACATTCTTTTTTTCATGCAAGCACATGAAATGCCGCACAACTGGTTATTTCTTCATGACTCTTGTCTACCAGCTTGCAAGCAATTTTTCCAGCATCAGGGAGGACATGAAAAGAACTATCCTCGACAATCCTGCATTGCTAGATCACGACATGTCTCTTTGCAACCAGATGGAGGTGTTATTTCTTCAACCTCTCTGGAAGCTTCAGCTTAGATTGCATGAAGGCCTGCCTTTGACATTTGTTATTGACACCCTTGATGAATGCATCAATGAATGCATCAATGAAGATGCATCTAAAAGTGAGCTCACTGATCTTATCTCCTTGCTTGGTGAAGCACTCTGTGATCCTGATCTGCCTGTCACCCACATCCTGCTCATGAGTCATTCAGAGGAACATATCTGTGTAGCCATGCGCACTGCAGAAATGCACCCATTGTTATGCGAGATACCAGTGAAGACTTCTGGGGAGGGTGTTACTGCCACCATCTCATTGGATGGCATAGATGTTGACAGTGACATGTGTTTTCTTGTGACATTCATTCGCAAAGCTGGGAACTCGCCATCCTGATTTTCCTCAACCATCAGAGGATCAACTTACACAGCTAGTGGGCCAAGTGGGCAGACATTTTATCATGGCTTCTACGATGATGAAATTTATTGATGATCAGCAGAATGATCCCCGCAATCGGCTCCAGCTCATGCTCAAGTTAATGAGTGAACTGCTTCCAGGAACAGAGGTGTACAAGTTGTACGACAGTATCCTTTTGACATGTGCTGACCCAGCACTCACATATCTACACTTGTCTGTTATTGCTGCCCTTGCTGACCCTCTGCCAATAGCACAAATATCGAAACTTCTTGGCCCTTGTGAGGGCAGGGACATTGAAAGTGTATTGGTGCAACTATGATCTGTCATAGATGTTCCTACCAACAGCAATCTCCCCATGAATATCTACCACTCCTCTGTCCATGACCATGTTTCTCACTACTTGAACTCCTCCCTCCATCAAGTACATGACATCACATTGCCACACTCTCTACTCGCTCTTTCCTGTCTCCACTTGATGGTGCACGACCTTCTAGATAACACAGCTCTTCCAGATGTGCTCTCAGAATTGATGAAGCATAGTCAAGTTATGGAATCCCATGAACCTCAGAATTTGAAACATGCATTGGACTTCATCATCCAGCCACTTGAGCCACTGCAAGTGCTTATAAGTCTGTTATGGCTTTGGGGGTATCATAATTCAGAATTACAATTCTGGCTGGATACCCAGGATGGGCGTGCTTGGCTGAAAACTAAAGGAGTGGGAGATTGGGTTCAAACACAGGATGGGCAGGACTGGCTAGCAATGGATAGGTTGAAAGTGGGGTTGTGGACATGGTGAAGAAAGCTCTGGTTGCAGACCAAGAGAGGGAAATGCTAGTCACTCCTCCACCCCTTGAATATATCCCGGCCACTACAGACCTTGCACAATGCCTTAAACCTACCTCCATCACCTCCATCACCTCCATTACCTCCATCACCCTCATCACCTTCATCACCCCACTATACTCTCCCATTGTGGCTGGCTGGCTGGAGATCACAGGTGAGGGAGGGCTACTGCGGACCACAGGGGGGGGGGGGGATGGCTACTGCAGACCTCAGGTACACAAGCCTGGCTGCAAGCCTCAGGCAGGCCACACTGGCTACAGTGGTTGGAGACCCAAGTCAGGAGATACTGGCTGCTGAGCCAGAGTGGGCAAGACTGGCTACTGAGCCAGGAGGCCAAACACTGGCTGCTGACTCAGGGTGGGCAAAACTGGCTTCAGACTCAGGGTGGGTGACAATACTGGTTTCAGGCTGAGGTTGTGCAAGAGAAGCTACAGACACAACATGGGCAAGACTGGCTGCAGACTCCAGAGGGGAGAGAGTGGTTGCAGACCCAGGGAGGCAAATACTGGCTGCAGACTCCAGGTGGGCAAGAGTGGCTGCAGACCCAGGGGGGCAAAGACTGGTTGTAGACTCAGGAAGGCAAAGACTGGTTGCAAACCTCAAGTGTCCGAGAGTGGTTGCAGACACGTGGAGGTAAAGATTGGCTGCAGACCTTGGGCATCCTAGAGTGGTTGCAGACACAGAGAGGAAAAGAATGGCTGTAGACTCTGGGCTGGCAAGAGTGGCTGCAGACTCAGGGAGGCAAAGACTGGTTACAGACCTTAGGCATCTGAGAGTGGTTGGAGATCTGTGGAGGTAAAGACTGGCTGCAGACCTCAGGCATCTGAGAGTGGTTGTGAACACAGGGAGGTAAAGACTGGCTGCAGACCTCTGGCGTCTGAGAGTGGTTACAGACACAGGGAGGTAAAGACTGGCTGCAGACTCTAGACATGCAGGAGTGGTTGCAGACACAGGGAGGTAAAGACTGGACACGGACTCTGGAGGGGTGAGAGTAGCTGCAGACACCAGGAGGGAAAGACTGGCTGCAGACCTATGGAGGAAAAGACTGGTTGCAGACCCTGGGTGGGCATGACTGGTTGCAGATGCCCCAGGGTCAAACATGGCAGTTGACAACTCTTTGGGTGACTATGGAAGAGTTCTTGAGCATGTTGGAATCAACCAAAGAGTTCATCATTATTCCAGATTCACCTCTACAGCCTGCTTTTCAAGTAATCCAGCAGTTCAAGAGCTTGCCAGATTTCTTGATGTTTCTGGCCTTCCTGGCATTTAGGCACCAGGATCATTCGGCCTTTACATCAACATACAACCGTCCTCCACCAGACATGGGGGCCATCCATGCAATGATGGCCTTTATTGATTTTGCAAGCCAAGCATGGAAATGAAGTCAATCAACTTCTGATGCTCTAAAGTATGCATGTCAAAACTGGGCCCTCCATCTCTCTCAAGCTCCGAATCCACCAGACAAGAGGCTTACCTATATACTTGTGTCATTCTGGACTTGTAATCTCCTCTCCTGGGTCGAAAGGCAGTGGTGTTTGAAGGATCTGCACTCTTGCCTCACTATTTTATGTGAAGGGGAGAAATTTGCACAGGTGTGTGTTCCCAATGAAGTTTTTCCAGTCTCATGACCTGAACTGCACGTTGTAGGGAACAAGATTCCTCTAGGCATATATTGCCCATATTACAACTCATGATGATTGGTATAGTGTATGACTCACCATCTATGACTTTCCTGTGAAATGCACCAGAGGTGTGACACTTTCCTGCATTACACGACACATTCCCATGCACGCGCTTAGCGTGCTCTTCCCACACTTGGTTGCACTTTGTCACACAGCATCCTGGAGCATCCATCCATCATCCAACCAGTTCCCTAGTGAGTCCCTTTTGTCTATTTTCATTATCAGACCATATTTAGCATTATATGACACTATATTTTGTCATGGACCCTTACTTTACATCATTTTACATACTTAGAGCACTCCTTGTTCACTTCCAAGCCCTGGGAGTGTGCCTAGGCACAGCTTACCTGTGGCCTAGAAAAGTTTTCATAGACCTACCACTACCACAGAATACAGCAACATCCACCATGTCTAGTAGCATCTAGCAGTTAGAATTTATCATCCTCAGTCAGCATGCATCAGAGTCGTCACCCTAGTCACCAGTAACAGTCCATTATCACCATCAGTCACCATTCAGCAGTCTCAGCACACATCCTCATGCCCACTACCAGTCTTTTATACGTCCACACACAGCACATGCCTTATTCCCACACTTTGCACTCCTACGTGCTCCACATTCCTGTGTGTGTGCTTTCAGCACACTTCACCAGAGTTGACCTGGTGTCACCCAGTGGATCCTTGCTTTCTTTGCTTCCCCTAAGGGTCGAACATATCACCTGGTGCATTTCAACCAACACTTAGAGAGTCAGTAGCTTTTCTCTCACTCCAGAGTGAGAGCCCCTCTTTCTTTCTTTTGCTCTGCAAGCCCAGCAGAGTTGTTGAACCTTCAGCATGCAGGAACATCTTCAAGTTGCAAGGTTATCTCTATCATGAGTCTGAAGCACTTAATGTTACATGACATTCCTCACTATTTTGTCGATGCACATTGATTCTTTTCATGTCTTGACTGTTTATATATATCACCCATCTAACTCAATTATACATTTTCTCTCATCCCAGCAGAGCCTATGCTTCCCTTTGATCAGACAAAATAAAGGCATTGTTTTAGTAGCCGAGTACAACTTAGATTCATAATTTAATGTGTGACCTGGGTGCCACTGTACCACGCTGACCCCTCTATGTTAAAATCAGCCTTGACAAGTTTAAAATTTTGCCTCTTTATTACCAAGTCCAACTCTCCTCACCAAGCTGAAAATGTAAAACTCCTCACTGCAATGGATGACCAGTAATGAATACATTGTGTAGTCCCATGAATTATAACCTAGAACAGGCTCGAGTTCTGGGAACCTTGGTTAGATCATGTCCTGAAGGACTTTACCAGCACCAAACAGGTTGACTTGAATGATTGGCAATGCTTGTATGAAATGAATGTGGTAAGTTGAAGTGAGAAAAAACTGCCAGTGAATGAAGCCAAATAAGAGCCATCAGGGGTTTGCTTGACTCAGAGGAAGACTGGATGTGAGAACTTCTTTTTTGCATGCTAAGTGACGTCTCCAGCAGAACAAAAACTATTGATTGTTAAGAACCATGTTGCTCAAGGGGGAGAGAGACTGACTCAGAGGGGCTTGGCCTCAGCTTGTACGCTGTGCCCCTTACCTGAGTATGTGCCCTTCATTTCGTATGAGGTCCGATGATGGTCCAATGAAGTCCAGAGGACTTCCAGAGGCTGGCTACTCTGCTGGAGAGCGCTAGAGGACTTCTGGAGGAGCGCAGGAGAGTTCCCACTGCAAGGTAATACTTCTACAGGGAACAGGATGGAAGGATAGGAGGTCCAAAGGTCCGGAGGACAGGAGGACAGGAGGACAGGAGGACAGGAGGGCAGGATGATGGAGGACAGAAGGACAGGAGGGCAGGATGACAGAGGACAGAAGGACAGGATGTCCGAAGGACAGGAGGATAGGATGTCTGAGGGTTAGGAGGACAGAATGTCCGAAGGTACGGAGGGTGGAACATCTGAAGGACAGGATGCCTGGAGGTACAAGGGACAGGAGGTCCGGAGGTCTGGAAGGAATAGGGGCTACATTGGATGGAGTCCAATGTAGAAACAAACAGAGGTAGACTACCCTAGGGTAGAGTTGGAGGGACAGGGATTGGACCTAAGTCCGGAAAGAGGGTAAGTGCTGGAAAGGTGGAGCTCCAGCCTAGGGAATCAATCCCTAGGCCTGATGGGTAGGACAGACTTAGGTGGACCAAAGTCCGAGAGAGGATTGGGCAAGTCTAAGTTGATATTAAAACTAAGGAAACTACAGGAGTATCTACAGGGGTTATATACTGGACAACATCTGAGGGGATCAGTAAGCAAAAGAGCAGGGCTATGTACGAGCATGCAGAAACACATTAGTAAGTAAGATGGAACATAAGTAAATGAACTTGGAGATGAAGACTTGTACAAGGATCAATAAGCAAGACGGAAGAAGAGGTAACCGAAAGCCAGAAAGGTAGAGATGTCTAAATGGGGATAGGTGCAGGATATCGGACAGAGGGTGGGAATAGGTCCAGCATTAATATCTGGAGGTCCGGAGATCTGGGGATCTGGAAGACAAGGTGGATACAGGACTGGAATACAAGAAGGTGGATATAGTCTGGAATCCAAGATGAGGTGAAGTCCAGATGTCTTGCTGGGTGGAGTGTGCATAGGGTGGATGGGACAGGGGGGTATGGATCAGGCTAACAGTGGAGATCCGATGGTCTGGAGCTCAGGGGTAAATCTGGAATGGAGTTGATCCTGCTGAGGTGTGGAGCACACAGTGGAAGAGGATCTGGGAATGAGTTGGATATGAAGTGGGGTCTGGATGTAGGCTCAGAAGGCGTGGGAATATGATGGAACGTGGGTCTGGATTGTGGGATATGACATTGATGCTGACAACCAAAAACATTTGAACAGAGTGAGATTTGAACTCATGCCCCCAAAGAGACCAGATGATACACTCATCAAATGAGCTGGTTCTCTCCTTAGTCTGGCACCTTGGACTGCTCGGCCATCTGTCCTAGGCCTGAGCCTTCCTACCATGAAATTTTCACTCTGATACTGACCAAGATCCCCCTCAGCTGTCACCTCCTGTCCAACAATGGTGGCCAACTGAGCTTGCACAACACTTTGCAGGAAACAATGCCCATGATGATGGCGAGTGAGGAGAAGAATGAATGCTTCGAAGACCAGATACTGAGATGAATACCTTTGTGGAATCACTTGCAGGCACATATTGGGCCCATAATTCTAGTGTTGAGTCAATTGACAGTGTCATGGTATAGGCTAACTAATGATTGACACATCGAGAGCTTGTGCCCACAAGGCAAACATGATGAGCAGAAAATCTAGGGATCAAGGCTTGATAATGAAAATCACACTAAAGGTACAACAGAGTCAGATGGTCTTCTACGTGGTCAGGAGAATGAATTCTAACAACTTCCTTTGTCATCTCCTTCCACTTTGCAGTTGCTGGTAGATGACTAGGTGTGTGTATATTCAAGGACAGCAGGAATGTGGTAAATGGGCTTCCCCACAACCTGTTGATGGACCCTCACTTGCCATCTATGTAATAGTCAAGGATGCCTATTGCCCAGTCCATTTCACTGTTACAGTCACATTCACCCCTATTCATTTTCTCCTTACTATCCTTGTATTACATCACGAGCCGCATGATGCTGCCACTAGACCTATCTTTGACTCATACATTGTATTACATCATGACCACCATTGCCATTGCTAGATGACCTATTCTTTCCATCACTTACGCGTCCTTTATCTCTGACTCATATCCATTCCTACACCTGCCCTAAAGCACTTGTGGTTTACTATAAATAGTTCTCTTGTACACTTTAGTTCTGCACTTTAATCTTACTAGGTTTTCACCTGGAACATCTTTCGCTTAGGATCTCCAATCCTAAGTTGTCTGAACTGATATTCAAGTCAAAGACACTCTCTTTGCCTTGTCTTACGACCCTTGCATTTGCAAGGTCTTGACTATAACTTCAGCCATCACTCTTATTGAGCAGCTGTTGTTACGACCATCCTAGTTCATAACACTCGCAAGGCTTTGGGCCAATGTGCCTCACCTTCACCCTAAAGTAATCATGCTTGAATGAAAGACATCTTGAGTCAGACAACTCTTTGCTGATGTCCTCTACTGCAACACGCAGTAGGAGCACCCAAATTTCGAGTCTGTGATTGGTCAAGGCAAAGTGCCTATCTCCAAACTCGTAGGTTGCGGCCAGGTCAACTGCATTGTGAAGTGTTTTGATACATCCTGCAGCATAGGAGTGCGGAGTTTTTGGGAGGGCCATGTTATAGTGGGAACAATGACCGCTCCATAGAAACATGTCCCATTTGTCATATCTCTTTATGACCTCCTCCATGAGATGGAAGAAAGCTCTTTTGCCTTTGCCATATGAGATCATGAGGCTGATATTGAATATTCCAACAAGGGAGTATGTGAGGTCTTCAATACAAGTCGTTCGCCTCCTGGACGCCCACAACATCTTTTCTGGCACTTGGTTGATGCCAGGTGTGAATGATTTAAGATCTTTCATATTGATGTCTGTGAGCATTGATATCTTCTCCATAGTGACTTTGCTGTCTCTGTCATTCATAGAGCTGTGGATGAGAGGGTTCCAGTTTTCTCCATAGAATTTGATTTGTGATGGAGCAATGAGCTCTTGAAGCATCCATCCTCTTTCAAACCAAACATTGACTGCCTTTTCACCACTTGCACCCCTCTCCTGCAGTTGAAGAGCTGCGAGGTTTGCTGTTTCCAAAAGGAGAGCAGTGCATATATGGGAGTTCCTGTACCAGCAAAACATAGAGTGGATGGATTCGTCCAATTCTGAGCTGCTTGTTTTGTCTATGCAGCACATATTGGACCAAGCGAATTCACAGCTGTGAACATCCTTCACTGTATGGCAAAAATTTTGAAGCTTCTTCCATCCTGGCCCATGACCAACAGGAACTTCTGTTGGTTCCTCTGGCATCTGGTGATACAGAGGCTCTTGCTTGCCCAGCAACCATCTATGCAAGAGGATAGCATATTTCAGTTCTTTTTTCATGCACTCTTTGATGCAATCCTCCCTCTCCTCCTCATCTATGATCATCTTTTCAGCAAATTTTGCATGAATGTTGTCAGGGACCCTTTTCTCTTTGAAATGCACCCTGACGAAATCCCTGTCCACAAGTTGAACCCTTATCTTCTCACCACCTTTGGTGATATGAAGTAGACAAATGGGCATCTCATTGGTGATGTATTCATGGAATACTTCTTCTATGAGATCTCTGAGGGGGTCATGGCCATCTGTTGCAGCAACAAAGGCGCTCATTGTATGAACATTGCCTAGTGACTTGAAAGTTGTCTAGGAATATTAGAAAGCAGCAAATGCCATATGCATAACAAAAACTCACGATCGACAACCTCTGATAGTGATGGTGAGTGGGAGGCTCCCTAAATGCTCTGGAAGGAATACAAGAAGTTCTCATCTTTTAAAGGCTTGTGAACCCTGCTATGAATGAACAGACATGAGGACCTGCAGATCCATATTCAGTATATCATCACGTACATCACCCTTCTTCTCCTGCGCCATCAATACAGCAATAAATTGCCTTTGTGAAACCTAAAGAAACTGTATGAGTCTCCTGCACTGCATACAAGATATCGGAACATGCTGATGGTCGTTCAGAATCAAAGCTGACAGTCTAGAACGTTCGCCTTCTAGAACTGGGACACATGATGCAAAGATTACATACCATGCACATTGTCTGCACATGGGGTAAGCGTCTCTGGCTGTGTTGGTTCAGGTAGACATGTGTAGAACTGCAGGATGCAGTTTTTTCACACCATCCATTCTCAGGCAAAAAATAAGCCACCCCCCTTTTATTCAAGTCATTATTCCTCAAGTCGATGCAGCCCACGGATGCAAAGGCAGACCGCTGAGATGTTATCAATGCATGCTTGTGAACATTGAGTTGTACATGTCTGTGAGGGCTTGTGTTTGATGACATCTTTTGCTTGTGACTGCACACTGTTGCAGGAGACAAAAAAAGTCAGACTGATTGATATGCCTATGAAACAAGGGAGACATAGTATTTTACAATAGATCTGCTGGTCCTCCCTATCACCTTGGCACTGGATTTGAATAATTGATGTCAGTATTAATGCCTGGGGAAAGAAACTGGGTGGGCAGTCTAACTGTCCATCCATCTCCTACTCTTCCACCCTTCACTGCTGAAGGTTCAACAACTCTGCTAGGCTTGCAGAGCAAAAGAAAGAAAGGGTGGCTCTACCTCTGGGGTGAGAGGAAGGCTACTGACTCTCTAAGTGTTGGTCGAAGTGTGCCAGGCAATATGTTCCCCTTAGGGGAAGCAAAGAAAGCAAGATCCACTGGGTGACACCAGGTCAACTCTGGTGAAGCGCGCACGTGGGAATGTGGAGCACATAGGAGCATGAAGTGTGGGAATAGGGCGCACACAGTGCGCGAACGTATAAATGACTGGTAGAAGGTGTGAAGGCATGAACTAAGACTGCTGAATGGGCTGGTGATGATAATGGACTTGGGCTGATGACTAGGGCAACAACTCTGATAGATGCTAACTCATGATGGATTCTAACTGCTAGATGACTACTGGATGGTGGTTGGTGTATATCTGTGGTGGTGGTTGGTGTATGAAAACTTTCTAGGCAACAGGTAAGCTGTGCCTAGGCATGCTCCCTGGGGCTCGGAAGCAAACAGGGAGCACTCTAAGTATGTAAATGATGTAAATAAGGGTCCATGATGGAATAATATATCGTATGATACCAGAAATGGTCTGATATGAGAAATAAATGAAAAGGGACTCACTGGGGGACTGGTTGGATGATGGATGGATGCTCCCAGATGCTGTACGACATAAGGCGACCAAGTGTGGGAAGAGCGTGCTAAGTGCATGTGCAGGAATGCGTCGCATAGTGTGGGAAAGCGTCACGCCTCTGGTGCGTTTTGCAGGAAAGTCATGGAGGGTGAGTCATACACTGTACCAATCGTTGTGAGTTGTAATATGGGTGATATACACCTGGAGGAATCTCATTCCCTACACCGCTCCTCCCATAAGCTCATGCATCAAAAACAGCATCTGAAAAACCCACAGCTTGAAGTGTGTTTATGCAACATGGAACAGCATGCCTAGTATGACATCACGTCTGGTGCATTGTCCAATTGTGTCCTTCCAAATTGGTAAGATTGCCTCCTGCACCAGCTAAAACTACCTGTCAATGTCATTCAAACCATTGTGTTCCAAGAAGAAGGCCAACCTTTGTATATCCTTGTGCTTTAACATGTGGGTACTGGATAATGCACTCTGTGGCATGTGTTCTCCTTCAAGGAGCAGGGTATTCAGTGATGCCTTACCACTGACAAGTAGCGTGCAGCATCCACTGCAGGAAGTAAATAGTCCAATTCAGGCTGGGAATGGAATGAACGCTTGCATATGTAGAAGCTACAGGTGTCAGGAAGCTGGAGTTTAATTTAGCTGAATGAGCCTTTTGGCAGTATGGCAAAGACACAGGACTGGTGACCAGTTCAGCTGACCACATCCTTCAGAAAGAATGTGTGGTTTTGACATACTACCAAACTGGTTGATCTCTGAGTTGGAGCGGCACAGTATGAGTGGCAGGGTGTTAAGAACCATGCTCAAGGGAGAGAGAGACTGACTCAGAGGGGCTTGGCCTCAGCTCATACACTGTGCCCCTTACCCGAGTATGTGCCCTTCATTTCAGAGGAAGTCTGATGATGGTCTGATGAAGTCCGGAGGACTTCCAGAGGAGTGCAGGAAACGTCCGGAGGAGCATGGGAGAGTTCCGGAGGAATGCAGGAAATGCTCAGGAGAGTCCCCACTGCAAGGTAATACTTCTACAGGAAAACAGGATGGAAGGATAGGATGTCCAGAGGTCCAGAGTATGGAGGACAGGAGGTCCAGAGGTATGGAGGATGGAACGTCCGAAGGTACAGAGGGCAGAACGTCCGAAGGTACAGAGGGCAGAATGTCCGAAGGTACAGAGGGCAGAATGTCCGAAGGTACAGAGGGCAGAATGTCCGAAGGTACAGAGGGCAGAATGTCCGAAGGTACAGAGGGCAGAATGTCCGAAGGTACAGAGGGCAGAATGTCCGAAGGTACAGAGGGCAGAATGTCCGAAGGTACAGAGGGCAGAATGTCCGAAGGACAGGATACCTGGAGGTATGAGGGACAGGACATCCAGAGGTACAGAGGACAGGAGGTCTGGAGGTCTGGGAGGAATAGGGGCTACATCAGACGAAGTCCGATGTAGAAGCAAACAGAGGTAGACTACCCTAAGGTAGAGTTGGAGGGACAGGAAGTAGACCTAAGTCTGGAAAGAGGGTAAGTGCCTGAAAGGCAAGACTCCAGCCTAGGGAAGCAATCCCTAGACTTGGGACAGAGACATAGGGGACAAATCCGAAGGTCCAGAATTCCAGCCTAGGGAATCCTTCCCTAGGCCTTATGGAAAAGGACAAACTCAGATGGACTGAAGTCTGGAAGAAGGTTGGGCAAGTCTAAGGTGATATTCAGACTGAGGACTCTACTGTAGTTGTACAGGGGTTATATACTAGAGGCTATCCAATAGGATCAGTAAGCAAAGGAGTAAGGCTATGTACGAGCATGCGGAAACACATTGGTAAGTAAGACGGAACATAACTAAATGAACTCGGAGATGAAACTAGTACAAGGATCAATCAGCAAGATGGAAACAGAGATAACTGACAACTGGAAAGGCGGAGATGCCTAAATGGGGATAGGTGCAGGATCTCGGACAGAGGGTGGGAATAGGTCCGGAGATAGTACAGTTAATATCTGGAGGTCCGGAGATCTGGGGATCCGGAAGGCAGGGCAGAAACAGGACTGAGATATGTGAGGTGGTGGATGTAGTCCGGAATCCAGGAGGATGTAAAGTCCAGATGTCTTGCTGGATGGAATGTGCATAGGGTGGACAGGATAGGGGATCCAGGAATGAGTTGGATATGGGGTCTGGAAATAGGTCCAGAAAGCGTGGGAATATGATGGGATCTATGTCTGGCATATGGGATATGACACAGGGTGAAACAGCCCATAGTAGGGGTACATATAAACCAGTCTGTTTATGGGTCTATCATCAAGACATGTCCCCCGCAGGTGTGCTGATGGATTTGTGTGACTGAGCATGCTGGTCCAGTACTTTGGAAATTTGTGTTAGTATGGTTGGCCATTATGAGGATTATGTCTTTGCAGCCATGGCCGTGTAGTGTTGTGGGCAGAACTGATGAGTTCTGTCAACTGGTTTGGCAGAACTGTGAAAAATTGTTGGCAGAACTTGGCAAAACTCAGGGTTGGCAGAGAACTAGTCCATAGTAATATGTATGTACATTGCATATATCTTTAAAAGTGTGAAAACAGAGTCACAGACACTCTCAGCTGATCCTTTGTCCCAGAATATGGTTCATGCTGGTGGCTGCCCACTGCCCAGTGCCATACCTAAGATTCAACGATGACTTTGAGTGTCTCAACAAAGTTGCCAACAGCTCTGGCCACTACTTCTGGAAATGTCAGCACTGCCATATCATCTGCCACTGCAAGGATGCTACTCCCAAACTTCACCAAAAAGCCCAGACATTTATTATGAACAAGGCAGAGGGCAACAGAAAGCCTGCATGTTGTCGGCATATGCATATGCACACTTGTGAGGAGGTTGGAATCAATGTTGATGTCACCCAGAATCTGGAAGCCAATTTTGCATGGGTGCCTCCACTTGTAGCAGAGCCACAAGATGTAGACAACCTCCTTGCAGGTCCCAAGACCATATCAGCTGATGAAATTGCCAAAGCATTTGTTGCTCTCAAAGCACAGGAGAATCTGGAAGAATTTATGAGTATTGACAATGTGGAGGTCCTTGAAGGGAAGGCATTTGATTTTGCTGAATTGGAGCAGGTTGACTAAGGGATAGTACCCCAAGCTGCTGTGGATGAGATTGATGTTGTGGATCATGATGGTGAGGATGATGGATGGCATGAGGCATCATTGATGTCTTCAGTAGGACTGACAGTCAATATTGATGTTGTAGATATAAAATTTTCACTGCTAGAGTTATGCCACTTGGCAGAACTGGTTATTCTGGTGGCTCTGCTGGCAAAATCAACCTCTGCCCACAACACTACTATCCAGGCCATGGCATTAGGCTCAAGATCATTCCTTCTGAATTACTATGTAGGGAGCCAGCCCTCTGCCACTTGCCACTTGGTCAGGTATACAAATTTTTCCCAACTTAAAGCTTAAAGGAGGATGCACTTCATATCTTCAAATCTGTCTTTGGTGTGTCTTGGGGGTTTGGAGACCTCCTGTTAAGAACCATGTTGCTCAAGGGGGAGAGAGACTGACTCAGAGGGGCTTGGCCTCAGCTCATACGCTGTGCCCCTTACCCAAGTATGTGCCCTTCATTTCATATGAGGTCCGATGATGGTCCGATGAAGTCCAGAGGACTTCTGGAGGCTGGCTGCTCTGCTGGAGAGCACTAGAGGACTTCCGGAGGAGCGTGGGAAATGTCCGGAGGAGCGCGGGAGAGTTCCAGAGGAACGCAGGAAGTGCTCAGGAGAGTTCCCACTGCAAGGTAATACTTCTACAGGAAACAGGATGGAGGGATAGGAGGTCCAAAGGTCCGGAGGACAGGAGGACAGGAGGACAGGAGGACAGGAGGACAGGAGGACAGGAGGACAGGAGGACAGGAGGGCAGGATGATGGAGGACAGAGGGACAGGATGTCTGGAGGTACAAGGGACAGGATATCCAGAGGTACGAAGGACAGGAGGATAGGATGTCTGAGGGTTAGGAGGACAGGACGTCTGAAGGTATGGAGGGTGGAACATCTGAAGGACAGGATGCCTGGAGGTACGAGGGACAGGAGGTCCGGAGGTCCAGAAGGAATAGGGGCTACATCGGATGAAGTCCGATGTAGAAACAAACAGAGGTGGACTACCCTAAGGTAGAGTTGGAGAGACAGGGATTGGACCTAAGTCCAGAAAGAGGGTAAGTGCCGGAAAGGCAGAGCTCTGGCCTAGGGAATCAATCCCTAGGCCTGATGGGTAGGACAGGCTTAGGTGGACCAAAGTCCAAGGGAGGATTGGGCAACTCTAAGTTGATATTCAAACTAAAGAACTACAGGAGTATCTACAGGGGTTATATACTGAACAATATCTGAGGGGATCAGTAAGCAAAGGAGCAAGGCTATGTACGAGCATGTGGAAACACATTAGTAAGTAAGTCAGAACATAAGTAAATGAACTTGGAGATGAGGACTCATACAAGGATCAATAAGCAAGATGGAACAAGAGGTAACCGAAAGCTGGAAGGCAGAGAATGCCTAAATGGGGATAGGCACAGGATATCAGACAGAGGGTGGGAATAGGTCCAGCATTAATATCCAGAGGTCCAGAGATCTGGGGATCCAGAAGACAAGGTGGATCCAGGACTGGAATATGAGAAGGTGGATATAGTCTGGAATCCAAGATGAGGTGAAGTCTGGATGTCTTGCTGGATGGAGTGTGCATAGGGTGGACAGGATAGGGTTGTATGGATCAGGCTAGCAGTGAGGATCTGATGGTCCAGAGCTCAGGGGTAAATCCGGAGTGTAGTCAATCCTGCTGAGGTGTGGAGCACAGCGGAAGGGGATCTTGGAATGAGCTGGATATGATGTGGGGTCCGGATGTAGGCTCGGAAGGCGTGGGAATATGATGGAACATGGGTCCAGATTGTGGGATATGACACCTCCTGTGAATGCAATATGAGGTTGTCCTATGGCAAGCCTGAAGTTGAACTATTAACAATCTGCTTAACAAGTCATTCAATTTTATGGTGAAGCACACCATGCCAATGTGTACCCCTTGAAGCTTGAAGCTGAGCTTAAGCGTCCAAGTTCTGCCAGTGGCTGTAGTGCCTGTGATACTATGTGTTAGTGCTGAGCAAGCCTCAGCTGGATAAGCACCTTGTTGTCCTCCAGCTGCATTCCACTATCATCCACACCATTCCATTCGATCTCAGGTAATTCTTGCACCTTTTGTTTTGTATCACTCTACAGTGAGTAACAGCATTCGATCAATTCATTACCCAATGCCTCACGATCACCACCACTGGACAGACTTACTATGTAAAACATCATTTCATTACATCACCTTAAAGGATTCAACATTATAGCTTCGTCTTCTATCCTTGGATCAGCATCCTGGTAAGTCTCAAGGTAATTTCTGCTTCTGTGGTTTCTAACCTATAGCTGTCTTTACCTGCTAGTAAGACTTTATCTCACAATCTGTGCTATGATTATCATCATCTCCTTGTTGAGGAGTTATTGTGAGTATACCCATCTCTCCTTCCTTCTCTCCTTCTGACCTTATTATCAGATTTTGGATATGTCCAAAGGAGCTTGGGAGAAGTTGGCCCAGGTCACTGTCAAGGGTGCTGAGCATGACTTTCATGAATGCTTGCCCCATCCCCAATGTTTGGAAGGGACCCAAGTAGACCTCCTCAACTATATCTATGGAGTATTAGATGACAAAACGAAGAACCGACTCATTTGGCTCCATGGTATAGCAGGTGTCAGAAAGTCTGCTGTTGCGTTTACTGTAGCAGAAAGGATGAGAGGTCTGAAAGTGACAGAGGAGACAAATGTCAAGAAGCAGCTCACAGGAACATTCTTTTTCTCCTGCAGGCACATAAATCGATGCACAACCGGTCATCTCTTTGTGATGCTTGCCTACCAGCTGGCCAGCAATTTCCCCAGCGTCAAGATGCATGTGACCAAAGCCATCCTCAAGAACCCTGCTCTGCTACACCCAAACAGGTCCCTTCGCAATCAGATGGAGGCGCTGTTTTTCCGACCTCTGCAGCAGCTCAAATACAGACTGCATGACTGTCCACCTTTGGCATTTGTTATTGATGCCCTTGATGAATGCACAGAAACCCTCGACCAATCTGCACCAGAACCCCTTGACCAGTCCACAATTGAAGCCCTCAATGAAAACAAATCCAAAATCAAGCTTGCTGAATTCATCTCCTTGCTCACCCAAGCTCTTTAAGATCCTTATCTCCCCACGACCCAAATTCTAGTCACAAGCCACTCAGAAGCGCATATTCATGAAGCCATGCAGCACGAAGATGTGTGCCCATTGGTATGTGAGATACCAGTGAAGATTTCCAGACAGGGTGTTGCTGCCACCATCTCGCTAGATGGTGCAGATGTCAACAAAGACATCTATCTTTTCTTAGAGCATTCCTTTATGAAACTGTGAAGTCACTTTCCCACTTTCCCATAGCCAACAAGGGTTCAACTGGAGTGGCTAGCAAACCTGAGCGGGGAGACATTTCATCATAGCATCTACAATGATGAAGTTTATCAATGATCGACGCAATGATCCCTACAACCAACTTGAGCTCATGCTCGATCTAGCGAGTGACCTGGTTCCAGGAACGGAGGTGTACAAGTTATATGATCATATTCTATCCACATGCGCCAACCTGACACAGTCATACCTGCACTTGTCCATCATTGCTTCCCTTTCAGATCCTCTGCCTATGTCCCAAATCTCCAAACTTCTTGGCCCTGGTGAGGGCAGGGATGTCAAAAGAGTACTGGTGCAACTACACTCTGTCATAGATGTTCCCACTGACAATAGTCTCCCTGTGAATATCTATCACTCATCCATTTGTGACTATGTTTCCCACCCCTCCAACTGCAGCCTCCCTTAAGTAAAATATATCACATCACCACACTCCCTACTCATGCTTTCCTCTCTCCACTTGATGGTGCGCAAGATTCCTGAAAGCACAGCCCTCTTCGATGTGCTCTCAGAATTGAGTAGGCAGAATCAAGCTATGGAACCCTGCAACCCTCTGGATTTAGGTGGCTCATTATCCTTCATGATCCAGCCACTGGAGTCTTTGCAAGTTCTTACAGCTTTACTATGGCTTCGGGGAGATCATAGGCCAAAGTTACAATACTGGCTAGTGACCCTAGATGGGCATGCCTGGTTGCAAACTTGAGAAGGGAGGTCCTGGATGTTCACTGAGAGAGGGGAAACAGACTGGTTGCTCACCCAGGGGGGCAAGGACTGGCTGCAGACCCTCTGTGGGCAAGACTGGTTGCAGACTACACACAGGCAGGACTGGCTGCAGAAGCCAGGTGTGCAAAAATGGCTCCAGACAACACATGGGCAAACATGGCTACAGAGCTCAGCTGGACAAGACTGGCTGCAGGCCACACGTGGGACAGAGTGGCTGCTGACTCCGGATGCACAACAGTGGCTGCAGATTCCAGATGGGCAATGGTGGCTGCTAACCCAGAGCAATGAGGAATTCTCTGAGTCCCTGCCCAGGGATAACATGCTGATGTCCCCATCTGTAATACATGTCCCTGGCAGGAGACACACCCTATCAAAGTACAAGGGGCAATCCCAGCTGCAGATCCAAGAGAAATAACACTGGCTGGCAACCCCAAGAGGGAGATGCTGGCTGACAACTCCAGTAGGGCAACACTGGCTAGCAACCCCAAAAGGGCAACACTGGCTAGCAACACTGGCTGCAGATGGAGGATGGGCAAGGCTGGTTGCGGATGGAGGGGCGAAGTTGGTTGACAATGCAGTATGGACAAGGTTGGCTGCAGACACAGGGTGGATGAAGCTGGTTGCACACCTGGGGCAGGTGAAACTGGCTGGAGATGGAGGGGCGAGATTGGCTGCAGACCCCAGATGGGCAAGACTGGTTGCAGACACCACAAGGTCAAATGTGGAGGTTGATGAACGTCTGGCTGACAATGGAGGAGTTTTCGAACACATTGGAAGCAATCAGGCAATGCATGATTGTTCCAGAATTGCCTTTGCAGCCAGCTTTTCAAGTTATCAAGCAGTTCAAAAGCTTGCTGGATTTCATGATGTTTCCTGTGTTCCTGGCGTTGAGACACCAGGATCATTCTATCTCTGCATTACCCCCAGGTTGTTCCTCAACAGACATAGAGATCATTCATTCTATGAGAACATTTATCATTTTTGCATGCGAAGCACATGAACAAAATTGAGGATCTTCCGACATTCTCAACTACGCATGCCAAAACTGGGCCGTCCATCTCTCACAAGCCACGAATCCATGAAATGCGAAGCTCACCCACATACTTAAGTCTTTCCAGGATCGCCATCTCCTTTCCTGGCTCGAAAGGCAGTGGTGCACGAAGGATCTACAGTCATACCTTACTATTTTATCTGAAGGCGAGAAACTTGCAAAGGTATGAGTGTTAACAATTTTGGTTTCCTAAACTCACAACCTAGCCTGTGCATTTAGGACCATCTCATCGAAGTTCCAGGGTCATCTTAGTAACCAGTCTGAAGCTGATGGATTCGTGCTGCACTATCTTGTTATTGCTATGCATATTGATTTCTTACTGTAATATTACTCGAGTGTATATGCAGTATCACCAGTTCACCCCTCTAACCAATTGATCGTAATCATGGCACGTATGGGCGAGTTGGCTCCATTCTTGCACCTGAACAAGCCTGCGACGCAAGTGCAACAAAATTGTAGCTTGAACTCAACCAACGGTTAGCTTCAAGGGGTACAGTTAATAATAGTAATAATATGTGGCTGTGCTGAACATATCCCTATCCAAAATTTCCTTTCACTTTATGATACGTCGACATTTACATAAATCGAGGACGCGCCCATCGGAGAGTCGGGGACCGAACTACACGCCAACTGCTCTCTCATTTTCGAAAAAAATTCCTGCTAGAAACTTTGTGTCGAGGAAGAGTCACGAGGAATGCATGTATTTCGACATCAACCAAGACCGTCATCCTTGAATGGCCACAAAGTTTGTCGCTCCGCAAGGGACTTGAGTTTCCTCGGTATTCGGAATTATTTCAATGACCTTGAAAGTCAGAAATACAATCACGAAGTCCTGGGCGCCCGTCGGGCGCAGTTTTCGATTTCGCGTCGCTCTCGGGGTTCAGCGCAGATGTCACTTCAGAAACCGAAGGAATTGGATATCCCAATAGAAGATTATTACTCTGGAAATCATGCCCCTCTTCCACCTTCTCAGCGCTCTGACTGGCGGCTAAGAGCCACTTCGCGCACCAGCCGTATTCAACTATTTGATGGTCAACGACACAGGAGATACATCAAACGTACAAATCCTCCCCACATCCAAGTGCAACAGGGAGAGCCTTTTTTCGAAGAGATTCAGGCATACAATAAACAGTTCGTTGCTCTTATGAATTTTGCCTTTGTATTAAATCAGCCGTTCGTAGTTTTTTATCTTTACTGGAGTCTGAACAAACCGAGGATGAGGCAGTTCTGAGGGAGCGACTGTCCACTTGGTCGTTATTTCGATTACAAGAAGAAGGGTATACGATGACGGGTCTTTCTGCTTTTTGGATGGGCGCACCGAAGTTTGGACGTTTTGTAGCTTCATTTTCTCTTGGTCCTGGTATCGACTTGCCAGATCATAGGTTCGAGTGAGTTTTTGTCTCCATTTGAATCTCGTCGAATAAGCGTACTTACTGTGTCCAGGAATGGTACGCAAGTTCTTGTTTCAAGGTTTGATCCCCTTCAGGAGCCACCACGCCGAGGAAGTGTCCTTAACAAGACTGCATCACAACTGCGCGTGGCATTCGAAGAGAAATTTGAGGTTGAAGGTGGCTGCTGGCGCTTGGATGTTGGGCGGTCCAACATCGTGTACATTCGTATGCGAGAAGCCATTTCTCGATTCAATCAAGACCCGCAAGCACTAGAAGACCGAACTCATTTGATATCCTCTCCAGACAACCAGTTTATTCTCCACGGAACTCATTTGCGAGACGTCTTGTTGCGTTCATTTTCTCCGGATAGACCATCACTGCATGTACCGTTGCAACCTCCAGATGAGGTTAAGTATGTGCCTCGAGGGAAACTTGAGCATGACAGTCGGGAGGTGCGAGAGCATGGAGGCGCGTTCAAGGAAGACATGCACATCCAAAGCTGGGCAAGGCGATACTCACAGGTCAATCCAATTGCAATAGATGGTGATCCGGTCCTTGAGGGCCTGAATGCCACGCAGATTCGAGCTATTGCCATGATGATTGGCGAACGGATCAGTCTTGTTCAAGGAGTACGTTTCATCTGGTCAAGTAACATTGAAAACTAAAGGACATTCACTTCAGCCGCCTGGTACAGGCAAAACGAAAACGATCATCGAAGCTGTGAAATTACTCAAGGTTCGATTTCCTCGCATCGATTTATATCTGTCTCTGAGGTGTTATTCAAGGTTCACTTTGAAGTGCATCATCCTCTTCTTGTCTGTACTTACACCAACGTTGCGGTCGATAATCTCGTGGAGGGTTTTGCAGCGGCTGGCGTGAAACCCCTTCGGGTCGGGTTCGGTGCTAAAATCAAATCGTCTCTGTACGAATATACTTTAGATGCGAAGCTGGAGGCGCATCCTCTCAGGCTTAAAGTCGACCAACTTCTGAAAGACCAGGAAAACGTCGAAAGAAAGTTAGGCGCGCTGGAAAATAGAATCGTTGTAGCTGAGAAATCGGGCAGTGGAAAGCTCAGTAGCATGCGGACTGCGTTTACTCTATTGGAGAGGCAAGTTTTGGCGTTGAGAGCGAAACTGTATGCGCTTCATCAGGAAATGCTCAACGATATCACTGCTGCTGCTGACGTAGTGAGTGACCTATTATCTGTCCCACTTTGCCTCGGACTCACGACTGCTTGGCAGATTTGTACAACGTGCATCACATCTGCTAGCGCCGCACTCAATATCCTTGACTTTCCAGTTGTGTTTTTAGATGAGGCTTCCATGTCAACAGAGCCAGCGTCACTCATTCCTTTGATGCGAGGAGTGAGCCGGCTGAACTCTTTTCCGTATTTTCGTTCTAACCATTAGCAGTCTCAACATGTTGCCCTGATTGGAGATCATAAACAATTACCTCCCGTCATTACCAGTCGCGAAGCGCAACTTAACGGCCTTGGGATCAGTCTATTTGAAAGACTTACTGAAGAAGGAGGTGTGTGGTTCTGACGTCAGAAGAGTTCTTATCTGGAATATCAAATTATAGTTGTTCCATCAATTATGCTTGATGTGCAGTACAGGATGCACCCTTCCATTTCTAGATTTCCGTCGCTAGAGTTCTATGACTTTGCTTTGCAAGACGGGACGGTGGACAGCGCTGGTAACATTCACCCCATGTTATTACCTCCGCTGTCAAGTCACCTCGAGCAAAATGTTCTCACTGGTCATCGTCCCTCTGTTGTATTCATTGATCACGGCGGTGCAGAAACTCTCAAGGACCGCAGCAGGGTGAACTGGAATGAGGCTCACATTGTTTGTAGCATCGTTGAAGATTTACTCTTGCAAAACGAGGTGAGCGCCGCCTGGTTGTCGAGTATGTCCGACTGACATTCTTTCCAAGAACTTGCTAGGGGCGAACATAGGCGTCATTGCGCCATATGCTGCCCAGATTTCACTCTTGTATCGCCTCCTAAACACCGATGCCAAGTATCGCAAGCGCTTCGAATCCACTCTTGGCGACCACCGAATGATGCAGCTTGGCGGTATCGAAGTGAAGACGGTGGATGGGTTCGAAGGACGCGAGAAGGACGTCATCATCTTTTCGACCGTGCGAAATAATACGTCGGGGTACATTGGGTTCCTTGCTGACAGACGTCGATTAAATGTTGGACTGACGCGTGCGAAGAGAGGGCTGTTCGTTGTTGGGAGTATTAGTACTCTGAAGGCTGGGAAGATGGCCAAGGGTTGGTCAGGTGAGAGTCCTGCAAGGGTGGGTAAAGGGGCTGAGGCTTGGAGGCGATACGCGAAATATCTCCTCGAGGAGAACATGGTGCTGACCCTTAGCGGAGATAGATTAAGGAAAATGCTGTACGGGCACGCGCCAAAGGCGACGTTGAGCTGAGTCTTTTCACTTGCTGAATCACGGTACATATCACAATTGGTTATTGGTGTCGTATACTCTTAGCGTTATTGTGTCGCACAGCCCCTCTCTGTACCGCTATCAGAAAGCACGTAAGTTTTCCATCGACCTCGAAGCTTGACAGAAGTCAGAACCCTCCAAGGCTATGTTTTCGATCATTGATTGACACTTTTCGGCGCTCATATTACGTTGTACCCATGGGACAATTTGAGACGGCTTGGCACCTGGACCGTAGCCGGACGACATGCAACGTATGCGATTTCGCGACCCTGATAAAAGCGATGCACTTGCACATTCCTCGTGTACTATAAGCTCATCAGACTCGGAGTTCGCGCCGTTGACAATTACTGTTCGTAACAATGGTCAAGGTGGGATTCGACGCTAAGTAGCGACTGTTGGCATGAGCCCGCGGTTGATATATATGCGGTAGTGTGAAAGCCTTCAAGCTGCGATTTGCTGGACGAGTACGTGAATACATGACATGCCTGATCCAGATCCGAACCGCATAACTTGAAGCGGCCCCGGCGCCATCGCTGGAAGCACTGCTCCGTACCGCGGCGCAACTACTATAAACTCAATTTGCCCCGGTTGTCCACGTCCGAGGCTAGCGCTCAGCGCTGGACGTCGTTCAACGTTGATAGTTCCTTGCCGGTGTGAATTACCGAAAGAGATAAAAGCTAAATCACTTTTCTACACAAGCGTTCACAACCCTGTATAGTGAGGCCTGAGGGATTCGCACCTTCCTTTTTTCAGGGACAAATTGGAGGTGGGCCTTCGATGGTGTTGTGTTGCAGGTCTTCGGGCTTCCATGGCCACTGAGTCTATAATTGCGAAAAAAGGGAATGATGCCTCATTGTGCGCAGTACAAAGAGCGGGGTTCCGAATGTTATGGACCCGACGCGGTGCCGTGTCATTCATTATTGAAACCTCCGTTAGTGTTTGAGTTACGGCTGAGTGTAGTTGAACGTAGAGCCGAGGAAGCGGGACGAAGTACTTCTTGGATAAATTGATGATCATTTGGCAAGGAAGTTGATGATGATTTGAATCGATGTTGAAGCAGGATTACGTAGTTACGTAGGGAGCGGGATGGAGCGGAAGTAACCGTCCGAGCACTGGGCGACATATCGCACTCTAATTTGACGGTGTGAACTGTGACGAAATACAATACCGTAGCCTCCTTCCAGGACAGTTGAAAAGCACCTTGTGAGATGTTTTTTTTTTGGTCTTCTCTATCTCAGTTCTTGGTAGTACCTTCTCTATTTCTGGTCAAACTCGCGTTCTATTAGATCTTCAATCACTTTAATCTGCAAATCGTTCTCTCTTCCTCTTACCTGGCAACCAACAAAAATGCCATCTCCGCTGGCGGTATCTCCTTCAAATAGGACTGCACATACACCGCTGCACAGTACTTCACCTATGTCTTCCAATTCCTTCCTCATCCCACCAGTTCCCTTCGGCGCCATGTTGCGTCAGTTTCGCAAGTTGTCGCCTCCCTCGTGTAATTCCTCCCAGTCCGTGAATTATCCGCTGGTACACCTCGAGTCAGTCGGACCTAATTGTATTCCTCGATCGGCTAATTCTCAGCCGCCCTCACCCCTTGCTGGCCTGGGCGCTCCATTTATCCCTGTATCCTGCCAAATGTCAAACGATTTGGACATTGCTATCCCAGCGTATCACCGCTTTCACAACGACTCCCACTTGAATTTGTCTCCAACATCCTCAGGGAGCAGTGAGGGACTCTCCTTGCCGTCGTGCGAGTTCCCTGCCACTCGGTCATTATTTGAGCAATTCAGAAATACACGATCGCGCGTCTTGCTCGTAAGTACCTTGGTTCTTCACCCGTTTCAATGTCTGATAGCCCATTTAAAGCTCCAGAAAGATCGTCGCTGGCCATTGCCATCATTTGTGTCGTTCTTCACAGAGGTAAGCCCAACACCAGTAGAACGTAGACGCACCCGTTGAATCATTGTCTGAACAGGGACGAGATCGACGTGCTTTTGTCAGACCGCCCATGTCCATGTGGGTCGCGAACGAGTGCATTGAGCCAAACGACGTTTGGGTGATATTTCAGTCACACGAGGATGTAAGCGGCCCATTTCATTCTTTATATGGTATTGCTCCCTCGAACCCCCTGACGCCTAATTTCCTTTTTTGGACACTGCCATGTCCTCCACGTGAGAGCGGGTAGTGCAAAGGATACCGTTGCATTGCTACCAGTCAGGCACCCCCGAGATAACCCATATCGATGATTTATTCCACTTGCTGGCTCTTTTTTTTGCTCATTCACTTTTACTAATTATCCGATCTTAAATTTACTGAACATGGCGTATCCTAGGCTTGCACAGCGCTTTCTCTCTCTCACCCCTCCATCACCATCACCCCTGCTCTTCAGAGCGATTTGGAGCCTTTTGATAGATTGCGCAGAGTCGATTCATTGCTCAAGGTGCGTCACGATCATATCGGTGTAGCTTAGCAGCGGCTCAATCCGAGGTCGCCGTCCGTCAGAATTCTTCTGCGATTTCATATCCTGCTGGTCTCCGCATGTCCCTCTCAACACCTGACCTTCATAAATGCGTACCATTTGGGACGTCCGCATTCGCGCAGACTATCGGGTCACCAAATGATGACTTTGTCATCTCCACCAACCCGCCCAATCCGCGAACAACATTCAGGCTGGGTGATTGGATGTAAGCACTTTCATTTTAGGTTACTCCAATTTGCAAACACCGATTTTGTTTGTGATCGGTATGGAGTTGCCTAGACTTTTTAGGGGCAACTTTATTTGAAATGAATTGTAGAGTCTGTGTTGACTTGTTCTTCAATAGATGCAATTCCCCCAACTGCGCAGCGCACAACTTTGGGTGAGTCTTGTTCTTTGACGAGGTTACCGTATCTCTGTGTACTCTTTCATTCCCGTGGAATCGGAGAATCCCGACGGAGCTGGGGGAAAACATTACATTCTGGACTTCCTCGATCGTCATATGCGTCATCATTACCTACTTTGAATCGCTCTTCTAGAATCTCTCGCTATCTGTATCTCGCTATTTCCCCCTGCCGTCCCATCTCTCATACAAGGATGGTGCTGACTGATTCCTTTCCTTGCATGATTCTACACAGGCGTAATTTAGCTTGCAGAGGTTGTGGATGTCCACGTTCTGAGAATCCCCCCTCAACGATGCAGCGACAAGGGTCTTGTGGGCCACCCGTATCGCGTCTTCCAGTATCACCCCGCTTCGTCAATTCATCCGGACACACGCCCATGCCCCAAAGCAGTCTTTCTCCATCAGCTACCTCTCCTCTTTACTCCAGCGCCGGTCATAACATGCGTCATGCACCCCCGCCTATCCAGCCGAGCATGATGGGTGCAAAACCTCCCTCGCCTGCCCACCCTCTCCTCACTCCATCTGGTCGTTCTTTTGCGGTCGGAGGCAAGGTACAAAACGTCTCTTCGGACCCGTTGTCGCCGTGCGTCATGTATTGGCCGGATAACGAATCATTCCCAGAACAAGGCCAGATTCGACCAAGCAGCTTGATGGTTGTTCCAGTAAGCATTACACTCTGTGTCCTTCCTTTCCAATCTGACATGTATTATTCCCTAGCAGCCCCCGATCTTGAACACTGGTAACCGTGGGCCTATCGAACATCAGCCTGGTGATTGGATTTGTCAAAAGTGCAATTATCTGAATTGGAGACGCCGCAAAGTTTGCCAGACTTGTTTTCCTTGTAGGTGCACATCAACTGCGATGTTACATTCTTACCAACGTTTTGTAGATGCTGAAGGAAACGGCGATTCCATCTCCGCTGCTGTGCAAGCGGAGCGCATCAACTTACTCACATCGCTCCTTGCGCAGAACCAGCTTCCGCTTGCGAGTGGTCCCCCATCCCTTCCATCTCAAGCCCCCCGGTCTCATTCCATGACACCCCCGCAGCGCCGCCGCATGTTCATGGACAACGTTCCTCAGAATCAGGTACCATACCGATCCCGCTCGCATTCTAATTTCGATGTGGGTACGCAATACTCAGACTCTCAATTCATCTATGAGACGTCTGCTCCCCGTCGTACCTCCCCGTCTTCGTTCCCAAGTCTTGGTGATCACGAGGACTATCTTCCCTCCAATATCCCTGCTCCTTTACTTCCGTCTTTCTTGCAGGATATCGTGCAATCCCCCACTCTGTCTCCGAGTTCTACCTCATCCACCGACCTCTCCCCAGAGGATTATGATGATAGTTTCTCCTCGGAACGCTCATCATTTGGGAAGGATCGCATTATCACGAACGACTCTTCTTCGAACCTGCCTGTTAGCAACATCTGGAAGCTAAACGACGAGGAAACGAAGGGTATCGCGGGCGTTGCGTTGCCCAACATTGGCTTGATAGGGAGTAGGAAAAGCAGCCACGAGGCATTGCGTCGCCGACCTAATTCGCCTTGATTGTAAGCTCTCGTTGATTCAATTTGACGACTGTGCTCACCTTGCCTTTAGTCACCACGTATATACATTAAGCATAGGGAAGGATACCGACAAGCAAGGTCAAGTGCGGACACCACAGGTCTCCACGGATGGACATGCGGACAGCGTCCTGGGTATTGTACGGAGAATACGGTTAGAGTGATTTTTCTGGTATTTTTATTTGTTCTTCCCCTAGTGCTGGCTCATATGACGGACTGCTTGCTTTGACGCAAGGCGTCCTTGCGCATTTTTCTGCTTCATCTTCGCACTTTCAAGTTGGATCTCGCAATCGCACCAGCATATTCTGCATATTGTTTATCTTGGTCATTTATTTTATCTTGGAGTTCTTACGCCTCCTTTATGTACTCCTGCATAGTCTAATTGTGTTCGTAAAAGTTTGCAATAGTATCGACGTGTTCACCAGTTATAGGAGTTGACTTGACAATGTTTGTATATGTTAGCATCAGAAGGTGTTGCACACCAAACACAAATAACGCGCTTTCCTATTCTGATCATAGTAGCTTTTGCTATCTATGTTTGCACACCGCATATTATGTCTGGTGTTGTGATACAAGCCCAACAATATCAGCCCTCCGCCGCCACCACATTCCTCACGACCCCATCAAGAAATGCGTCCGAAGAATCTGACCTCCTTCGCTCCATACGCGCTGCCATTCGAAGTTCCGGTACCAATACCGTGAACACAACTTTTAGCCCCCTCTCCACAAGTGGATCAGAGTCCTGGATAGACCAAGAACTTTCCTGGAGCGACTATTGCGTTATCCTAAGCGAAGGAGGCGTCATCAAGAGAAAATGGGACCTCAGTCAAGAAAACCAAATCATCCAACATGCCTGTATCGGAAAGCTCACACAGCCAACAGCATCCTCCAATCACCAATCCCACGGCAGTGCCCACTACACACGATCAAACGAAACCCCCGGAACGACAAACATCTTCGGGCCATTCGCCTCACTCAGAGAGGAATCGAAAGCTGTCGAAGATTCAGACGAGGAAATCTCGGGTGTATTTATTTTCTTGAGAAGTATTGGAAAGGTTTTTTTGGAGAATGGGATGGATTATACGTTTTCGCTTCCGTTTCTTGTTCACAGGGCGTGGCCGCTTCGGCCTCATGGTGTTCTTATCCAGCGGATCCTTGATCCAGCTGAAGTGGATGAGGCTCGTGTTACAGGAGATGATGTGTTGCCCACCATATTCACCATCACGAGCGCGTTTTCGGAGCCTGAAGCTGTTGGAATCTCGAGTGGTATTTTGGGAGGTTTTGGTGATGAACCTGTTGCTTTGGTAGATGAGGAAGAGAATTGTTCCAAGCCGCTGGTTACTGTTTCTGCTGGAGACGAGGTTGTTTGGGTTTCTCCTGGTGTTCCTAATTCGACTGGCGAGTTTTTGGTTACCTTTGATGCAGACAAAGGGGGTCTGTCTATATGGAGATATGCCTACTTGAAGCCCAAGGACGCTCCTGTGCCTCTTACCCGGACCAGACGTCAGAGCATTTCGCGAAAGAGTACTGGGAACAGGCGACAATCGAGTGTTAGCGACCTTTTGGAACTTGACCGCCGTTTACCTCAGGATATGGAATTTGATGGCGAATTTCCCCCACCGTTTCCTCCAATGTCCGGACTTCCGCCTTCGACGACGAGTAATATCACTGCTCAGCCACCAATGCCAGGAAGAAACCGAGACTCCATCACCCGCCTAGATCTCAGTTTGACAATGGATAGAATGGCGCTTGGAGGACAGAAAGACCCAGAAGAGTTGATCACCCCTGTTGAACATGGAAGAATGAAGGCGTCTTATTGGGCCCAGCAGTTGACCACTCATCCTTTGGGAGGGAGACAGTAGGAGGTTATTGATACCTCACCTAAACACACACTCATGTTATTGTAGACTGCCGACGCGTGATATCTCTGTTGCATCATTTGATCAACGCTTTGATGGCAAGGTTCATCGCTCGCTCCTCGCAGTCTGCCTGCCCGAGGCTCAGGTGATTGTCTTTATGATTACCATTGAGGAAGACAAGAAATCATTTGTGGTTGAGAGTTTTGGTACTCTGGAAGCCGTTGCAATCGCGTCGATACGTGCGACGCGTGGTGACATTTGGGACCTTCTTGCGGTGAAGAAGGATGGTTCGTTATCATTGTTTACTCATGGATTGCACGAGCTCCGTATACGGCTGAGGCTCGCGCAACCCTGGAACGGCGACAGCAACGATTCATCTGAGGTCATCTCACTTGATCATGTTGTAGCATTGAAGCATGTTTGCGTCTCGTCGGTATATGTGGAGATGAGTGATGGGAAGGTCTATTACGCGCGACTGGACATGGCCCCACGCGATCCACTGGTGACCCAGGCCATACAGGTTCTGGCACTTGTGCTGCCCAAGGCTCAAACTTTTGACCTGCAGCGAAGATTTCTCGAGTCTTGGTCACAGCGTTACTTCCGAACATCACCTGGGGTCGAGTTCCGGGAGTTCACGCTCGCACTTTTCGCGCTTCTTGAGCTCAAGCTTGTGTATCCTTTCAAAAACGACGAGTCCGCAAATTCTTCTGTATGGGAAAGATTCTCAGCTTTATCCACTCCTAATCGTTCTTTCAACGACGATCCGGCTCTCCAACGCTTGAAGCTTCCTATACCCCCGACTACACAACATTACTTCCTTTTCACTCTGACCGTCAATCCTCTTCTGGCGCCTGTGCTCTATGCGTTACACATGTTGGCAGAGGACCTCCGCTTAGTGGTTCTTCGATACGAATCCCTCATGTTACTCATTCCTTTGATATGTCAAATTGCACACATCGTTCGACCAGAATGGGCAGATTACTGGAAGCGCCTCTGTCCTAATATCATGCCAGGATGGCCTGCCCCATCTACAACGCGTCAGTTTATACGTTTCTTTCACCGACATGTTTTTAATCTTCTTATTTAGGTGTGGACATGTTGGACGACCGCATACCAGTCTGGCCACCAGATATGTCGGCAATTCTTTATGGAAGCATAAGTAATCCTGACTGGCAATTCCCTGCGTATGGAACTTCCAGACTAGCTCGATCTTTTTCCATCGATCCATCATTTGCTTTTGGGGACGCCGAACCGCTCGTGTCATTGCAGCGTCTTACGGCAGCCTATGTGTGTCTTGCCGACAAAACGGTGTCATCTACGCAAAAGCGGGCAGAGCTGACCGTTGAAAAGCTCGTCGATATACTTGGGACAGCAGAGAAGGGATCTGCGTTTCTTAATAGTCTTCCATTGGGTATTGCAGCGCCCCTGAGGAGAAGCAATTAGAACGTGCCAGCTGTCGCCTCCTTCTCACTGGCGCAAAGAGCATTATGACCTCATTGGCCGGCGTGACTTGGCTTTCAGCGTTGCTGGAACGCAGCCAGAGCTTTCTCAGAAGGGCATCGCTCAATCTGCCGAGACCTACATGGTAGGGACCTACAGTTCAGGATATATTGTAGCGGCTGATCTGATTCTAGAATACCCACCGACGGATGACGATCGGCAGTCTGGCCGAACAGGCCAAATCTGCAAGTATCGGAGAAATCGATGCGGTTTCTGGAGTCGAACTTGATCTCAAGGGATTCACTAAGATCCGTTTTGGCCAGGATCGCAGATTGGAAGAGGTGGCTCGTATGCTTTGTTCGTCGGCCGTTCCATCGGTTCGGCTTGTAGAGCGTCCGGAATTGAAGTGAGTAGGATAATCGATAAATTTGGTCAAGGCTTCACTAACAACTGTTGAATAGTGAACATGACCAGGCGAAGGAGCAACAGCATCAAGTGGTTCGCATTGCAGAGCGAACGCTGGCACTGCCCTATGGTCGTGCTATGTTCACCTTTGGTTCTGTATTGACGGTCACGAAAGAGGCCTATGTCACCCCCAAGATGGAGTATGCGGTTAAGATACAACCATCAAATGTTACTTCTGCACCCGAGCTTGGCAAGATACCTGTCGAATGCCTTAACTGGGGCGAGTTCCATAATGGCGTCGCAGCAGGACTACGCATCTCTCCGGAAGCTCGTGGTGTAGAGAGTTCATGGATTGCCTTTAACAAGCCTTCCGAGCTCACCCCAGAACATGCCGGCTTCCTGTTTGGTCTTGGGCTCACGGGGCACCTCAAGGAAATGCTCACATGGCATACCTTCGGATATTTGACCCCAAAACATGACTTGACTTCTATTGGCGTCTTGCTTGGTTTGTCAGCTGCGAACGCTGGGACGGGCAATCGCCATGTGACAAAGTTGCTTGCTGTTCATACTCCAGCCTTGCTTCCCACGCAGAACGTCGACCTGAACGTATCCCTCATGACTCAAGCAGCCGGTTTGGCGGGAGTCGGAATTCTATACCTCAGTACCAGAAACAGACGCATGGCAGAAGTATGTCTCCACCAAATCAGCAGAAAAGACCTCGTGCAACCGGACCTCAGCAATGAACACAGAGAAGCTTATACTTATTGTGCAGCATTAGCCTTCGGCATGATAATGCTAGGTCAAGGCTCCTCCGTTCCCGCAGATCTCTCATCGCTCAATCGCCTCCGCGTCCTCGTGCATGGTGAAGGAAAGTCAGTTGTGAACTCCCAAGCACGGTCCACATTCGATGTCAATATCACCTCGCCAGCAGCTTCTATCGCACTTGGGCTGATGTATCTCAAGACAGAGCGACGAGATGTCGCTGACATCCTGGAGATTCCTAGCACGGTCTTGGAGCTGAACCGCATACAACCTAGTTTTTTGCTCATGCGGACTATTGCAAGATCCTTGATCATGTGGGACGATATCGCCTCAACGCCGCAGTGGTTACTTGCTCAGGTTCCCGAATCTATCGTGAAGGCCATGCACGGTCACATACGAGGAAAACTGGCTGACGATGCTATCGAGCTTGCCTATTACAACATCATAGGAGGTTGTTGTTTTGCTATTGGCTTGAAGTACGCAGGGACAGCACGTCATGAGGCATATATCATGCTCTCGAATTATTTCGACATGTTCAGTAGATTTGTGGCGGCTAGTGGTAAATTTTCCTCACGCAACTCACAAGATGTCATACTAAATATCTGATGCTTTCTAGGTCATGCCTTTGATTACAAGATCAAGCGCTCTGCTGTTCGTGAGGGCTTGAACCTCATTTCCATTGCGCTTTGTATGGTCATGGCGGGTACAGGGGAAATCACCTGCTTACGACGGCTGAGATATGCATATGGCATGTATCACCAAGCGTTTCGATATGGTGTCCATGTTGCAACTCACCTGTCACTTGGTTTATTGTTCCTCGGGGCCGGTCGGTATACTCTTGGAACTTCGAATGCCGCGATAGCTTGCATGATTGTTGCCTTTTTCCCCCGGTTCCATCATGTATCATCAGATAACAAGAGCTATCTTCAGGCTCTTCGCCACCTCTGGGTTCTTGCAGTTGAACCTAGATGCCTTATGGCACGGGACGTTAATACCAGAGAAGCAGTCTATCTTCCAGTCAAAATCACCACGAAAGAAGGTGCCGAAAAGGGTGCAACACAGCTGATATCGCCCACGTTGATACCGGATTTCAACAAACTTTTGTCCATTAGGATCGATACACCCCGCTATTGGCCTTTCTTTGTGGACCTTGAACACGTACCACAGCATAGGAGAAGCCTGTTAAAGCACCAAACGTTGTACGTGAAGCGACGCACTGCTTTCTTGAGCTATACGGAGGACCCTAGAGGAAGCAGAAGTCTTTTCGTTCGCTCTGGTTCATCTGCTGGAGATGCTGCAACTCTAGATTTCCCGCAATTGACCGACACGAAGGCACACCCCGCGAGCGACCTGACTCATTTCATCTCATCTTTTTCCAACGACACCCTATTTCTTGCTTTCGCAGATCACTTCTCACGCGAGGACGGTAAGACAGTCGAAGAGAGAGTCTTCCACAATTACTGTCACGCGGTCCTGCTTGATAGCATTCTTCAAGATAAGATGGAAACATTGCAGTCCCATCTGATGCTTTATCAGTATCGCACTCAATCACCATCGAACAGCTACTTCCATCTCCGGCTGCAAGACCTTCGTTTTGCTGTCGACTTTTACAGCAAAGTCTACGATAGGCGGTTCAGTGGGAAATCAGAGAATAATATTCGGCCTTCTCTGATTCGCGAAAACACTGTCTCTGGTGCATTACAAGCATTGGATGAGCGCCTTGCAGAAGTCCAAAGCTCTACAGCCCTTAATACGGTCTTTGGCAGATATGCTCGTGGGGAACTTATAGTGGAGTCCGAAGAAGCCCCTGAAGTATCGCGTTGGTTGGCTTGGTATCTGCTGCGTCACGGTGTCCCATCAGCATCGCTGCTAGCAATCCTCAAGCAACTTGCACAAGATGCTCATGCACAATGTGCCGCTCCTGGGAATGTCGATTTGAGGACGCTAGATGAGGGTATAAAGGAAGTCCTAAGAGGGACTGGGACCAAAATGAATACGGTGTTTGGGTCAGGATGGTCGGGTCCGTCTTTGGAGAGGGTTATTGATGCATGGCAGAGACATTCGTAAGACATGCTTCCATCGGTAACTTTCTTGTCGGTTGCAAATCGCGTTGACGGAATGAGAAGATGCAGCAGATGTTGAGATGATCATACAGTACAATTACAATTAAACTCGCCAACGGTGCCGGTGAGAGACGAAACACTGGGTAAGTATTCGCCGTCCGGCGTCACGTAAAGATAGACGATCTTCTATGTAAATCGATCCAAAGATCTTGCGCACGGAGAACTATACAATGCCGGATCACACCGCCGACTGGCTGGTGCTAGCTCCATAGGGCGATATTTATCGTATTACATCACTGACCTCACAAGTACTCGTTTCACCTACACACATAATTATAGTATTCGTTTCACAACACGCTACAGGAGAGGCCGAAACACGATTTGGATTAAATTTGATCGCAAGTTACGACGCTTGCACCCCAACTCACCGACACCGCATTGAATTGATTTTGCTTTGCCTCGTGGAGCCGATTTGCTCATAGGGTCCAATTCATAAACCAGCCTAGATGACTGTGACGTCTGTCTTCATCCCCAATTGGCATACCACAACAAAAGAGTGCAGTGCTTTGAGTTTGGTGTGAGTGAAAGTCGATATGAGCCGTGGAAAAAGCTTGCACAGCTTCGCACGGTGACAGTCATTTTTATGGAGTCCTTCGAGCCTCCACGAGCTCCACTGACGGGCAGTCGAGCGGTGATCCCGGGGATCCTACGTCCTCCTATATTTAACTTGAAGTGTCCCTCATGGACTAATGACAAATTCAATCTCTGGTGATCAGGGGCAAGCGAGTACCCGGAGGGAGGTGGTAAAAAGATAACATTATCTGCATCTCAGGAGAAATGCTCGGACGGACAGACTCGTATCATGATAGGAATTGACACTTGGAATGAATTGTGAAACACTTGGAAAATTCTGTTGCGAATGTCGGCCGACGTCGCTCAGAATGTCTCACTTCTCAGACTGCGATTTCGACCCGGGATCAATCTCCTAGTTGAGTGCTGACCAGACCTCTCACATCGTGTTAGAAGTCATTAAGAACTGGGTAACTTGGTACACGCACGAATGTGGAGCGGTCCAATAAGCCGTAGCGTAATTATCTCATTTGACGGATAAGTACTTATACCGTGACGCGCTTGGATCCAGCGCATGTGCAGATACCCTACATAGGTTATGAATATGGATATTTTGTTTCGCCATCTACGAGGTCGATGGCTCAATTATGTATTACAAACTAAACACATAGGTACACCGCTCGAACACACGTGCTTCGGTTCGAAATTTGTAGGACTTAGTACTGAAATCGGTACTCATAATTGAACAATGAATCAGCCATAAACATATTTATATTATCGTATCATGTTTTGGGTGACAAAAGATAGAGCATAAGAATAGGTTAACCGCGCAAGGCCTCGATGCTATTAACTACAACAATACAGCAAGAGCCCTCCATCTAAAGGTCTAATACTATGGACGTTGGAAGAGGTAGTATGACTGGCTAAAATACAACACGAACATAGGGACCATATACATGTACCAAATGATCCACAAAGTTACAAAATGACCCGAGCTCACGGCGATGGAGGTGTGCCACGTTGGAAGCCAGCTGGCCGTTGCAGGCCTTGTTCAAAGAGGTAATCACGGCGCGCCTTGACGGCCGCGTTAAGCCTATCCAACATGCCCACAGTGCACTCCCAATCCACACATGCGTCGGTGATGGAAACACCGTGCTTCAGTGCAGAGGGTCCCTCAGCAGGAACATCTTGGCGTCCTGAGTTGATATGGGACTCGATCATGACACCGGTAACATTCCTGTCACCAGCAGCGAGCTGGGAGCAGATATCATCAACCACCTTAGGCTGGTTGTTGTGGTTCTTCTGCGAATTGCCATCTAAAACAGTTAAATGAGTTCCCTCGCTAATTATTGATTAAGATTTATGCTTACGACTGCAGTCAATCATAATGCTGGCATGGTTTATTGGGCGCGCCTTCTCAATTGATTTAGAAGCTGCGCGAACGTGCTCGGATGCAAAATTGGGACCCTTGGTGCCACCACGGAGGATGACGTGAACATCCTGGTTTCCGCGTGTCTTGACAATGGCGGCAAGACCTTGCTCCGTCACACCCATGAACGCGTGGGGGTTAGAGGCGGAGCGCATCGCGTCAATAGCGACTGTGACACTGCCATGATGACCATTAGCGATATGTTCCTCAATAAAAACGTATACGATGATGTCGTACCTTCCGTCAGTGCCGTTCTTGAATCCTATAGGAAAAGAAACACCGGAAGCGAGCTCGCGGTGGAGTTGGGATTCCGTTGTTCGGGCTCCAATCGCTCCCCAAGAGATAACTGCGTGTGAAGAAATGAGGCAGTGTTAGAAAGAACATGTGGAAAGTGATAAGGTGTGACGTACGGTCAGCGATGTATTGAGGCGAGATGGTATCGAGAAGCTCGGAACCGACAGGGACACCGATATCGGTAAGGTCACAGAGAAGCTGTCTAGCCACCCGAAGACCCTTGTTAATCTTGAAGGAACCATCAATATCCTGCAAAGACAGATGAGCAAAAACAGAGGTAAAAAGGAGAAAATTGGCTGACGGGGTCGTTGATGAGACCTTTCCATCCAACAGTGGTTCTAGGTTTCTATAATAGGGAATAGGTGAGTCATTGCCAGGAACTGATGTGCGGCCGGCGAACCTCACTAGAGCGATACACATAACGTTAGTATAGTACAATGTACAAGGAACAGGCACAACTTACAAGTACGCGCGCATCACGATGAGGAGATTATCCCATGATGGCATTTTCGATTTGAGCAAATTTGCATACTCAATAGCTTGGTCTGCACAGTGAATGGAGCAGGGGCCAACAATGACGAGGATACGGTCGTCCTGACCCGCTACAATGCGAGCAGCGTTGTAACGAGCAGCTGCAATTGTGAGCTGTGAGGCCGATGTGGGCTGAACTTCATGCCTGAGCAGAGCAGGCTGAACCAGGGGGTCATACTGCTCAGTTTTTAACGAATGATGAGTATCAAATGGTAGGGGTTAGAGCAGTTGGACACATACACCAATGACACGTCTATCCTGGATGTATTGTTGTAGCTTCTGGTCATCGTCGACATCGGGAATGGGGGTAACGTTGTAGGCCATTGTAAAGAGAATTGAAATGAATCAAATATGATTAGTTTTACAAGGAGGAGGAGAGGTTGATCGTGTTGAGCCACTGAAAATCAACGGGTTTTTATAGCATGTGCGAGGCCGAGTAATTTTCCGATTTATCAGAGAAACACAGCAAACGTTGACAAGTCATTCGCAAATTGGCAATTTCGTAATTGACATTCAATTTTGGTAAGGGTAGGTCCTTAGACCGGATATGGAAGTGATGTTATTCATGGAACAGCTCGCTGTTTCCACTTGGTTTCCACGCTATGTTCGCTAATGTCCTCTTCAATCAGTCTAGCGCTAAATCCAGTGCCCGGCTTCTGTGTAAAATCAAACGTGCTGCAACCCGTCGTCGTCCCCAGAACCGCCACCAGTCATCCTCCCAGTACGCCCTCCGATGCGCTAGGAGTCCTCTCAAACACACCAACCACTATTCCGAAAGGACTTAAAGTTTTCGTCAACATAGCATGGGACACGAATGTACCTCCACCTCCACCTCGTAGTGAAGATGTAATCCAAAAAGCAATGCGTGGTCAAGACTATGACGGATCAAATTCGGATGGATGGTTCATTCCAGTCGTAGTGTCAGATCTTCGTGATGACAAAGACAAAGGTCGGTACTGTCCTTTATCCGTCTCCGAGTACTTCGCTCAAGCACCATTCCCGGCTGAAATTCTCGCCCCATGTGATTGACATCCATTGTGTCATTGTCTTCAGCCGGTCAACCAGCCCTTGTCGTTGACTGTGTCTTCAACACATCCATCAAATCTCGCCTGAAAGAAGCAAACTTCAAAGCATTCATCATAGGTACGTGATTTGATGCCTCGCTAGCCGATACATTACCTGACTATGACTTGGCATAGAACTTGCGCTGCAGCGTGTTGAATCGCACACCTCACTCTTGCTTTCTCGGCAGATCGGCACGCCCAACATTGCCTCGAAAGGCAAACCTGTGTCGCGACAAGTGCTCGTGCCTGGACTGCTCTTTCCGCCCGGTCACCCTCACCACAAGTCCAACGCTAAGACTACTCTCATTCAGGAACTAGCTTCTCCAACAGCTACCGCATCGGCTCCAAGTGTCAAGGGGATATTCAAAAGCGCATCGAATACCCAGACTCCCACATGGACGTGGACCCCGACGAAGGACCAGCGCAAAATCCGCTTCATGATCAATGTGCCCAATCTGGTAAGTCTCATCCCCCGGCATACTATCGAGTCCGTCCGTCTGTTTCCACGGAGACATAGTATCGTCAATAATTTAGTTCCTGTATTGATAGTAATCATTGGGTCATACAGACTCACACCCATATCTCCAACTCGACACTCGATGTAGAACCACGAAGAGTGATGCTACACGTTCCTTCCTTATATGACCTGGATATCAACTTCGATGTGACACCAGATACCGAGCCTATGGCCACGAATCGTCGTCTTGGCGAAGGTGCCACAGAACTCAAAAGGTTGAGAGATCTCGATGTGGACGGTGCCAAGGCGGAGTGGAGGGTTGCTGAAAAGGCTATAGTTCTTCTGGCTTAGCATGGTTTAGCAGCCCAGGCGCTATACCACCAAGCCAGGGTAACCTTGACGAAATGAAAAGTTTTAATTATCTACGTGACAATGCAACCTGTTATACTCAAGCATGCAACAGGGACAGATTCTAACATAAGCCGTGAGTTTCAATATTTATTCATTCATTCATTAGCTAACTGTACCTTCGCTTCTGCCGACGGCCACCAGCGATAACTTATCCATGCTCGGGTCGCAACTGCACACGAACAGCACTTCGGGTCCCGACACGAAGATTAACGAGGTCGCGAATTGTGCCCTAGATATGACAATGATAGGCCCTCCTTGTCTTCATACCCACGTTGTACCGTTGGTGTCCAAGCTTAAGGTTTATCGGGTTTTTATTATCTGTTAGCTCATATCCCATGCGTGTCATGCACGTTGCTTCCTCGACTTTGGTAAGAACGAGCGTCAATACTGATCTTAGCTTGAACCCTCATTGTTTCGTAAAAATTGCTGTGGCGTTCTGATCGTCTTCATGTTATTCCTCCTTTGATAAAGCGCGCCGGCGATCTATGTCTGCATCGCATCCAGGGACCGTCCGAGATTTACGAAGGACGCTTACCAATTACTTTTCATCTCCTACGTCTCCGGAGGCTCGCAGAAGCCCGCCCTCCCTGTATAGTCCAGGTACTATCTTACCATTTTTAGAGTTCTTTCCCGCCGCATCAGCAGCGAGAAGAGAAGCTATCAGCCCCGGAGAACGGGCCTTGCGAGTTCATTGTACAGGAAAGTCTCGACCAGCAGTGCTTCTGACTCCACGTCATCTGGGAATCAAAATCGTGACGACTTATTGGTACATGTTCAGCGGTAAAGTAGAACTACTGCATGCCATACGATATGATAGCGGTGATGGAACGCCTGATATGTCGAGCAGTCCATAAATACGGTTCATTAACATGGGCTACGCTGGCCGTATTCACACTCAATTAATACAGGCCAAGCTAGCCAAGGGGGAACAATAAACTGCTCTATCATTTAGCAATCGAAGTGCAACGTGCCTAGTTCCTGGGCAATATCCCGCGTGGCTATGGAGCGGGGGGAAGGAAGATCAGACGCGGAGCAGCAAGAGAACGGAGATGGCCATACACTGACAAGCACCCTTGATGAGGGCCATCCCTTCCAGTTGGCCGTTCTCGACCTCGTGTCCAAGGCTGATGATCTCTTGGTGGTGTTTGACCGCGAGTGGCTGTAAGATGATATTTGCTTAGAGAATGAAATGATGGGTTCTTGGTGCTAAAAGACAGACTATAAGTTCTTCCTGTACTTCAGCAATCGCAGCTGTGATTTTGCGCTTCTTATCTTCTAGAATCGCATATTGTTCGAGGAAATCCTGATGAAGGGCCTCCCTTAGATCGCGGATCAGTGTTGAGCGGATAGCGATATACGCGGTGACCGGGCGTCCTACATCTCGTTTATGATGTTAGCGATTTCGGTTTCCTTGTTCTGGAGCTAGTTTGAAGGTGAAGATGAGAGATTATGGATATCGGGAATACGAACAGCAAGGTGGAGTTCCTTTTGTGTTGTCTGTACTATCTTATCGTCGCGTCCCCTTAGCTTTTTCTCCCATGTCGCTGGCAAGCGCATATGATCATGTCCAGTTAATGCTATGATGAATGACACACCTTTAAACTCCGCTGCGACGACTGCGAACGTTCTTGGAGATCTGTCGTCAGCGTGATAAATGGTATTAAATGTCACGAAAATACTCGTTGTGGTCATCGCTGCTGCCTTGAGAGTGCTTGAAATCTATGTCTCCTTCGTCTCCTGATAGTGTTTGAGAACGTGGTCTACTTGATGACACGCGTCTTCCGGGCATCTTGGATGATATCAGTGAGAAAACAAGCGAGTCGGTCAGAAGTTTGAAACTTGGCGCGCGTTTGTGGCAGCTAGGCGCAATCACGTGATTGCACCTACGCGTTCGACGCGTATGTGCGAACGGCCAAAATGCCGATACTCCTCAGCGAGGAGTGCGCGTCCGCACACGTTAGGCAAAGTTCGTACGCAGTTAAATCCCTCTTAAGCTTAGATCCTTTCTGTCGTTGTGGTAGAATACGCCGGTAGTGACACCGACGCGCCGCGGGAAACCGAGAGTTTGTTAGTTACAGCCTGTCGTTCCTTTCACACTGACGTCAGGCCAGAGAAATGAAAAGCAAGGAGACCGCTCTGCATCGTGGGGTAGGGATGGGTATACCATTGAACAAGTGGAAGTTCATCTCCGTATGAGGGGGGTGGGCGAGCCGCCCCTCAGGTAGATCAGCGCCCAATGTGGGTAGTTATCTTTATGTGCGCTAATGATAATTGGCCGCTTTGAGACTCATCCAACCGGGTACGTGGCAAGTTTGTTTGATCATATGTGCTTTTGTGGTAGCGATAATATTAATTTACTAATGGGCAACCACTTGAATGTTGGTGAAGACGGTCAACTCGCCGGCGGTATGTAAACTCATTCGGCGGGTGCCGGAGATGGGTGGAACGCGTAACAGACTTAAGCTATATGGAACTCCGCCTCGAGCTGTTATAGCTTAATAATAAAGCGCTGTGCAGTTCAGCCGCGCCAAGGTCCCTACAAGCTGTGAGTGAGTATGTGATGCTTGATTACAATTACATCACTTTGATGGAGTCGTGTAAATATTCACATCCGCACTGAATAGACGCACGTTGGCAGTACCTGCTGTGGTGTATTCGCAAACTACCCACTGAATTGCCCCTTAAGTTCCGCAGCGTGTACAATCCTGCTTCATTTCAAATCTTAAGTCGGAGATTCAGCTATTCCATGTATGACCGATTGCATCGTGCCTGGATTCTAATGTACAGTCAAAAGGGTATACATAAACTTAAGTGTTAAATACAGCATGGTTACGGAGTTTGAAAGACTTATTTCAGTCATGTCAGAAGGAGGGGGACTTTCCAGATATCAGTTTAGAATGAGGTGTTTTTCACATGCGGATCGGCGAGAACACTCGCATCTGACTCGTCGGCAGCTTGAAAGGTACGTTCAAAACGCCATGCAATATAATTATGAAACACAAGTACCAGTGTAGCGGTACCCCAGCGCCCGGTACAGACCCTAGCTCCTCCTATCACTCAGTCTGCCTGCATAATGTGCCATCGTGGTACAATAATAACGCTTCTTGGAGGCATTAATGGCTCAACCGAAAGACCTCCTAATACTTCCTTCGGCACCACAGGGGAGAGCATAGCCTTGTACCACGGCATCCAGGCCAAGACATCCCTGCCCTCTTCGAAATTACGACTCGGCTCGATAACGTGTGGAAAAAGGACGACATAGCATTGATCTCTTAAATCGGTTATGTTGGCGAACCTGTGGCGCGACGAGATGCGGCATATAGCGATGTGCACACGAGTAGGGGTGGGGGTTTTCGTGGGAAGGGGTAGTACTCGTAGAATACGGAGCTGCAAATCGCACGATAAAGTCGGTGCGGAGGGTGACGCAGATGAGAGCCTCTGTTTAAGCTGTAGGCACCAAAGGGTATAGTCGGTTCTTGTGCCTGAGATGAGGTGTTGTGCACGCGCCGCCATTCCACCACTGTTGGTATCGCGCGCTTCAGTAACAATCGGCCAATGACCTCGCGACACGCGCACGTACCGTACAAATTTCCCTTTAGCGCTTTTATTTTTGCTAGGGCTGAGTCCAATGCCGCGCTGTATCTCACGTTCGAATGGAGTGACGAAGTTGTGTCCGTGCTGTTGGAGGAAAAGCGAGAGCAGCTCAGCACCTGCGCCGTCCTTTGTGGGATTTATCGCGAAAGATGAGATGGGCTTCATGTTAGTCGACAATTTCTTTGAAGGAAACGGAGCAAAGCTAGGTGGAGCAAGAGGCTTCAGAACGATCGTTTTAGTATTCGGCTGAGGCCTTGGAGGTGGCTTGAGAACTGAGAAAGATCGAGGTTTGGAAGATGATGCATTTGCTGAGGCGCTGATTACAAACGAAGGTGGCTTGAGAGGTTGAAGAGGTCGAAGAGGTGCGGAAAGTGGTTTTTGACGGGATATAGGAGGATGTACAGATGCTGATTCCGAAGGGGCAATAATGAGGCGCTTCACGATTGGCGTGCGAGATATGTCTGACCCTGCGTTATTCGCAGTGATAATTGGGTTCGGTCGCTTGCGATTGCCGGTTAGGCGAACCGATACCTCTTTCTCCTTTCCCTTAGCCTCGCGTCCGAGTGAAGTGTCGCCAAAGTCGGGGAGTTCGGCAGTAAATGGATTTTGCGGTCGCTGTCGAACATGAATCGAATGCTTCGACTTGTCCTGCTTGTCATCAGGAACCTTTGTTGATGACCTGGCCTTCGGTGGATCAAAAGAAGACACGAAGGGTGGGGGAGGTTTGTACGCGGGTTTCGAGGTATTCTTCGTTGCTTGGAAGCCGTCAGGTCCTTGCAGGCGAGGTCTTTTGGCTGGTCGATTATTGGGCTGCCAGACGTGCCATCAGTATTTGGGATCAGAAGAAGTACATGTGTCACTGACCTCCATGTTGGCTTTAGGCTGAGAAGATGATGGCAACGACTTGTAAAGTTTTCGTCCCGTTTGTAAAGTGATAGGAGCCACATGAAGTTCCGCAATATATTGTTATGATTGGTCATCTCCGCCGCGCCGCGGTTGTGACACCCGCGACCGTGACGCTGACCAACAGAACACTCGTCGTTCGATTCAGATCTCATTCTCGGTAAAGTGCTTGCGAACGTGCATGGACTCGTACAGAGGATGTTCCTATCAACTCTAAATTATTGATGGTCCTGAGTGAGTGTTAACTTTCATGACGAGGCTGACAACTGTTTCAAAATTCAAATATCCAAGCCTCCTGAGTCTGTGTTCATCCTCGCCAACTGTGTGGGGTAGTACCAGGTAAGTTCCATGTCAGACTGCATCCATGCCTTGTCAACATCGCATCAATATCCCTGTCACTTCCGCGTCGAATTTTCGTGTCAGTGCATCACATGCCAATAATGCCTACATCATGTTAGGTGTGTGTTCAATTCAATCGCTGCCTAATTCTACACGCAGGGCCATCACGACCACATCAATGTGCCCCCAAGCAGTGTAGCACCCTTAACAATGGCCAGCTCATTCGGACATACGCCATTTCGATGGGAACCAATGCTATGTTCAAATAAAGGCGAATTCCAAATCATGTAAGTTATCAAATGCTGTAGCTTCCTGTTCGAGAAGCCCTTGTTGGAGCCCAGGCCAAGAGAGGCCAAGGTGCATAGAAGTCGGTTACTTTACGGTAATGTAACTAATAGCTATGGGTCTATTAGGATCAATCGAAATCGGAAGCGAGAACAGCAAGGCGAAAAACAGAGCCGTGATATCTGGGGAGGCCCGAACAACGGAGATCTACCGTGACAGTTATTATTGTCTACATATCATGCAGCCACGTGAATAGCAGGCTGCATTGGTTAGTAAGTATATAAAAGGCTTACTACTTGGTGCAGGTAGGTCTAACTAAGTAGTAGCCGGAGTGCCTTTTCAAGCACATCACATGGCCCAGGTCGAAAGTCATCTCATGACAACGTGATCACGATGTCTTGATACCGTGGCACCATATGGCAGACTTTCATCTCTTCGTTCCCGACCACCATGGATCTTTCAGACGAGGATAAGAGGGAGATCGGACAGGTGCGCCGAAAGCCGTTCTCAAGATGGACTAAACCCTGAGCACCGCTACAGCACTTCGTTTTTGGATTTCATGGGTATGAGGTCAGCGAGGATGCAAAAGAACTTATCGACAAGTATCATGTTGGGTAGGCAAAGACGCATATGGTTGTGCCCTGTGCTTACGGGCCATTTTAATCAGGAACATCATCCTCATGAAACGGAATGTGCAAAGTGAGACGCAATGTTTATTGAAATATTGACACTATGCGAATCATGATTACCTCAGGTGTGAAGCAGGTACACACGCTTGTTCAATCTTTGCAACAGTGCGCAAGAGATGCTGGACACAAGCATCCACTGATGATTGGGATTGATCAAGAGAATGGTGCGTTTCTCGGCGTCTGCTTCCACGTCAGGCTGATACTATAGTCACACAGGCCTTGTATCTGCGTTCAGCTCGACTGCAAAGTATCAAGCTGGGACACAGTTGTAAGCCGTGTCCTGTTGACCCTCTTTTGTCTCATCACTTTCCAGCCCAGGAGCTATGGCAATCGCAGCGACCGGTGATCCCGAATATGCCAGACGTTGTTCAGCGGCTTCAGCTCGTGAGATGAAAGCTGTTGGCATCAATTGGTCCTATTCTCCTGTAGGAGACGTGAATTCCGACCCACAGAACCCGGTCATTGGTGAGCGTCAAGTACTTTTGCTGCTCGATGGTGTCTTGACCTGTGCTCTTTCCTTGAGGTGTACGCTCTTTTGGAGATGGTGAGACCCAAGCTGTTTATTTGCTTGGAGAACTTTTACTAAGCTTCGGTGATTAGACCCCACAGAGGTTGCACGATTTGCGAAGGCGGTTGGCGATGGCCTTACACAAGGTGGTAGTCGCACCGTCCGCGAAACATTTCCCAGGGCACGGCGATACAAACGTTGACTCGCATCTGGGTCTCCCCGTCATCAACAAAAGTCGTACCGAGTTAGATCAAACTGAGTTGAAACCTTTCAAAGAATTGATCGACGCTGGCGTCGCCAGCATCATGACGGGGCACATGGTTATCCAGGCCCTGACTGGTGATAGTAAGACTCCAGCCTCCCTTTCACGAGCTGTGACTACAACTCTATTGCGGGAGGAGCTGCAGTTTGAAGGAGTGGTCGTGACGGATTGTCTGGAAATGAATGCGGTGAAGGAGAGGCAGGGAGGCGTACCGCGTGGTGCTGTCGAAGCGTTAGCAGCCGGCGCAGACGTGGTCATGGTTTGTCATACTATGGCATTCCATAGGGGATCGATTGAGGCCACCTACGAGGCAGTGCAGAAGGGCGAGCTGCATATGGACGAGCTGAGGAAAAGCGGAGAAAGGGTCACTGCGTTGAAACGGCAATTCGCCGGGACATGGGATGATGTGCTCGGAAATCCATTTGACGAGAAGGCGATGAATGCGTTGCAGGCGACGAACAAGAAACTAAGCGAGGAAGCATACGCAAAATCTACCGCGCTCATCTCTGGATCCCTTCCTGTGTTCTCTTCGGGCAAGATTGTGGTGATGACACCCATTGTAGAAAGCCTTAATGCAGCGGTGGATGATGCGGAAGGTGTGCAACGCACCGAGAAAGGCCACGTCCGGAACACAGCAGCGCCTTACTACATATCTTTTGCGGAGTCCGTGGGACGCCGCGCTGCAGATGTCGAACATTTGGTTTACGCAGCTGATTTCGACTGCAGAAGAGATTTTGGCGAGGGTCTCATATTCGTCACACGCAATGCGGATCGTAGCGCCTGGCAACTGGATGTCTTGGAGAGAGTTGCGACACAGGCCTCAAGTGGAGTGCCGATTGTGGTCCTGGCGAGCTGCGCACCGTATGAATTGTTCTCTAGGAGGATCTTAGGCGTGCAGGCATGCGTGGCAAGCTTCGAGTATACCAGTGAGGCGTTGGAGGCTGCTGCCAGCGTTATTTTCAACGAGGTCCCTCCGGTGGGGGAGTCGCCTGTCGGCATTAAATAACATTCGAGGACAATAAGCGTCGACTTGGGAGACAAATACCAGTACCGCTGCGATACAGTTGCAGTGCCATACATGAACATAGTATGCATTAACCCTCACCCTCGCACACCGATCATGGGTGCGCCCTTGATTGTTGGATCAATTTGAACTGTTAAAGAGGCTGCGTGCTGCTAGCCGAAAACTGATCACTGCTGCATACTTGAAAATGGCTCGCATACATCATGATAAGCCAATCCCCACAGCAGCTCTCTTCCAAAACCTCAAGGAGCTTGGTCTCGCCTGCAAATACTCGAAGAGCATTGCAGCCAAACACGACTGACAGATCTCGGTGGGCCAGCCTCGTTTACTTGATCGGGGGTATTCAAATTGTCAATATTAATGTATTCTGTTGCTCCTGCTGTCTCCAGTGAAGAAGTGGCCGCGACAGCATCAGAGAGATCTCCGACATAGCCAATTCCCTGAGCAGGACCTTCGTGAAGTTGGTAGCTGCCCTCCTGTGAACGCAAGAAATACTTGAGGCTGGTATAGGTATAGTGACCGTAGCAATGACATGTAGAGTGGAGTAGTAGCTAGTAGCTGCGTTTGATGTATGGGAATGAACATAATCTGCAAATGCAAGTGGTAAATGTACAAAGAAATGGTGTGGTTATCACTTCGTGGATTTTGAGTTCGTTCCTGAGAAGACCCAGACAAAAGGACTCGCCGCATTGCTAGTGGCACGCATCCAAAATTGCTAAGGCTTCCCTCCCATCGTTCCATGCATTCTATACTTTCAAGAACAGTATGTGCTCGATCTCCCATTCTTCCTCCAAATGCAGGTACAGAGCTCGTTCTTTTCGGTCGGGACCTGATCCTCCGGTAGACCTTGGGAAGTGCGAGTAAGAAATAGGTGCGAGATGGTGTGTTTCAAGGCATTCCCAAGTCTACACAACTTGAAACTGATTTGTCAACATTTCCACTACCTTTGAACAAACACGTGAGACTTGAGTGAAGGCTTTCGGAATCGACTGTACGTCACGGTAGTCTCATCGAGTTAATATATTCCCAGCTCTTTCTCTTTCTTTCTATCCCATCAATGAAGAAACTTTTTGGGCGCGACAGAGTGAAGCAGCAAGAGGTAATCTCACACAGAGATGTTGATGTTATCATCGATGAAGTAAGTCTTAACCTTCAACTTACTTTTGGCAACAATCATCCATGTCATGACTTGGATTATCACTAACCCGAATTTTGATGCGTGTGTGTAGGATGCACTACTTGTGCACCCCAAACGACCCTCAGAGGACCACCGTGACTGGGAGGTGCTATCTGATCCCCCTGTCCCTTCTAGTGCGTATCCTCAGTTTGCAGTGCCTCCGATGTCACAGCCGTTCGTCTTCCCTAGCTTCGATTCCACTTGTAATATTACCCGCGTGTTCTGGCACTCCATACAGCGTTACAAGTCAGACCACTACTACACCCACGCCCACGCTCATCCCCCAGACTAACCAAAACCCAACCCATACCGTGCGGAGAGACGGACGCAGGATCCAGAAGATACAGCACACGCCTGCCACACTTGGTATACTGAGGGCGCTCGATCCACATCTGGGGCATGCCTTGCAATAGACGCACCCGCACCATGTCCCCGAAGTACCAGACGATTCTTTTCCAGTTGAACACAGGGGTGGGGCAGAGAGGAAGAGTTTCTGGGATGGGATTATCAGAGACAGGGACAAGGACAAGGAGCGCGGACGTGATAAAGAGCGTGAAACTCGTGAGAAGGAAAAGGGAAAGGAAAGAGAAGAGGGCATAGGACGAGATCGCGTTTGGCGTGAGGAAGATAATCCCTCAGACCTGACGCGCATAATCGGTGCGCTATTTCAGTCGATGCTGTGTCTTTTATTTATACTGGCGGAGGGTACCTTACGGCGACCTCATCGGAGGACTGGGCACTCATGCTCGAGGTCTCCGAGCGCGCATCTGCTACTGAATTGAATGCCAAGGAGGCTATGAAAGCCCTTCGGAGGGAATTCAAGTGCGTTCTATAGCCTTGCCTCACTTTCTATACCATTGACAGGGTATCTGGGATACAGATATGCAGAGCCTAAATCTCAATTATGTGCTGCTAGGGTAAGCACTATCCGACTCGTTACTTCGTCCTTTATATCTCACCTTGGCAAACGTGTACTCGTCCGTTCTCCATCCAATTTGCATCACGGTTTGCACAGTTATGGGCAATAATGCTCCGGAACGCGTCCGATATCTTTCTAACTCAGATCAGCTCTCGTAATTTTATTGATACTCTCGGGGACGTTTTGACAAGCTCAAAAACAAGTCCTGTCGTCAGAGAACGACTAATGGAGGTGCTCGCAGCTGCCGCCTTTATCACTAGTTCACGTACGTGCTTATCTATCGCTAAATTCATTCTTAAATATATACACCCCCTTTTGTCGAAGATCTTCTTTCCTCATCTACTGCTACCTTTTGAAACCTGTTTGTATCGGTCTCGAGCCATTTCCTCATTCTATCGAACCACGTTCTTTTTGCGACGCTGACCCGACCTTTTGCCGACCCTTCTGCACAGGTCCCAGCCCCTCGCCCAAATCTGGACCATTGCCTTTCTCGCTTAAAGATCGCAACCGTTATGGAGATAGTTTCCGTGCCCTGTGGACCCGATTGAAACCCGCTGATAAGCCTGATGTGGGGATTCCATTCGACACCGAGAGCGATATGTTTAGCCCCCCTATAGTTACTACGCGTCCACCAATAGAGGAGGTCAGTTTTTTTGGTTTGTAGTTTATGACAGGCGCCTGATCAATTCTCCTGCTCTATTTTTTGCTCGCTTGTCTCGGTGATATCTTGTCGCGATTAGCGGCCGTCGAGGAAGAGTCTCCACCAGCGCGGTGTCGTTCCTCTAGAAGAGGACATGAAGCGCCTGTTTCAGGAATGCAAGATTGCGAAAGGAAATGCGACTATCCTTAGCGAGATGCTTGCATACGCGAAACCAGGTCAAATGGAAGGGAGCCTGGTACCGGTGCGTGATTTCTCAGTTAACCCATGATCCTCATTTTGTCAGTTTGCCACATCACCTTTGCGTGACATGACTCTCCTTCTCCTATCCTATCGATATCAATTTGACCGTTTTATAGGAATTTTTGGCGAAGTGTCGCGGGTCGCAAGAACTCATATATGCCAAAATTCCATGGGCATCTGCAGGCGCTGAACGGTCGCGCAATGAGCGAGAAAGGGATGCAGAAGGAAGTGGACATACGAAATCGCAGCCTGATGTCCAAATCAGCTTTCTGCCAAGTCGAGATTACCATGGCATGGGTGCCTATGCGGATAGAGAGGAACTGACTTTGGAGGAGGAGCTTCTTTATGCGTTGCTTGATGCGAATGAAGTACTGATCATGGCGTTGAGAATGTATGATGATGTTATACGGGTTGCAGAGGAGTCGGTGGCTTTTGAGATTAGTAGCAGGGATTTAAAGATGGATCCAAGAGTGTGTTTTTCTTCTTTTCGCCCCTCCTCCTTGTACCCTGTATCAATCTATTTTCTTCCCTGTACCTCCTGACTGATGGAGACTGATATTTGGTATAGCGCATTGAAATGGAGTATCTCGGACAATCTCACCATCATTACGGAGGAGGCTCCTCGCGCACACCATCACCGATATCGCCACCTACCTCACGCACGCCATCACCACATACTTCATACACGCCATCACCACCTACATCTCTTCGCCAACTCGATCCTCCTCTCGTTGTTCCCTCACAAACTCATTTCCTTCCTCGGCTCTCCCCTGCCCATTCACACTACGGCCCACCACCACCTTACAGGAGCACATCAGCACTACTCGCGCCACCTCCGCCTCCACCCCTGGGACCCCGTTCTCATATATGCCTGCCGCACCCGCTGCTCCCGACGCCCTTACCCCCTCCATATAATACATCTCTCATAACCGAGCGTGAAGGTCGTGGAAGAAGTCGATAATGGTGCGTTACTTCCTCGTTCGGTTGATGACAAAAGTGTGGTTTGTTTTGATACGTGATTGATATAGAACCACACGACTCTAATAACTTGTGCTTTGCCCCCGACACAGCGGGTGCTATGTCCAGCCTCACCGTATTCCCCACGCACCTGGAAGAGGAGGCGAGTAGCTCAGTTTTGTTTGTGCTTGACAACGGTGCTATGATCTACTTTTTTCTGCTGTGCTGTATAGATGCCTTCCAGCCAGCCAGACACTACAATTGCTGCGAATGACCATGGCAAGGCTATTGATAGGGCTACCGACCCATACTGGTCAGGGATAAACCTGGACTTTTCAACCGATACCGTCTTTGCATATAGCAGTAAGGCAAATTTAGAAAAAATGCTGTGGGAGGACGCACTTCTTGATGCGCAAAAGGTGCAATGATATCAATCATGTTGGAACAAGTGCTCATTTTTGCGATGCATAGGTCATCATACTCAACCCATCGTCTCATCTTGGATACCAGTTGAAGCATGCAGCGCTTCATGGCGCGCGCCGCTATGATGAAGCGATCGAGACTTTCGAAATCATGCTCTCTAAGTTAGACAATGCTCCTGAAATGCAGCTACGAGGTAAGTACCAAATAATTCATATGTCAATATGCCTGACACTTCATCCAGAGCTGCGCCAGGAGTATTTCAGTCTATCCGAAGCAGACAATATTATTCGAAAAGTCATTTACGCTCAACTAGATGACGCCCCACTTCGTCTACTAGACACCGCTTCCGGGCTTTTGTGTGACCGAGAGGCGCAGATCTGTGCCTTTAAACTGAGCACCGAATACAAGGAACTTCTGTCATTCATAATCAAGCATGCAGACATCCGAACGGAGCATATCACAGAAGTGGCAGCGTTCTACTTCCGCTGTGTCATGTTATCACACATGTGGCAAGGGAAGGAGCCACTGCTGCACGACATCAAGGACAAGGTCGTGTACGGGTTCAATCCAGTCGATGGTATCGTGAAGTTGCAGTCATTCTGCAAAGCTGCGCGTGACATGGGCTATCGATGGGCTTGGATTGACACGTGTTGCATCGACCAGAAGAACAATGTCGAGCTCCAAAAATCACTCAATTCCATGTTTATTCGGTATCACCACTCGTCACTCACGATCGTCTACCTCGCGGATGTTCCGGCTTCATCCAAGTCTGGTGCACTAGCAAGGAGTGCTTGGAATACGCGTGGATGGACTCTCCCGGAATTTCTTGCTCCTAAAATCGTTTTATTTTACCAAAGAGATTGGACGCTATATCTCGACCACCACTCTGGCAATCACAAGGAGTCTTCCATAATTATGGGGGAGTTGGAGAATGCGACGGGCATAGATGCACATGCCCTAGTCAGCTTCTGTCCGGGAATGACAGGCGCGCGAGAGAAACTGCGATGGGCGTCGACGCGTGTCACAATAGTGCAGGAAGATGTTGCATACTCATTGTTTGGCATTTTCGGCATCCATCTACCTGTTATTTGTGGCGAGAAGAAGCAAAATGCACTCGGACGGCTGCTGCAGGAGATTGTGGCTCAGTCGGGCGACATCACTGCGCTGGACTGGGTCGGAAAATCATCCGATTTTAATAGTTGCCTGCCAGCCGATATTACTTCATACAGAGCTCCGCCGTGCGCGCTGCCATCTCTGTCCGAAGACGACATCCAGACATCGGTCTCCAGGCTGCAAAATGTACTGGATATTGATGTGGCCTTGAAACTTCATCGCCTGCTTGACGATCTGGGCGCCCCTCGTTTCGCGAACCGCAAACTGCGTCTGCCTTGTATCGCATTTCTTGTCACAGAAGTCAGAAGAAGCCATACTCAAGACCAGGAGGCATATTTCGCGTATGAAGTCAAGGCCAACGGACTTCGCGACCTGCTGATCACCACGGAAGACAAGCTAACACAATTTTCGCGGGCAAAGCCCAATCTTCAGACATTCTTACTCGTCCGTCCGTGGGACCCTTATCTCCTGGAGCTGCCTGACTTTGCAGACAATCCCCAGGGCATGGACAATTGGTCTGTGCGGGGGTCCATGTTTCGTGATAACCTCAGCGTGTTTTCTGGTGAAACAGGGCCAATTGATTCACAATCACATTCACGGGCGTTACGATTGATCGTTCGCCTTGGACAGCCTTTCGGCGCGTTTCTGCTAGCGCGGCAACGCGGTGGAGAATACAAGAGAATTGCGTCAGATCGCAATATCATTGCGCAAGTCAAGGAAGTGGCTGACTCTGTTCACAGAATGCATGTCAGGACACTGGAGATATCGTAGCAATATTTTTTGAAGGACAGTTCTTAACATTCATACGTTGCTGTACGTTGAAAGATCACCTTTTAAATACAAGTTGTAGTCATACATAACCCTTTGTACGATGATTATGAAAAGTGTACAACGAGAGGAAGGTCACTTCCGGAACAACTCAGGATCATACTCAACTTTCTATAGAGTTCGTGCGATGCCGTGTTGTCGATGTCGAACATTTATGCGTGATTTTGACTGCAGCAAGGTATTTCGACCAGGGGTAGTATTCGTCGCATGTAACACTGACCATAGTGCTAGGCAATTGGATGTTTTGAACAGTGATATTCCTAATCGACTGTCCCCGCTGGCTTCGACGACCACCATTCACAACCATCACTTTCTACATGGTTTTCGCTCAGCGCGTGACAGTATTTTGTAGAGAAAGTCAGGCTTGACCCCGGCCATTTGACTTTCTTTACCTCTCGGGTTTGCTTAATGCACGACAATTTTGTCTTCCAATTGTATGCTCGCACAGTCAGGAAGCTGCAGCATAGAATACGGAGGAGCCAGTCCAAAAAACGTGCTGTTGTAGTTGATCTGGCGCACTAGCAGTGACTCACGCGGCATTCCTACCAGGACCCAAGAAAAGGTCTATGTTAAAAATCGCTGGAGCTTGGGTCCAACAGTACTAGTTCCAGATGCTCCACTGAATGCCTCACCTGGTGTGTGTGGTATGTTTTTTTAACATCATATCGACTCACTTTGGGCACGGTCATGGTCCTGATGAGCCGCGCGCCGTATGGATTGTTCTCTAAGAAGGTATTTGGTGTGCAGGCATGCGTGGCGAGCCTTTGAAGCTGCTGCTAGAGTTGACTTTAATGAGGTTTATCCAGTATGGGAGTCGCCTGTCATTAACATCCGAGGACCATCGGATGAGCTGCCAGTCACGGTGGTCAGTGAGAACCCGAGCTTGATGCTGGGTTTGCAGTGTTTGAATCTGAAGACGTTTCTAAATCTATGGAAAATCATCCAGTTATTACATAAGTACTCTCAAGCTAAACTCGTGACCTGATCTCGGAGCAAGCGTGTCTAACATACTGACAACGTTTTTGCAAATAGCTGTTTAAAAAAAATCAAAATTTTGGAGATAACTCTACATATATACAGGACAGCACCAGGAGAATCCAGTCTATAGGACCCCCATGAGCGTCCTGTTGCATCTCCCGATTCACGAATGCCCTAGTGTGAAGGCGTACTAAGTACCCCCGCCGGCCGTTTTAGACGTGCGACTACATTTTTTACATAATTTATCAGGCTGTCGCGAGTTGACAGGACCTTAGGCTTTCCGCTGTTCCCAGTACATGTTTGGGCGAGATCGACCGAAGCAGCTATTGCAAGGAGATATGGCCACCTGGTACGATACCCTTAACTTACATCATCCCCGGCCCATTCCTCGGGTCTTTCCCGTGCTCTTCCCTGTCCATTCGCACTATGAATCTGATAGCCCATCACCACCACCGCCTTACGGCTCGCCCCACCAATACGATCTACCTCCCGTCGTTCCCTCAAAAACCCACCCACTTCCTCGGGTCCCCCCTGCGCTCCCCCTTGCCCATTCGCACTATGGTTCTCCACCACAGTCCATGAGCACACCAACACCGTTCGCACTGCCGCCACTCCCCATGGGTCCTCGCCCTCCTGTATTCCCGTTGCGCCCGCCCTCACCAGATATGGGTGACCTCGTGCGTCTGTCAAGGGGAAACTTGCTGGAAAATATGGGTGGTGCTTTGGACCGGTTGCACATGGACGAAGACGAAGACGATGTGGAGGAAGAAGGGGTTAAATTTCCCATACGACCGAGCGTGAAGGCGCTTGGAAGAGGAGGGTGTGGAAGAAGTCGATTATGGTGCGTTACGTTCTTATTCGGTTGATAACAATATCATGGTTTGCTGGTGCATTGTCGATGTAGATGACTTGGATGACTCGGATGAGGAGGTACGCAACGGGTATCACGCCAATGCAATGTGGCCTCTTACGCAGTATGTATATGACGCGGCTGCTGAGCGCACGGCGCAGTATCTGCGGGAAAGGAGAAGATCCCTCGACATTGCCCTCGACACAGCGGGTGCTAAGTCTAGCCTTGCCGCAGTTCCTACGCATTCACCAGTAGAAGAGGAGGTCAGTGCCTCGTCTTTGTTTGTGTTTAACGACGCTGCTATTCTTGTACTGTGCTGTACAGATACCTGCCAGCAAGCCAGATGCTACCATTGCCGTGAGCGATCACGACAGGGCTACTGAGGTTATCGACCCATACTGGTCAGGGATAGACCTGGATTTTTCAACCGATACCGTCTTTGCATATAGCAGTAAGGCAAATTTAGAAAAAATGCTGTGGGAGGACGCACTTCTCGACGCGCAAAAGGTGCAATGATATCAATCATCTTGGAGCCGGTGCTCATTTTTGCGATGCATAGGTCATCATACTCAACCCATCGTCTCATCTTGGATACCAGTTGAAGCATGCAGCGCTTCATGGCGCACACCGCTATGATGAAGCGATCGAGTCCTTTGAAATCATGCTCTCCAGATTAGACAATACTTCTGAGATGCAGCTACGAGGCAAGTGCCAAATAACTCATGTATCAAGATGCCTGACACTTTATCCAGAGCTGCGTCAGCAGTATCTCAGTCTATCCGAAGCAGACGATGCTATTCGAAAAGTCATTTACGCTCAACTCGACGACGCCCCACATCGTCTACTAGACACCACTACTGGGCTCCTGTGTGATCGAGAGGCGCAGATATGCGCCTTCAAACTGAGCACCGAATACAAGGGACTTCTGTCGTTCATAATCAAGCATGCGGAGATCCAAACGGCGCACATCAAAGAAGTGGTAGCGTTCTACTTCCGTTGTGTCATGTTATCACACATGTGGGTGGGGAAGGAGCCACTGCTGCGTGACATCAAGGACAAGGTCGTGTACAAGTTGAACCCTGTCGATGGTATCGTGAAGTTGCAATCGTTCTGCAAAACTGCACGCAACATAGGCTATCGATGGGCGTGGATTGATACTTGTTGTATTGACCAGAAGAATAATGTCGAGCTCCAAAAATCACTCAATTCCATGTTTGACTGGTATCGTCACTCGGCACTCACAATTGTCTACCTTGCGGATGTTCCGGCTTTGTCCAAGTCTGGTGCACTGACAAGAAGTGCTTGGAATACGCGTGGATGGACTCTCCCGGAGTTCCTTGCACCCGAAATCGTTCTCTTCTACCAAAGAGATTGGACGCTATATCTCGATGACCGCTCTGGCAATCACAAGGAGTCTTTTATAATCATGGGGGAGTTGGAGAATGCAACGGGCATAGATGCACATGCCCTAGTCACCTTCCGTCCGGGAATGGTAGGCGCCCGAGAGAAGCTACGATGGGCGTCGATGCGTGTCACAACAGTGCAGGAAGATGTTGCATACTCATTGTTTGGCATTTTCGGCATCCACCTACCTGTTATTTATGGCGAGAAGAAGCAAAATGCACTCGGACGGCTGCTGCAGGAGATTGTGGCTCAGTCGGGCGACATTACTGCGCTGGACTGGGTCGGAAAATCATCCGAGTTTAATAGTTGCCTTCCAGCCGACATTACTTCATATAAAATCCCACCATGCGTGCTGCCATCTTTGTCCGAAGATGACATCCAGACATCGGTCTCATGGCTGCAAAATGCCGTGGATATTGATGCAGCTCTGAAACTTTATAACTTGCTTGACAGTCTGGGTGCTCCTCATTTCATGAACCGCAGATTGCGTCTGCCTTGTATCGCATTCCCTGTCACAGAAGTCAGACGAAACCATGCTCAAGACCGGGAGGCATATTTCGCGTATCAAGTCAAGGCAAACGGACTTCGCGACCTGCTGATCACCACGGAAGACAAGCTGACACAATTTTCGCGGGCAAAGTCCACTCTGCAGACATTCTTACTCGTCCGTCCGTGGGACCCTTATCTCCTGGAGCTGCCCGACTTTGCAGACAATTGGTCTGTGCGGGGGTCTATGTTTTATGATACTTTTAGCATGTTTTCTGGTGAAACAGGGCCAATTGATCCGCAGTCGCACTCACGGGCGTTGCGATTGATTGTTCGCCTTGGACAGCCTTTTCGCGCGTTTCTGCTAGCGCGGCAGCGCGGTGGAGAATACAAGAGAATCGCGTCAGATCGCGATATCATTGCTCAAGTCAAAGACGTGGCGGGTTCTGTTCACAAAATGCATGTTAGGACACTGGAAATATCGTAATTGTACGCATTTTTGCTTCCTGTGAACGAGCGCAGCTCGTACAGAAATATCTCTCAATATTGTAGATAGTAGTTGGCTGTGTTACACAGTGTATGCCACTAGTACGCGGATACTATTTCTTTTTCCCATCAATCATGAAGCTCTTTAGTAAGCGCAAGAAAGCAGAGCAGCATCACCTTGCACAGAGACGTCGATGTTGTCATCGACCAGCGTCGTCGATGTAGTAAGTCTTAATTTCACCGGGTCACTTACTTTTGGCAACAATGTCTACTATGTCATAGCTTGGATTAAGTGTCACTAACCCGAACTTCATAGGATGGACTACTTGCGCACCTTAAGCGTCGGCCTTCAGGATATAACCACCGCGATTGGGTGGTGCTACCTGACCCTCTTGAGGATGAAGCCAAGGATCGTGCAAAAGAGCGAGGAATTGACGAAGAGGGTCGAGAGCGCTTTTGGGGCGAGAAAGATAATTCCTCAGAGCTTACTGTGACGCGCATGATTGGTGCGTCAGGCGATGCGGCCACTGTGCCTTTGATGCTGCGGGAACTAATATCGGTGTAGTACACCTTGCAGCAACCTCGTCGGAGGACTGGAGGCTCGTGCTTGAGGTCTGCGAGCTTGCGTCTGCTACTGGAACGAATGCCAAGGAGGCTGTGAAAGCCCTCAGGAGAGAATTGAAGTGCGTTTCATAGCTGTGTTCCACTTTGTATACCATTGACAAGGCACTTGGGATAAAGATATGCAGGGCCTGAATCTCAATTGTCTGCTGCTAGGGTAAGTACTCCCCGTCTTGCCATTGCTTCAAGATCCTTGATTTCTTACCTTGACAAACTCTCCATTCAATATACATTACCATTTGCATAGTTGTTGGAAATAATGCTCCGCAACACGTCCGATATTTTCCTTACTCAAATCAGTTCCCGTAAATTTATTGACACCCTCGAGGACGTGCTAATAAGCTCAAGAACGAGCCCTGTCGTTAGAAAACGACTAATGGAGGTGCTCGCAGCAGCGGCCTTTATCACCAGCTCACGTACGTGGTAATCTAATTTTATTCTTCACTATATATCCCCCTTGCTGAATATCTTTATTACCTTATCTGCTGTTTACTTTATATACATTTTTGGAAGCCCGTCTTTATCGATCTCGAGTCATGTCCTTGTTCCACTGAACCCCCATTCTTCACAGGTCCCCTGCCTTTGTCACCCAATGATCGTGGCAGTAACGGATTTCGTGCCCTATGGATGCGCTTGAAACCTGCTGACAAGCCTCCTGTGGGGATTCCCTTCGACACTGATGATGCTACGTTCAGCCCCTCCATAGGTTCTACGCGTCCACTAATAGATGAGGTCAGCGCCTCTTTTTATTTGTACCTTATGACGGTACTCTGATCAATTTTTGTGCTTTATTTTGTCCTGATGTCTTGTCACGATTAGTGGCCATCAAAGAAGAGTCTCCACCAGCGTTGTTTTATTCCTCCCGAGGACATGAAACTCTTGTTCCGGCTATGCAAGACCGCAATGGGAAACGCGATTGCCCTTAGCGAGATGCTTGCACATGCAAAACCGGAGCAGATAGAAGGGAGCCCAATACTCGTGCGTATTATTTCTCAGTTGACCTCCGCTCTCATTTTGTCAGTCTGCCACATCACCTTGCATGGAATTACCATTCTCCTTCATTATCAGCTCTTCGTTTTCTCTCCTGTCGTTATTTGTCTGACCGATGAACAGGATTGTCTGTCAAAATGCAACGCATCACGGGAACTGATCTCCACCCAAATTCCATGGGCGTCTGAAGGTGCTGAACGGTCGCGCAATGACAGAGAAAGGAATGCAGAGGGAAATAGACATACTGAACAACAAACCATAGAGGAGGAACTTCTCGACGCGTTGGTTGACGCGAATGAGGCGCTGCTGGGGGCATTGAATATGTATGACGATGTTGTGCGGGTGGCGGAGGAGCAGGTAGCTGTTGATAATGTCCGAATCAGTAACGACGTGGAGATGGACCGAATGGTGAGTGTCTTTCTTTGCGCCAGGGTCATTTTGTTTTCCTTGTATTCTCTGTTATTTCCCCACTCTGTCTTTGAATTTTCTCCCCTGTACCTCCTGATTGGGACTGATATTTGGTATAGCACAATGGAAATGGGTACCTCGGGGAATCTCACCATAATTATGGAGGCAGCTACTCACGCACCCCATCACCATCACTACCTACCTCGTCCCGCCAAACCGATCTCCTTCTGGTTATTCCTTCACAAACCCGTTCCCTTCCTCGGATCCCGTTAGCACTCTCTCCTACCCATTCGCACTACGATTCTCCATCACAGTTCTTGAGGACACCAATAATGCCAGCACGGCCGCCTCCGCCCATGGGACCTCGTTTGCCTTCATCCCCGTCGCGCCCGCCTGTGCCAGATAGGGGTGGTCTTGCATGTCCACGCGGGAACTTGTTGGAACGAATAGATCGCTTGCATATTGATTCAGAAGAAGAATTTCCCATACGGCCGAGTGTGAAGCCGCTCGGGCAGAGGAGGGCCATAAAGGAAGTCGATGACGGTGCGTTATGTTCTTGTGAGACAAGATCTGTTGTTCAGCTTGCCGTAGTTCCCACGCGTTCGTCTTATCTCGGATACCAGTTGGAAGATGCAGCGCTTCATGGCGCTCGCCGCTATGACGAAGCGATCGAGGCCTTTGAAATCATGCTGTCCGAGTCGGACAATGCTCCTGATATGCAGACACAAAGTACGTCCCCAAATAACCACATCCTTAAACGTGCTTGACTTTTTCTCCAGAGCTGCGCCAACAATACGTCAATCCATCCGATGCAGAAGGAGCTATTCAAGAGGCCATTCACGCTCAATTCGACGACGCCCCACTTCGCCTACTCGACACTACTACTGGCCTCTTGTGTGATCGAGAGGCACAGATATGCACCTTCAAACTGAGCACCGAATACAAAGAACTTCTGTCATCGATAATCAATCGTGCAGAGATCCAAATGGAGCACATCAATAGAGTGGTGGCATCCTACTTCCGTTGTGCCATGTTATCACATAGATGGGAAGTGAGGGAGCCACTGCTGCACGACATCAAGGACAAGGTCGTGTACGAGTTGAACCCCGTCGATGGTATCGTGAAGTTGCAGTCGTTCTGCAAAACTGCACGCGACATGGACTATCGATGGGCGTGGGTTGATACCTGTTGCATCGACCAGAAGAACAATGTCGAGCTCCAAAAATCACTCAATTCCATGTTTGACTGGTATCGTCATTCGGCACTCACGATAGTCTACCTTTCGGATGTTCCACCTTTATCCAGCTCTGGCGCACTGGCGAAGAGCGCTTGGAACACGCGCGGATGGACTATGCCGGAATTCCTCGCTCCCAAAACTGTTCTCTTCTACCAAAAAGATTGGACACTATATCTTAGTGACCGCTCTCCGAATCACAAGGAGTCTGTCACAATTATGCAGGAGTTGAAGGATGCGACGGGCATAGATACACTGGCCCTCGTCGACTTCCGTCCGGGGATGGCAGGCGCTCGAGAGAAACTTCGATGGGCGTCCGTGCGTGTTACAACAGAGCAGGAAGATGTTGCATACTCACTGTTTGGCATATTCGGTGTCCACCTACCTATCATTTATGGTGAGAAGAAGCAAAACGCGCTTGGCCGGCTCCTGCAGGAGATTGTGGCTCAGTCGGGTGACATTACTGCGCTAGACTGGATCGGGAAACCATCCGAGTTTAATAGCTGCCTGCCAGCTGACATTACTTCATACAAAGCTCTGCCATGCGCGCTGCCATCTCTGGGCGAGGACGACATCCAGACATCGGTCTTATGGCTGAAAAATGCCGTAGATATTGATGTGGCTGTTAAACTTTATAACTTACTCGACAAGCTGGGCGCTCCTCTTTTCACAAACCGCAGACTGCGTCTGCCTTGTATGGTATTCCCTGTCGCAGAAGTCAGACGGAGCCGTGCTCACGACCAGGAGACACATTTCGTGTATGAAGTCAAGGCAAACGGACTTTGTAACCTGCTGATCACCACGGAGGACAGGTTGTCTCGATTTTCGCGCACAAGGTCTACTCTCCAGACATTCTTGCTTGTCCGCCCTTGGCATCCTTGTCTCCTCGAATTACCCGACTTAGCAGACAATCCACACTGGAGCATGAGCAATTGGTCTGCGCGCGAATCCGTGTCCCGCGATTCTCGCAGCGTGTTTTCTGACGAAATAGAGTCGATTGGTTTGCAGTCGCGGGCATTACGATTGATCGTTCGCCTTGGACAGCCTTTTCGCGCATTTTTGCTAGCACGACAGCGCGATGGAGAATACAAGAGAATTGCGTCAGATCGCGATATCATTGCACAAGTCAAAGACGCGGCGGGTTCTGTTCATAAAATGATGGATGTCAGGACACTGGAAATATCGTAGCTTGATCGTAGAGACAGATCTTAACATTTATACCTCGATAATATGCCTACGGTCATACACAAGTACCCGAAGCTTGACTCGTAAACTAGTCTGCCTATGCGCGCTTTTGAAATGTTGAGGATTTCTGCCCTACGCCACTCGAGCATCCGTGGTAGTGCATGCCAGGCCGGTCACAAGCCTAACTCATAGCGATGTATATAGGAGGAAAGCGGGCCGTCATCTGAAACGCTTCAAGTTACGCGTCCAGCGTCAGCCGTGCTCAACACCGAAGCCATTTGTTTGGATTTCTTCTCCTGACCGTGTCGCATTGTATTGAGTATAATCAACATTCCTTGTAGAATGACGATCGCTTTGGATGGTATAGAAGATGTGTAATCTGAGAAAGGCCACGTCCAGAGCATCCCAGTGTTATACCTCAACTTTTTGTCAAGTCCGTGCGATCCCGTGTTGCCGCTGTGGAGTGTTGCTGATATCGAACACTTGGTTTACGACGCGGCTGATTTGGATTGCAGGATATTTTCGCCGTGGCGACATGTGTTTGGCGACTAGATGTCTCGGAGAGTCCATACACAGGCCGGTGTTCTGGTTGCGGTCCTGGCGAGCTGCGCACCGCATAGATTATCATACGGGAAGGTCTTGGGTCACGATATAGAACGGACTGTCTTCCTTCTGCTATGGTCTGACTTGGGGAGATTAGTCATAGGCGCACAGGCATGTGTGGCAAGCTTCTAGTATACCAGCGAAGCGTTGGACGCTACCGCCGCTGGCCAGTACTATTTTTAACGAGGAAGCACTCGAGGACGATGAGTTAGTTGGTGAGAACCCAGTAACCGCCAAAATTTTGTAAATGCAACTGAGCGTGGTGATATGGGGAAAGACATCCATAGGACAAGCTCCATCAATATCCACGATGAGCACAGCTCGGGTGTCCATGTCAAACCTCGGCCTCATGGAATCCTGGATGATCCATGGCATTGATACTTGTCTGTCATTGTTTTGGATTGTTTGGATTGTACCTCATTCTCCTGATCACATACCAAGAACTACTAGTACTAAGTAGTAAGTACTACTAAAGATATTGATATCAACCTTGCAGATCAACGATGACCACACCGTACACGCCAACGTCGTTCATCCAGATGACTCCTAGTACACCAGCAACGCCAAGTCCAGCGCCAGCGCCAACGCGCGGTCGTGGAACAGGTGCAAAACGCGGCCGCAAGCCTCGCGGTGCATTTCCCAATGTGTCCACCGATACTCGCCCCCCACCACAATCAGGGCCCAGCACATCTTCGCCTGCAACGCGATTTACCCCGGCCCAGTGGGCGATTCCTGGAGTCCCTGCAGGCGCCACTGCCACTGCCTCGACTTCTACTGTGACAGTCCCTGCTGCCCAAAGCACCGCCGCAAATACTGGTGACGTATCGATGGACAGTGGGGATGATGAACCCGTAGTGACGCAGCCTCCGCCCGTTACTGCTGCTGCTTCTTCAACGGATACGGTAATTTCACCGCCTGGGACGGCCGCGAAACCTGCGGGTGCCCCGGACGAGGACGTAGAGGGTGAAGACGAGCTTTTACCTGCAATGGCGGATGATGACTACTCTGCGCAGTTGTCATGGCAGAGCGAGAGCAAGGATAATCTGAAGTAGCTTGTGGTATTTGTTTGATAGTACACCCTGCTCACGAAATCGATCTAGGGTGCTTATGGACAATTTCAGTCCGGGACAGTATGAGCGCTTTGAAGCCTACCGACGCCATGCACTACCGAAGCAAGCTATACGGAAGGTGCGAGCTCGTGATAATGATAACAAGATGTTGCAACCTCACTTGCAATGCTATGGATAGGTTATACAACAAACGACAGGACAGCAAGTTTCTCAGCCCGTTGCGCAAATAGTAGCAGGTGTTGCGAAAGTGTTTGTTGGCGAGATCGTAGAAAAAGGTACGCCTTTTGATTTGCGCACCCTGTCTTGCGTGTTCTCATTTATTTTGTATTTAGCTCGTCAGGTTCAATCACGGCGCAATGATTCTGGCCCCCTCACGCCAGACCACCTTCGTGAAGCGTATCGGATGTATCAGGCAGAGACTGGGCGTGTGGGCAGTGCGCGACCAATGCGAGGGAAGCGTCTGTTTGTCAGGTAGTGAGTCAATGTCAGACTTGGCAGTGCCGTTATGTCGCAACCTAGACGTAACTTACCACCTGGGAACACTTCTTAGCATTCGACTGTTATATGCGTCAGTAGACATGATGTACATGATGGGCTGTACAAAGTTACAAGTGCCATCATATGAGGTGGTGGCTTTGCTATATAGTCATTATCGCTTGCATTACGCGAGTGCAATCACTGAAGCTTGAAGTACTGATAGATCAACTGGCGGTGTATATGAGTGTTGCCAAGACTATGAGACCGGCCAAGATTGCGTTGACCGACGCTGCCGGGAATTGAACGTGGCAGTCGCGACGAATGATATGACTTGTCACGTGATGGCTGTAGCTGTGATACACAGCCTCATGTGTAAGTGACTGAAGCTCAGGCCTGTAGCCCTCATCAATCTACTCCCAGCTCTTTTCTTTCTTTCCTACCAATGAAGAAACTTTTTGGGCGCGACAAAGTGAAACAGCAAAAGGTGATCTCGCACAGAGATGTCGACGTTGTCATCGACGATGTAAGTCTTGATCTTCAACTTACTTGTGGCAACAATCATCCATGTCATAACTTGGATCATCACTAACCCAAATTTTGATGCATACGTATAGGATGCACTACTTGTACGCCCCAAACGACCTTCAGAGGACCACCGTGACTGGGAGGTGCTATCTGAGCCCCCTGTCCCTTCTAGTCCGTATCCTCAGTTTGCAGTGCCTCCGATGTCACCGAGCCGCTCGTCTTCCCTAGCTTCGATTCCACCTGTAATATTACCCGCGCGTTCCAGCAGTCCATACAGCGCTACAAGTCACACCACCACTGTACCTACGCCCACGCCCACACCCACGCCTACGCCCACCCCTCAGACTAACCCAAACCCAACCCATACTGTGCGGAGAGACGGACGCAGGATCCAGAAGCCACAGGCCGTGCCTGCTGCACTTGGTATACTGAAGTCACTCGATCCGCATCTGGAGCATGCCTTGCAACAGACGCACCCGCACCATGTTCACGAAGTACCAGACGATTCTTTTCCAGTTGAACACAGGGACAGGGCAGAGAAGAAGGAGAGGAAGAGTTTCTGGGATGGGATTATCAGGGACAGGGACAGGGACAAAGACAAGGACAAGGACCGCGGACGTGATAAAGAGCGTGAAACTCGTGAGAAGGAAAAGGAAAGAGAAAGGGAAAGGGACAAAGATGGACGAGATCGCATTTGGCGCGAGGAAGACAATCCCTCAGAGCTGACGCGTATGATCGGTGCGTCACTTCAGCCGATACCGTGCCTTTCATGTGTGGGGATTTATACCGGCATAGGGTACCTTACGGCGACCTCATCGGAGGACTGGACACTTGTGCTCGAGGTCTGTGAGCGTGCATCTGCTACTGAAGCAAATGCCAAGGAGGCTATGAAAGCCCTTCGGAGGGAATTCAAGTGCGTTTCATAGCCTCCCCTCGCTTTCTATGCCATTGACAATGTATATCTGGGATACAGATATGCAGAGCCTAAATCTCAATTATCTGCTGCTAGGGTAAGTACTACCCGACTCATTACTTTGTCCTTGATCTCTCACCTTGGAATACATACATTCGTCCATTTTCCATCCATTCTGCATTACGGTTTGCACAGTTATGGGCAATAATGCTCCGGAACGCGTCCGATATCTTTCTAACTCAGATCAGCTCCCGTAAATTCATTGACACCCTGGAGGACGTGTTAACGAGCTCAAGAACAAGTCCTGTCGTCAGAGAACGACTAATGGAGGTACTCGCAGCTGCCGCCTTCATCACTAACTCACGTACGTGTTCATCGATTTGCTAAATTTATCATCAATTATCCCCGTTTACTGAGCATCTTTCGCAACAACGTTGCCGTTAACTCCATGGTCCCTTTTTCAAACCCGTCTTCGAATCGGTTCTGAGCCATGTCCTCTTCCAAACCTGCGTTCTTTTCGCAATACTAACCCGACCTTTTGCCGACCCTTCTTCACAGGTCCCAACCCCTCGCCCAAATCTGAACCATCGCCTTTCTCGCTTAAAGATCGCGACCGTGATAGGGATGGTTTCCGTGCCCTGTGGATGCGATTGAAACCCACTGATAAGCCCGATGTGGGGGTTCCCTTCGATACCGAAGATGCTATGTTTAGCCCCCCTATAGTGCCTACGCGTCCACCAATAGAGGAGGTCAGCTTTTTTGGTTTGTAGTTTATGGCAGTGCGCTGATCAATTCTCCTACTCTATTTTTTGCTCGCTTCTCTCGGTGATATCTTGTCGCGATTAGCGGCCGTCGAGGAAGAGTCTCCACCAACGCGGTGTCATTCCTCCAGAAGAGGACATGAAGCGCCTATTCCAGGAATGCAAGATCGCGAAAGGAAATGCGACTGTCCTTAGCGAGATGCTTGCATACGCGAAACCAGAACAAATGGAAGGGAGCCTGGTACCGGTGCGTGCGATTTCTCAGTTAACCCCTGATCCCCATTTTGTCAGTTTGCCACATCACCTTTGCGTGACATGACTCTCCTTCTCCTATCTTATCGATATCAATCTGATCGTTCTATAGGAATTTTTGGCGAAGTGTCGCGGGTCGCAAGAACTCATATATACCCAAATTCCGTGGGCATCTGCAGGCGCTGAACGGTCGCGCAATGAGCGAGAAAGGAATGCAGAAGGAAATGGACGTACGAAATCGCAGCCTGATATCCAATTCAGTTCTCCGCCGAGTCGAGATTACCATGGCATGGACGCTAACTTTTATCTTAATGCAGAGGGAGAGGAACAAACTTTGGAGGAGGAGCTTCTTGGCGCATTGCTTGATGCGAATGAGGCATTGATTGGGGCGTTGAGAATGTATGATGATATCATGCGGGTTGTGGAGGAGCAGGTGGCTGTAGAGATCAGTAGGCGGGATGTGAAGATGGACCGAAGAGTGAGTGTCTTTTTCTTATTTTGTCTTCACCAGTCATTCTGTCTTCCATATACTGTCAATTTTTATTCTGTTTCCTGCACTGTACCCCCTGACCAAGACTGACATTTGGTATAGCACATGGAAAATGAGTACCTCGGTGACTCTTATCCTGATTATGGAGGCGGCTCCTCACGCACACCGTCACCAATGCCATCACCACCTGGTTCGCCCCGCCAACACGACCTACCTCCCGTTGTTCCCTCACAAACCCACCCACTTCCTCGGGTCCCTCCTGCGCTCTCCCCTGCCCATTCGTACTATAGTTCTCCACCGCAGAATATGAGCACACCAACACTACTTGCACCGCCGCCTCCCCCCGTGGGTCCTCGTTCTCCTGCATTCCCGTCACGCCCACCCTCACCAGATAGGGGTGGCCTTGTGCGTCCGTCAAGGGGGAACTCACTGGAAAATACGGGTGGTGCTTTGGACCGGTTGCACATGGACGAAAACGATGTGGAGGAAGAAGAGGTCAAATCTCCCATACGACCAAGCGCGAAGGCGCTTGGGAAGAGGAGGATCGTGGAAGAAGTCGATGATGGTGCGTTACGTTCTCATTTGATTGATAAAAGAAATGGTGGTTTGCTGATGCGTTGTCAACATAGAACAACACGACTCGAGTGATTTGTACTACAAGCCAAGGCGTGAATCGGTTGTATTTGACTCGGATGAGGAGGTACGCGGCGGGGATCATGCTAATGCAATGTGGCCTCGAAGACAGCCTACGCAGTTTGTATATGACGCGGCTGCTGAGCGCACGGCGCAACATCTGCGGGAGGGTAGGGTGAATGTTCAAGTTGCTGCAAATGGGGTTCATTAGGGTCTTTGATAATTGTGGTCCTTTTAATCGGTCTCGAACTTCAATTGAAGTGTGGTTAGAGGAGCTGTTCATTTTATTTCGTTCTTCATCATATCATGTTCAACCAATTTGTACGCTAGCTTCTGTAGTAGTCAATCATCCAACCCTGCTATTTATGTTTTTTGAACTGTCCTGGTTGATTTGGAAGTTACTCAATCCAATGATATTGCAATATCAACCTGCAGTATTCCTGCCAGTGCATGTTCGCACTAGAACATAAAGCTTGAAAGTGGGCTCCGGCGCTTCAGTCCACGGACGTCTAGCTAACAACTTCCATGGCTTCAAATTAGATATCCATCGCAAACAACAATAGACAAATTCCAGCGTGCATGACCTCCACATCAGCGTCCGCACTTGTGCAAGAACTAGACGACGCACCCGACGTACTCACATGGCTCAACGACACACTTACACCGGAAGGCAATCATGTTCCGCTCGCTTCTCTTGACTCGCTGCTGGCAGACCTGCTGACTGCCACAGACCTTTCAGCAGTAACAACCTCAGCTGCACTCGAACGCACAATCGACGAGGTGTCACGCAGCGCTCCCCGTCTCACATATGACCTGCATTTCATGCGCGACGGTGCCCTCTCCCTACACTCAGCTCTCGCCACCGTCACTGCCCGGATCCCAGCTGGAACGAGCACTTCTGCTGCTCTCGACAGATTGCAGACTCTCGACACTGCAAAACGACGGATGGAAGCTGTGAGGGATGTGCTACGTGAGGCAGAGTCGTGGTCCAGCTTAGAGGCTGAAGTCACTGCATTGCTGGCTGAGCGTGCATATGACAAGGCTGCTGAAAGATTGAGCGAGGCTAGCAGAAGTATGCCTGTGTTTGCGGGAACTCCGGAGTATGAGCCTCGTCGTGCGTTGATGGTATCCCTCCAAAACCAACTCGAGGCTGCCCTCAGTTCCGCATTGGTTGGCGCAATCAACTCGGGCGATACAACGCTTTGCAGGAACTTTTACGGGATATTTGCTAACATACAGAGGGAGAGTGAGTTCAGGAACTATTACTTTGGCTCTCGGAGAGCAGGCCTGGTTGCTTTGTGGCAGAGCGAGGTGCTGGAAGATACGGAACCATCAGTGCCTGCGATGCCGAGACAGACGTTCAGCGCCTTCTGGGCAACTTTTTGCACCAGTTTCTTGGCTGTCCTCAATGCGGAGCGCACGTCTATTCCTGCCATCTTTCCTGATCCTCAAATCACACTCTCAACGCTCATCACTTCCACTCTGTCCACCTTACAGCCTTCGTGTCCGCAGCGCCTTGCGACCCTATTCAACACCGCCGGCTCATCTGCCCTCAAGGATATCATAGCTATTTACAAAACGACAGAGGAGTTCGCGGCGAGCACAGACAAGATTATGGAGAAAATACAGTTCTCCGTTATCCCTACGGACAGTACTTTGGATGGTCCTTTGCCTCCGAAGCACACCCGCCGCCGCTCCGTCCGTATGTCCATGTCCTGGCGGTCGAATTCAGCCACGAATTTTTCACGGGCGCAGCAGTCCACGCTCAATGATGTACTTGATTGGGACCAAACACTTTTTCAGGTGTTTCTAGACTTCCAAGTCGAGTATGGGACACTGGAGCGGCGCCTCCTCTCTGATGAGCTGTCTTTTGCCTCCACATTTACCCCTAACAAGAACCAAAGCACTGACCGGGCCCGTCTTCTTCGCGAGCGCGCAGTCGATGTGTTTGGTGCCGCAGAGGAAAGCCTCGTACGCTGCATGTCCTTCACATATGGATATGCTGCACCAGGACTCATGTCCGCGTTGGACTCATCTCTCGCTTCATTTGTCGACTCCTGGACCCAATCGTTGACAGCAAATCTTTCTGCCCCGTCGGGTGCCTCAGCGGAATCTGAAGATGACCTCGCAGATCTGGATTACTCCCCGCAGGACTGGAGTAACATTCAACTCGTTTTGCACCTTCTCGCGTCTACACGAGCGGTGCTTGATCGACTGAGCACTTTTGAGGGTAAGCTGCGAGCTGCACTCGTACAGATCGCCACGGCATTCCGACTTGCGCAGCACGAAGGTGGGGTGTATACACCTGGCGCAACCAAGGGTGCTGGTTCGCTCCTGGCGCAGTCCTCCCTGAACAGCGCAGCTTTGCACACTCTCCTATCATCCGCAGAATCCCATCCCCCTGTTCCACTACTCACTACAACGCGCGCATCCATTGCATCCCTTGCCAGAGCCCTTCAGTCCTCCCTCCAGCATACCCTTCTTGCCCCCTTACATGCACATCTCTCATCCTATGCATCCCTTGCCCTCTGGGCGGCGCCGGGTGATCCCAAGTCCATGCGCACGGCAGGCGACCTCCATGTGCCTGTGTTTTCGCTTTCCCCCAGCGATATCGTCCAACACGTTGCGGAAGGGCTGTTGAATCTCCCGCGGCTCTTTGAGGTATATGCAGATGACGATGCACTAGGCTTCTCACTCAACACACTCCCGAATGTTGATGAGGCATATCTAAGTGGTCTGAGTGAACAGTCCCCTGAGCTGGGGCACAACCGACGAACTTCGCTCGTCTTACCTCCCAAGCCGGTGGTGCTGAGCCCGGAGGCAGTTGCAGCAGCCTGGCTGTCCTCCCTCGGACATTCTATTCTATCCCATCTTACCAGCAACGTCTTGCCGAAGATCCGTACGCTTTCCGTCGCAGGAGCCGCACAGCTCTCATCGGATCTTGGCTATTTGTCGAATATCGTGAGGGCACTCAATGTTGAGTATGAGGAATTGGATAGGTGGAAAGAGTATGTGGGGATGAATGACGAGGAAGGAAGTCGGGTGGTTGGGGAGAAATTACCTGGAGATCAGGTGTTAGTGCTAGTAGCGAAGATGAGAGGGTGGACAAGTAATTGCTGAGGTCATTTTTCTTTTTGTCTCAGCCAGATGTATACTTAGGTTCAACTTCGAAGACAAAAATTAGGTGTTCAAATTAGAGGCGAAGTGTCAGTATTAAAATCAGTGTTGATCTATGTCGTGGACATTTTCTGCATACATCTAGGAGCATATGCGCATGATATCACGGGTCACTGCATATCCTAATGCCTTGGTTCGAGTTTGTAGTACTAGTTCTCGAGTATGTCATTCTCTGTAGCTGAGATTATCACGGTGGTGGTAGACATACTTTCTGTATCGCGAGGGCACCGGCGCTAGCCCTCGACTCCCCTGACGTGTTTTGTCGAATTAAACGTTACCCAAAGTAGTATTTCGTTTTATTTCATTTTGCATTGACGATCAACTTATTATGAAGGTGTACAATTCAATCGAAAATTAAGAAATTAACTCAACAAAACTCACCGCTCTACCTCAGTGATGTGCCGCTAAGGGCTCGAAGAAAAGGACGAGAAGCAGATGTGGGACTTGATTTGATCATTAATAATATTGCAGCACATTGAGCGATATCTCATGGACGTGCCGGTCAACGCAGACTATAAGGAATTCTGTGTGACAACGCCTGCTCGTTTTCTCTCACTGAATCATATGCTATGGTTGCGCTTAATGACTTAGAACTGTGACGATGCAGAAGCAAATCAGATTCATTTAACGGAACGGTGTGTGGCACTACTACAGATTTAGAACAGAACAACAAAGTATCATGCAGAAATATCATTAAATAAGTAAGCAACAGGAGAGCAAGGGAATGAGAACAACTAGGGCAGCCTAGAAATACACAATATAGCAAATCGAGACTCCAACTACACACCCATGTGGACAAATACAATCTGCTGTCCTAGTAGAATCTTGTTGCGCAACGACTTCACAGCCTTATGCAGCGCTACCGCAGCATGTGTGCAGTCCAATCTCCTTGAATCATCAACTCGAATGAGTTTACGGTAGAAAGCAGACACAACCTGGCGTGCAACCTCGTCATCAACAGACCACATGGAACCAATCACACCGCGAAACCCGCAGGATTGCATAGCTGCAGCAAGATGGATCGACTCATCGTGACTCTTCTCATCGCCCACAGTAGTGTGGCAGGCCGATAAGAATGCAAACTCCAAGTTCTGCCAGTTGGATCGGATGATGTCCTTGATCATTAAAGGCCCATCGCGCATGGCAAACGAGGACTCGAATGGTTGCTGTCGATTCGGTATTCCATGGCAGGCTAGGTGAAGCCGCTGCTTATGATTGAGTGCATCGAGTGCACCCTGCACTGTTGCCTCGCTGTCCTCAAGCGATGTTAAGGACGACACGGTGGGCTCAAGACGTTTAGCTACGATGGATAGCTCAGGAGTGACACATCGGAGTCCCTTCCCTCTGGGTTCGCTTGACCAATGGCAACAAAATGTTGCAAGGACGGATCTTGAGAAGCCTGCTTTCTCGCACGAATGAGTCGCCAAAGTGGGGGTGTAAGAGGAGATGTAAACGTCAGACAAATTATCTTTGTTCTCCTCGTAGGGTCCTGCCGCATGGATGGCAAGCAGCGTGAATTCAGTAGTGGGACACCACCAGATACATGAGCGAGGGCGAATTTTGGACTTCTCGAGAGATTGGACTATGGGGGTGAACGACATGATCCCAAAGCTTGCGAAGGATATGAACAAGGGTATATCGACGATCAGAAGAACCGAACACCTCTGCTAGTGACTGGAGCTCGGAGAACTTGGACACTTCGGCTTGTATAGTGTCAAGCGGAACATGGACAGGATCCTCTGTGCTATGGTTAATAAAAGCGTCACAGCCATATTGGCTTGTATTGAGAATAATGACTGGACCCTCTTCTGCCACTTTCTGTAGGTTGGAGAACAGGGGAGGCAAAAGAAAACACGAAAAGCCATGAAGCATGTGAATGTGCAAGACGACGTCATCCCATTGCGTGGTCAATTACCGGATTTGCAAAGACTGGTCCTCAGTAGACTGATCAAACGCGTTATGAAGGCGAAAACTCAACCCTCTAAACTCTTCTCCCAAGGCCGTGCCAATGTTACTTGAAACAGAAAGTTTATCGAGTGGTGTGCTGAAGCGTGCCATCTGGGTCCAGAATACCGCGCGACCTTGCTCCACCAGCTCCACTGCAGTCGTCAGCGCACCATGATGAACACTACATGAAAAAGCATCTGTGGCAAGGGAAGAAACAGCCTCCCTGATGACATTGAAATGACGTGAAGACGACAAGAGAGCAACTCGCTAATCTAGGAATTTCAGTGCAGTCTTATAGGCAAGCAATGCAAAGCCGTGATTGAGGGTGTCGGCGGAGGCTGCCCATGACTTGGCAACACTAAGACCTGTGCGAGATGCTGCATGTGCTAGTTGGGAGAGTTGCAAATACAAGCTAAATGCTTCATCAAGGTCGGACTGGACGCCCCGCTGCCAACATCTGTCTCGAAGGCTAAGTGCAAGATTGTCCAGAGACATGGATTGATCCGAATGACCAGATGGATGGAGGAGCAATGCAGCCCAATAGAGCTCGATGGCCTCATCAAGGTTAGACATGATGTCATGCTGCTGGAATCTGTCTCCAAGGCTGACAGCAAGATTGTTCAGAGACGGGGATCGGTCTGAATGACCAGAGGAACGGAGGAGTAATGCAACCCCATGGAGTTTGATAGCCTCATCAAGGTCAGACATGATGCTACACCGCTCGAACCTGTCTCGAAGGCCATTGGCAAGATCGTCCAGAAACAAGGATCGACGCAGATCGCCCGGAGGACAACACCGCAACAGAGCTCAATACTCCTCTACATGGTTTGCTGAGTTAGTGGGGAAAGATGACTACTGCCCCATCTCGCTGTGAAGGGTCTCCAATTGAGTACAAAATGGAGTGGGATCAGAGTAAATACACACTTAGGAAGTCGAAACTGCAGCACTGGCACACTGAAGACCTGCCAATGCGAGGGAAATGATATGGTGGATCCTCAGCACGGTGATCGGAGGAATTTAGCAGCGAGCCGCAAGGCCACGGAGAGGTTGAGGTCTGAGGCTCTGTTCGAGAACTACACGGGGTTTGGGTATTGCAGCCTGTAAGGTACATGTGCACCTTGAGGTCCGCGCATCACGTCAAGATCCTATTCAGAATAACACGAGGACAAAACGAGGACATGATATGGGCTCTGAATCACCAGTCTTCAATTACGTAATACCACTACGACTTCGGAAATATTGCAGGCGTGTTTTACCATATTTGACGATCATCCACTCAATCTTCAGTCTACTGCCCAGGAAAAGGCACCCACAAGCTCGGACTGGGGCCCCATTTGTGTTACTACGGTTACATGGCCAGTCAATTTAGCAGAAGAAGAGTTGAACGTATGGGTACATTGCTGAAGCAAGCATCCTTCGATCATAGTAACAGGACACGCCTGCAGCGGATAGCATGACCCAATAGTATATCGCAGGAACAAGCGCGGGCCATACACTCTCCCAAACACAATCGTAATCTATCATTATGAATCTCGACTCAGTTGACAATTTCTTTCAATCTCTGATCTTCTGCGCACTGGGCTGTGTTCCTCCATAATTGACAGGAACCCGTTGGAATTTGTCGTGACTCGTCTAAATCTCGTTCAGAACAGAATTTCAACAACCCAAGGACGTGATGAGTTCACTAGCCTTCCTAGTGACTGAACTTGAATTGGAGGTGTGTTTGTGTTTACAATGATAGCCCGCCAACGTTTACTTATACCTTCGTCTAAAGTCCCTTGCCAGCGAGTCCAGGAGAAATCATCCAGAAATACGTGAGGTACGATGGAAAGCACTCATCTCACGCACTCAGTTCAGCGTCTTATGTCCACGCAAAGGCAGCAGAGAAGTCGCTTGCGATACTTAGGTCCTCTCCAGAGCAAGCGACAGCATCTTTGGCCTCTGGTACGTAATCCCATCCGAACGCCCTCCACTTTCTTCATCGTTCACCCACAGACAGCGTACAGTCCGACGATCTTCTTCGTCCACTGTTTATGGGATGCGCGTCGAAGAACATGAAAGTCGCCGCCATCTCGTTGGGGTCACTGCAGCGGTTGATCGCCCTCAAGGCTGTACCGCAGTCTGCTGTCGCACTCATCGTAAGCACGATGAACGATGCCATGAGCCAAGGGGTAGACATTCAACTTCGGATCCTGCAAACCTTAGTCTCCTTGATCACCAATTTTCCCTCGATACACGGAGAGCTCCTGGGAGAGGTACGCTCTGTCTATTCTTCTTGGTGTCTATCTGATCACTTGTCAAAGGCATTGCTTCTCTGTTTTAAGCTGCAGGATTCCAGGATCGCAGTAGTCTCTTCAACAGCTGCAGCTACCTTGCGCCAACTGATCATGTTTATCTTTGAGAAAATGGCTAACGAGGATCGTCAAGATAAAAACGGCACTCCGGAGTTGTCTGAGGCGGCGCTTCCGGACGGTAGCACCAAAGCGTTAGGTCCTTGTGCCAAAGATGCATTCTCTGTCTTCGAAGATCTCTGTCTCCTCGCAATTTCTGAAAAACTCAATTTCTTGAAGCTCGAATACCTACATAAGACCTTCGCCTTGGAATTAATTGAGAGCGTGCTCACGAACTACCACGAGCTGTTCAAGAAGGCAAGTTTGTCGATCCCATTCAGCTAGTTCATACTGATGCTCGTCGCAGCACACGGAGCTTTTGATGTTGCTACAACGCTACCTTTGTCCACTCATTCTGAAATCTCTCTCAGCTGACAGACATGTCTTCCCGTTGACACTCAGATGCACGCGAGTTGTGTTCTTGATCTTGAAGCAGTTCTCATTCGAGCTAGAGGCAGAAACTGAAGTATTCCTAATGCTTCTCATAAGAATGATCTCAGAAGATTTCGATGTGTCGAATCCGGATCATTCTGGCTCACGTCCAGTATGGGCAAGGGTCCTTGCGATGGAGATAATGAGAGGGTATGTCTTAAGCTTGACGCCTCAAAGTTTACACTAATGTTTCTTCTCAGGGTATGCAACGATGCTGAGCTTATCCGAAACATATGGGATCGCTATGATGTGCAGCAGCAGGGCTCTAAGGTCTTTAGCTCTCTCATAGTTGCGTTGAAATGCCTTGTTATTGAGAAACCTGCTCTACTCGGAGTGAGCGCGCAGATGATGGGGGTCGGACTTTCTCATGCGGACGATAGTACTACACCATCGGGATCCAATTACGGTCTGGATGTCGGTGGGGTTGCTGGGATGGCCGCCACGGCTGCAAGTGCTACCGAGTCAGGAGTAGTCGGCATAATTGGGTCTGGCATTGGTCTGAGCGTGCAGAACTCGGCCATGAAGCTGCAATGGTACAGTCCCCATTTCACATCTCGCGGATTACCCTGAGCCGTCTTTTTTGACTAGCATCGATCAGTTAGACAAAGCTGACTCGCCACCAATCCCCGAAGCATACATTTACCTTCTCGCTGTGCAGTGCATTATTTCCATATGTGAAGGCTTTGCGTCATTCACTGGCCCACTGTACACGTCCATCATGGTTCAACGTCCTCGAACGGCTGGCGAGCCTGTCATTCTTGCACCTACCGCTCTTGACCTCTCCACACTCCCGCAGGACGATCCTGCGACTCAGCACCTCATCATCATGCGTTCTATGGTTGCTAACGGCTGGCCTGCGCTTCTCGCAGCTCTTTCCTTCATTATCTCGACGAATCTGTCAGATGAGCTTTTTATAGACGTTCTTAGCAGCTATCAAGCTTTGACGAACGTTGCGGGAATGCTCGCCCTCAGCACTCCTCGTGATGCATTGTTCAACTCGCTGTCCAAATTTGCGATACCTTTCCGAGTAGTGTCCAGCTTGGAGTCTTACGTTGAACCTCCGACGCCCCGAACGTCAACTTCCTCCACAGGTAACCTGGGGTTGACAGCACCTATCCAAGCTCCAGGACTTTCCGAGCGAAATATAGCATGTCTCAGGGTGTTGATATCTAGTGCCCTTTTCCTCGCCGGGAGCCTAGGACAGAGCTGGTATGGAATTCTGGAAGCTTTACAGAACGCAGACTATGTCTTGAACATCAAGGCGTCGCAAGCATCTACCAACCGACGGATGAACCCACCCATGACACCCAGTCAATCCGTGTCAGTGACGAGCTCTGCCGAACAGGAGAAAGTGGCTCGTCACCCCCTCCTTATGGACATCGATTCAAAGAGTTTGCTTGCTGCTGTGCAGCGCCTCTTTGATGCGTCCAAAACCCTGGAGGATTCAGCTTTCCAGGACTTTGTCACTGCGCTCTGTAAACTTAGCTCAGAGATGGTCAGGATGGAACCTGATGGGAACACGCTGATGGAGTCGGATGATCCCTTGAGTCCTGTACCGATTTCTCCTCACAGAAGGCGCGTCAGCGGAATTCATCTGCCACGCACGCTGGTGAGTCGGGGTTGATCCTCGTACCTCACAATGAAATCTAACATCTTCTCAGCGTCAGAGCGATTTCGGTGTGGAGCGACTGGGTTCAGTAGCAATGCTGAACCTTCATCGCCTCATCTATTGTGCACCTGAGGTTGGATGGAACACTACTATGAATCATCTCCTGTGGATCGTGAATCTCTCCTCAGCCCCGCAGTCAATACGAGTGCAGGCAGCGCGTGTCCTCGATGAGATTCTTACTGTGGTCCCGCGTCACTTGTCATTCATTGAAGACCCGCACGCCAAATTTGAGCGTTGCGTTCTCGACATTCTATTTAAACAGATAGTACCCCCATCATCCGACGTCCCAGTGACGAGCACGAATATCGAGCTGCGGCGAATGGGATTGGAGACCCTGCATCAAATTCTACAAGCATCCAAACATACTTTTATCGTCGAGTGGGGTAGCATATTTGAGATGCTAGGGAGCATCTGTATACCCGCGGCTCTCTCCAGATCTCAGTCGGTCAATTCCATCAGCACGTTATCGCTTCAAGAGACACCCCGTAACAAATCACTGCCTCTGCGGTACGTTAATGACCGCGGCTACACAACACTGGTGAAGATCGCCTTCCAGTGCCTCAAACTTATCTGCGATTCCGTGTCTGTGTTATCCCCTGAAGACTTGCGGCTTTGCATCAAAACTCTCGGACAATTCGGTCGACAAGCTAACACGAACATTGCGCTTGCTGCTGTAGAAAGCCTTTTCTGGAGTGTGTTAGATTCGATCCAGGCAAAGCGGAAGGATGCAGAGATGGAACCAGAATATGGCGCGCTGTGGATGTGTCTGCTGGAAGTTCTGGGTCTTTGTACTGACTCAAGACACGAAGTTCGTGTTGGCGCTATCCAGACCCTTTTCTGTGCGATGAAACTTTGCGGCGCCACGTTTACTCTGGATACGTGGAATGATTGCATATGGAAGATCACATTCCCGCTACTTGACGTAATATCTATCGAAACCCGGCGCAGTGTCTTTGAGCCCGGAGCTCTGCTGAACACTGGTCTGGCAGCGCAGTCTCCCAAGCATACATGGAGCGAATCGAAGAGTCTCGCATTGCAGTCGATTGGATCTATTATCAGCGAGTTCCTAGTCATCAAGGTGATGCATCTAGACTCCTTCTCGAAAGCATGGTCCGTGCTTGTTACCCACGTTCACGATGCCGTATCCTTGGACCGCCCAAACTTGAGTCTGCCTGCACTACTTTGTTTGGGGAAAGTGGTGAAAGCGCTTTCTGGCGCAGACGCCTCTCTGCAAGTCAAAGTGTCGGAGGCTTGGGAATGCGTATGGAAGGCATGCAGTGACATGGGGAGCATGGTTCTCCAGGGTGGGAGATTTCAGCTCTCTCCGAGTGCGAATACGACACAGCTCCACCGTGCATTTACTCAGGAAAGTTTGGTTGCCCTTGTCGACGTCATACAGAGCACACATTCCATTAGTCTGACCCAGACGAAGGAATGGCCACTTCAGCGCCTCACTCGTCTGATGGAAATCCTCAAGGGTACGTCTCTCTATTTCTGTCGCCGTCCCTCTTCTTGAACCATGCCCAGGTGTTCTTACTTATCCTAACTCGACGGACTACTACCCGGATGTTGATGATCTATCACCTCTTCAGGTAGGTGAATGTTCAATATTTACCGAACACCATCGTCTCATTGATATGACAGGTAGTGGTCATGAACACCATCACAGATATTAGCCTAACGGGACCTGGTGTCCCGTCTCTTATCTTACGATATCTCTCGGAATTTAGCGTACTTTCGTTTCTGGCTGCTTCTCATGTGCCCATCTTGTCTCCCGCTTCCTCGGGAACGCCTATCGCGGCATTGTCTCAAAAACACAACACGTACATTGCGTTGTCCAAGAAAGTTATACCACTTACCGTTGAGTTGTACATGCGCTTCAAGGATGAGCTCGAGATCTATGAAGATGGGACTTTGGAAGCTGTCTTTTCGGTGCGTATTGTTGATGATGTCCTTGGTCTTTGTATTCTCATGTGTTTTCGTGTTCAGGCCTTTTCAATACCAATAAAGCTAAAGTACGAGTATCCTGCTCCGTTTAAGTTCGGCAAAGATCCTCTGTGGAAGATCGCGACAACAAATTTTCTCCGTATAGTCAGTGACTCGGTCAGAAGAATGGCAGCATTCGGCGATCGTACATAGTCAATGATTTGGTTGACTTCGTCTAATCATAGAATACAGGTATATCCGATACTCGAGTTGAAGGCATATGGCGACAAATCGTTAAAGTATTTCGGGGTGGCATTTTGGCTGACTGGTGCGCATTTTATTCTTCTCTCATTTTGTCGTTTTCTCACCTAGTGACTAACTTGTTTGCAGCACTGCGGCAGAGGGTTTCTCACTCGAAGATCAGGAAGCGGAAGAAAGCTTCGATCTCTCTCTCATCAACTCATTGGAGATTGATATTATGCCACATTTGGGAGACACAAGAGTCCCTGATCATCTCATCGTACAGTTGGCGAAGATTTTGCACAAAGGCAGCCAGCTGTACAAGTCAAGTGTGGATCCCTCACACCCTGATTCGCCCTCGACAGATACCGCGAATGTGTCAGACGACTCTTGGGACTCGCATGACCTCGAGAAGGTGAACCTCGACATCGGATCAACTATACCTGGGGTCCCGGTTCCGAGGGAGCGATTTTCGTTTTGGTGCTTTGATCTTTTGTTCTTGATATGCTCTAATGTTACAAGCGGTAACCCAATCCATCTGCACGTATTGACAGAGCTAACTATTCTCCCAGACCAAGAGTCTTCAAGGAAGCGAGTTGCTGCACTTTGTCTACCGACCTTGCTTGATCGATGTAAGACTACAATGGCGAGCTATGTTGCTGACGAGGCCCTTCGGGGTAATATGCCTTTTCCGAGGTAAATTGTGATCGTGTTGCATCATTGTCTGTTGCTGGATCAATTTTGATAGAGCTCGTGAAGATGAACTGTTGTATATACTTCGCAAGGTCCTGGATTTACGGCTATGGTCGGGAACTCTGTGGGCTGCACTGTCAGAGTCGCCATCGAAGTTTAGCATTTCTCAACCCGGTACCTGTTTCCTTGCTCTGTGATCTGATTTACGCTGAACATCTGCCCAGCTGTCGATGTCACTCTTTCACCGTCTGCACTCATTGCGGATGTGGCGAAACGGTCTCCAGTCGCTCATCTCTTCCATCTCTATTCAGTGTTGTGTGAAATCGCTTCCATTCCTCGGAAGACACCGTCGGCATGGGTGATCATGAATTCCTCGCCACCCGAGAAGGAGCGGGGAGGCAATTTTCTGCAGCCTCATATCGGTGTTCTAGAAGATGGTGGCGATGTGATGGAGGTAGATGCAAGAATACTTGCAAGGAAGGCGTTACAGGTTCTCGGGAAAGATATAGGAGCGATTTAGCGATGGGTGCTTTCATCTCCTTTGCAAGAGTTATTCTATTCTCATACCTAATATCCATGACCGACTTGAATGGGTAAAACATGTTATCTATTGGAACATGCACTAGGAGGGGTGGGCACATCAGCGCCGATATCACCCTGCTTTTACACCCAATACATCCATCAACTCCTTCCGACCAAATATATGAGCTGCCTTGGGGTGGGTTTGCCTATTCTCGTATCTGTGCTAGCTTTGGCCAGAATATGCACAACTTCATCATGTGACTTACATAAACACAGCGCTAGCAATAATAGATTGACCAAGATCGTCGAGCCTGTTTGGATCTGCTTTCTGCTGCAGAAGTCCTTCAGTCAATTCCCCTGCGTATGCTGCGAGCATCAATAATTTCCTAAATGAATATGGTGTACGTTATTCAGGGGCTGGGATGTCGATGACTTGAATGCATTTATGAGGTTGACTGGCAAACACGCGCGGTGATCATCGACACGTTGAGTGCTCTCAAGAGATGTTCAATACTTCAAGCTGAGCATAAGTCCCATCGGTATCGTTGCCCGGACGTACTCAGGTAAAGTAACTTCTCTTCCAATTGGACTGCGCAGGTTCGAAACCTGCCACCGACATGGTTTTTTCCATCGGAACACACCGTGACATTTACTCATAGATGGTTTCATTGGAGGTTCATCTTAACTTTGTCCTGGCCACTTTGTAAGTGGTTACCAGACAGAGTCAAACTCCGTTTTTCTCGTACTGCGCAGGTTCGACACCTGAAGGTTTTTTCTGTCAGAACACACCTTCAATGAGATTCACTCATGGATGATTCCTCAGAGGATCATCTTAACTGGTCTCAGCCAAGTGGTTACCACAACAGAATCAAAATCTGTTTCTCTTGCACTGCACAGGTTCGAAACCTAACGAACGACAGCTTTTTTGTTCTACCGAAACACACCTTGTCATTCACTCATGGATGGTTTCCTCGGAGGTCCAGTCTAACTGGTCTTAGCCAAGTGGTTACCATAACAGAGTCAAAATCTGTTTCTCTTGGAGTTGGTTCGAAACCTGCTGACAGCATTTTTGCGTTGCATAGGTCCTCGGAGGTCCATCCTAACTAGCCCTGGTAGTCATTACATCTAACCCTCCTTTTTATGTGATAGTCTGTCCATGAAAAGGGATCATCTTCACATCCTGCGACGGTTGTCTCAGAAACATAATATATAACCCCGAGGTGCGTACGTGCAAACCTAGATTCTCGACAGACTGACAAAAACTGTCGGGATTCACCACCAAACGAAAATATAATATAATATTAATGGGACCGAAGGCCAGAAGAATGCATGCAAGCTAAGGACAAAGTGAGTCTGACAGCCAGGAAAATGACGTAACCTCCCCAGCCTCGCTGAAGCCTCATCGATAGACATTCTCTCGGTCGTTGGCTCCAATGCGACCGAGGATGACTTGAAGCTAAAGGCAGAATAATTGAAAGTGGCAGACCGAGCTATGTTGTTCCGATTAGTGTGCAGTTTGCGTGCGCTCCTATCGATGCCGAGACGGAACAGAAATTTACTTTCGATTGCTGTGGCAAGACCCAGGGATCGAACAGAGATGTTAATAGAGAGGTCAATTCGAAACTCTAGAACACCCCATGACGGAAAGCTCAAGACACCATGCAGGAGTGGCCCACCAAGGTATGCATGACGGAACAAAGGGGTTCAACGAGAACTAAATGACATCTTGACAGACCTCTAACAAATAAGGCGTCAAGTGATTGTAACAGAAAAAGCCCGAACATGGTGTAGTAATATCGATTGTGTTCGACAAGAGCCCTACTACATTGGGAGTCGGGGACGTGAATAGACAGCGCACTTCAGGAAGAAGTTCGTCATGCACTCATCATGCATGGTTAAATAACTAGTGGTGATATATGGTACAGATCAGCAGATGCAAAGCAAATAAAGACACCCGTATACTATCGTGCATATGGATGGAATGAATGCTGTCCACGACTCGACATTCTCGATGGACCCAGTCCCTGGTTCATTGTCATGCGCCCTGCGTTCGCGTTCGGCGTAACAGCGCCAGTCATGCCCTGCCGCATACGCATTCCCATGTTGTTCATCCCCATTCCCGCACCTGCGCCCGCAGTGTTCATCATCATCCCTGGCATTCCCATCCGCATGGCGTTCATACCCATACCTCCCATTGGACTTAAACCGCCCATCATGTTCATCCCCATGCCGCCCATGCCACCCATACCGCTCATTCCACCCATGCCGCCCATACCATTCATGCCACCCATGCCACCCATGCCCATGCCCATCATCATGGGGTTCATCATGCTCATGTTCGCTGCTCCCATCATGGGCATGTGACTCATCACACGCTGATAAAGCATGTTAGTGGCTGCGGAGTTGGCCTGTTGCGGGAAAGCCATTGCGGACGTGTTGGGCGTGCGTGAATCGGAGTCGTTGAAATAGGGCTCGCGATTGCCCTGTTGCATGTTTCGCGCTTGATCGCGCTGACTTCGGGGTTGAGCGGCTTTCACTTCAATCTATCGACCGACATGTTGAGAGAAGAATGTGGTAAGCGCATCCGCACGTACCTGCTTATCATCCAACATCAACCCGAGTTTCCCAACGAACTCATCAGAGTTATTCGAGTCTTCAAAAGTGACGAACCCAAAGCCTTTGGAACGGCCTGACTCGCGATCGACCATGACTGTTGCATCGACGACCTTGCCAAACCGCGAAAAAAACTCGCGCATTGTGTCTGCGTTGGTAGTGGGAGCGAGACCACCAACAAAGTACCGCGTGTTTCTCAAGTGCTCTTCTCGGGGAATTGCACGTTTCGGGTCGATCTATTGGCTACGTTAGTGGGATTGAAAAATTTGCAGGACTAGCGCACTGACAGATTTCCCATCCAAAATATGCTCCCTTCCAGTGACGGCATTCACGCTTTCTGGTTCATCGAAGGTCAAGAAAGCGAAGCCCCTTGAGCGCCCATCCGGGTCGCGCATAATTGTACAAGCATCCACCTTAAGCGCTCGTCAGTATCATAACCCGAGCATGACATCCATTGACAGCTTAAATCCAAAAACAAATTACCTTGCCAAACTGCGAAAAATATGTCCTTAGACCCTCTGCTCATAGGAAGAACAACATAGGACAGTAGTCAGTAGATAGAAGTTGATTGCCATTGCATGGGTGTATACCATCTGTAGTGTCCCAGTTAAGGCCTCCAATAAACATTTTGCTATCGGAGGTGACGACCGTAAGTGAGGCAAGGATCCGTAGGTGAGGCAAGGCATGTAGTAAGAGTAGAGCGTGTTGATGGGTCCACGGAAGTATCCAGAAAGATATAAGTGATTAGTGACCAATTATAGCAAGTAGCCATGAGAGTATAAAAGACGGCAAGCATAGGCAATGCGCAGAGTGTAGGTGCAGATAGTAAGCTCCTCTGTAAGCAATAGTAGCAGTGCAGCAGAATGTACTGTAACTGTCAGGCTCCTGTTCGTTCATCTTTTATGAAAGAACGACAAGAATAAACTATCGTGCATGACATAACGGAAACTGAGTCTAGAAGTGCTTCCCCCCCAGGAGAATACAGGGACAAAATAATCATACATGTAGCAAGCGTGCACTTACCCTTCATCTTTCATTTCTGAAGGTCGGATAGGCCTGTCTGCATGGTTGTCGGTCGGTCCCTCGTGTGTTGCTATTGCCGAAGGTCCACCTTGTGGGCTCGGATTTGGTGGGAGGGGCAAAGGTGGTTTCTGTATACGCTCCTGGCTCGGTGTCTGTTGATATGCAGAGAACTGCTTTGCCACCTGAGCTGAATATGACAAAGCATAGTCGCTTTTTGATAGCTGAGGTTTAGCTGGGAGCGAGGACGCCGACGTGGGCGACGTTGAAGTCTCCATCTTTACAGGTTCAGGATTTTTGTCTGCTTGCGGAGGAGTCTCGGTGGTGGGGGAGGCCTCGTCATCCAGTGGAACAGTAAACTCGTCATCGTACAGGTCTGTGTAATGCAAGTTGTTGCCCTAGAGCCGACGACATGAAATAATGCTCACCTCCGTAGAGGTCAGAATCTGGATTTTCCTTAGAGCTGGACATGTTCGAGGATCCGTTGATGAGTCGAGGCTCGTCCGTGTGGGTGATAATACTTGTCGTGGTCACTGTCCAAGGTAAGGAATCAAAATAGCGAGGTCCTGTGCACTTTCAAATGTAGGACGATGCTCAACCAAACAACAGACTATAAATAAATAAATAAAACACTTCAGAAAATAATAAGTATGTAGTAAATATTTGCTTGCTATGCAGTCTGTGCTACGATTTCCACGAGTAGATCACTGCGGACTACAGAACTACGACTAGGGACTTCGTGGCAAGGTGGTCAGTCTGCCTCACATGAGGTCATCCCGTCTCATATACAGCGGATAGAATGTTGCCACGTCGCCGACAGTTAGGGGGGAAAGAGCTATTGTGGGCCAATATGCTACGGAAGCCCGTAGCGGCACTAACTTGTATGTGGGGGGGCCATTCACTGCGACGACTGAAAAATGACTCAGAACCAACGGGGGACTACGATCTCCTCCATAAATGCTTCCTGTCTACAACATGAAATACATAATTCTTTATTCCAACACAGGAACGTAGTCATACTGATGTACATTCAGTACAATGCCTTGATGAAAAGTACATGCGCAGATATTGACTGAAAGTAAGAATAGCTGACGTGACAGAAAAATGACAGGACGTGTACGGCCACCAGAAGCGAAAGACCTTGATAACAAACAAGCTGTGTGAAAATCGCCAACAGTGCATATGGTCAAAGTAAAAACGCACGTTTACTGATTGGAGACCTTGAAGGACGTGACCTAGAACGCGTATTAAGATTCGGAAAATCATAAGGGTGCTGCATGATGAACTTACTTGCTCTT